TTTGACGCGACCACGGCCGACCTGCTGCACATGCGGTAGTGTAACACTCGGCCAATGCATATTTCGCCCAGATAAATATCGTGCCACTTGTTTCAGCACATCCACCATGCATGCGCTTTCGTATCGGTCAAAACTTTGTGTGTCAGCTCATTCAAAATTTATTCGTGTATCATATTTTGTTATCAACAATGAAAAGGGGTATATGAATAAAATGAAATGAATAAACATGATCCAACAAATAATGTGAAATAAAACACAATGACAATAATTGTTGAATATAAATTCAAGTTTAATCAAGGAAGTACATTCATTTTCCTTATGACAATTATCATCATCATCATCATCATCATCATCATCATCATCTTCATCATTAGTCGAGTCGTACTTTTATTATCATAACAATGAGAACCCATCACTAAGGGGAAAAAAATTGTAGACCTGCTATAAACTACACATGGACATGGTACCGTACGGGTTGGTTTGCAAGGTGGCTAAATGGACTTGGGACGAGTTTGCCGTCTCCCCGATATATATTGCATGCTGAAAGCTAGCACACGCAGCCCATATAGGCAGGGCGGTGTGCATATCTTTCGATGGTAGCTACATGTGTGTGCAGTGGTCGTGGCTGAGGCGCGGATGATATTTCCGTGCGCTCAAAAGTTAACCACCGGGCCGAGGCCCGGGAAGTATCGCGATCATTACCGCTAAAACACTCGCATATGCATAATGCATGTGTTAATACATAGGCATGTCCAGAAATCGGGGAATCCGTAATTTTTGAAGGGGTTTCCGTGCTTCCGTAATTGCCGTTGATTTCCGTACCAATTACGGAAAATCCGTACTAGTTGGCAGCTCTGCGCACTGTAGACCAAAAACCAGCCTCATTATCCTCAGTATACAAGTGTCATATCGGACCTTACAGCTTTCATAGAAATCGCTTCTGGACAGTCAAAGAAAAAGTATGAGAACCCCTGGTCTACGCATTATACACATCAGGACCAACTTGAGGGGGGTTCGACCCCCCCCCCCCCCCCCCACGTACGCGCCTGCATGTGCATCCCTTCCTCCTTATTCCTTTATCCATCGATACCGTCACTACCATTTGAGTAGGGCCGGCCCCCTCCTTAATAACGACTCCCAAGCCATCAAGAATGACCCCATAATTTATAGATTACCATTCTGCCGTTCTTTGGAGGGGCCGGGCGCGGCCTTTTCAGAAGTGTTTCTACACTAACCTTTTCATGCACTACGGCTTAACATAAACAAGCATGCTAAGATATTTTTGAAAAGAAGCATAATTTCGACTCAGTTTCGCATAACCTAAAAATAAGAATACGGCCAGTCACCCCTCCCCCCCCCCCCCTCCCCTCAATGCATTCGCCTTCACGCAACCCCCTTCCCCTTGTCTTTCCCTTATTCGTCGTTACTGTCACTAATTTTTAGTGCCATTTCGTTGTCTTTCTTTCTCCCCGGCTCCTCTCTTCTTTTTCTTTCCTCTTTTTTGAACTCTCTCTCTTTTCTTTACTTTTTTGTTCTCTTTTCTTTTATCTTCTCCTTTTTCCCCCTTTTTTTTTCTTTCTTTTTTTTTTCCTCTTTTTTCCTTCTCAATTTTTTTGTGCCGCCAATAGGGGGGGCCGCCACTGAATGATGATACATTCACATGGAATACAATTTTTTTTTTAACGATTTTTAAATCATTGATACCAGATTCACGGTACTTCAAAGTACTTAGCCTCATCATTAAAGATCATAAAAAGCCAGAATATCACTAGTTTTCATGTACACAAAATACTCATTATAAATCCTATATTTGTATTCATTTCTGTATTTCAACACACTTGAAATTGTTACTGAGGGTAGAGAACCTGCAACACATGGGGCGACCTTGGTGGAAAGTGCTTTCTACTGTAGCACTGTTTTATTATTATTATTACTAGCAGGACCCGCGGAAATCCGCGGGATCCTAGAGGGGGGCGGGGGGTGTAAATAGATATATAGAGACTGTCTAAATTAAAACCACCAAGAACTTTATTTGCCATTCAGGCCATTAAGAAATATATATGTTAAGCGTCCCCGCCCGCTTCCTTTTTGGGGGCCGCCTCCTTTTTTTTTTTTTTTTTTTTTTTTGAAAAGTTTTTTTTTTTTTTTTTTTGAAAGAAAAAAAAAACAGCGTCCCCGCCTGCTTCCTTTTTGGGGGCCGCCTCCTATTTTTTTTTTTTTTTTTTTTTTTTTATTTATTTTTTTTTTTTTTGAAAGAAAAAAAAACGTGAAAAGCACTGCTAAAATGTATTTCTGATTTAAAAAAGAAAAAAAAAAAAATTGTCGGCCGCCATCTTGAAAAATAGCCCGAATGTCAGGAAAAATGTACGGAGCGGCCATTTTGAAAGAAAATAAAAAGAAAAAAAAAAGGGCCTCCTCCTTCCCATTTTTCGAAAAAAAACAGGAAGCTAAACATGTTTTTTTTTAAATTTGGCCTTATATAAAAATTAAAAAAACAATCCAACTGTACCGGTAGTTATTCTTTAAGCCACTGGAACTGCGTAGAGTTCCGTAGTGTGGCGTACCGACTACGGAGAAATTAGGCTGCGTATTAATGGGAAAATAGTCCCTGCGTAGGTTATGCGTAGGCTGGCGAAAAAAATTAAACAGGTTGAATTGTTTTCGTTCATCTTGCGTACACCTTTCCGTCCCGCAGCATATAGTAACGTAGGCCAGCGTAGTTGTTACGCAACACTACGCAACTCTACGTATTGACCCCACGCCAATTAGTGACCCGCAAGTGTCACAAATAAAGTATTAAAAATATGCTCATCTGACCCTATACGCCTAAAACCCCCGAGCTTTCGGGGGTTTATGGCCCCTTGAAACCCGTGGACCCCACGCCTTTATTATATATACACTCAACTCGCTGCGATCTGATCTCTCCCCCCCCCCCCCAACTTTGAAGAACGTAACCCCTGAGCTTTTGGGGGTTTATGGCCCCTTGAAACCCGTGGACCCCACGCCTATATTATATATACACTCAACTCAGGACCCGCGGAAATCTGTGGGATTCTAGAGGGGGTGCGCAGACAAAAAATTAAGTTTTTCATTTCGGGGGCTCCATTTCAAATTTTAGGGAAATTTTCGGGGGCTCTTTTTTCTGGGGCTACTTTTTCATTAATTCATATAAGGATAGGCCTACACTTTGTTGAGATTTGTTTAGTAGGCTAACGTTTCAGGCTTCCTACTTCATAATTGCCTATTTAAAAAAACAAAACATTTTTCTAGTTCAATAACTAAGTTTTCATGCATTGATTTGATGCAAGAACTGTAACATAATAGACCCTAGATTGTGATTATTTCTGACCATGAATTTCGATAATCATTTTTCAAAGTAAAATTTTCACAGGAAAATCAAACAGTCTTTTAAAAACGTAGACATTAGAGTCTAGTAATACTTTTACTAATTCTAAGCTCAGGTTTCGTAAATCTATTCACGAAACTATATTGAAATCGCGGCAATAATGATGCAAACCAACAGATAACAATTTCAAAGTGTCAAATCTCTTCGACTCGAATTCAACTCACACACTTTCAACTGCAACTCAGCTCATCTCACACACACTACACAGTGGCAATGCACTGTGTGTCAGTTACGGTGATTTTGTCTGATTTTCTTTACTTTGAAGAAATGATTATCAAAATTACGTAAACATGGCGAGAACATCACAAAATAGGCTTTAATTTCATACCTCTATTTATGGAAACTTTATAATATTGCAGCAATCGTGAATTCGTGATGGAAATTGATTGCAGTTTCGCGATGTTTAGTGGTTCATGGTCTAGATTCAGCTTCTACCGAAACAAAATCGACCGCCAAAAACTCGAGCCCTACGCTCCGTCTCGATCTCGCAACTGCGAAAATGTACGTGTTTTGGCGTACTTGCGTGCGACATGGTAAGCCAGGTAAGGTATGGAATATGGTTCGAGTTTTTTTTACGACCGATTTTTGTGTATACAATTTTATACGGATAGTCATCGGTCCTGTGTCTACGGATGTCATGTTGAATATCCATGAGGTATCTCTGTCGTCACGCATATCCTGCATTATGCATGTCGCGTCTGTTTTCGCCCTGGACGTCGACACGGAGGAGGACCTCGGGCGGAGTATAGCCAATTCGCTAGAGTAGACTCTCCCGCGGACGACGGCACCGGTCACCGGTACCCCGAGGGGAGGGTTCAGGAGGAGATAGCCGCACCAACTTGGGTCGGCGAGCTCATTAAAAAACAATAGAATACAAAGGCCGGCGGAGACGTCATGCCCCCCCGCGGAGCCTTAGCGTATTATTATTATAAGATGTGTTTAATGTACATACATGTATCATACAATCAACAGAATAGGAGAGTAGGCCTTGCAAATGACAGTAAGGCAATAGGTATCTTTTGTCCGTATTTCCTATACCTGTTCGGTGTTTGATGCAGTGGAGAATAAAAGTGGACTCAGGCAATTTTGCCTCCTAAACAATGACAGCCCAGTACAGTTTGGCTTAAAAGAAGCCCTCATAACTACCCCCCCCCCCCCCACCCCCCAAAAAATAAATAATAATAATAATAATAATAATAAATTCATGGACTTTAATCACTTAATATCAAAACCTTTATGCACCTTTAAGTTTGACATTAGACGATCAGTTAAATACTTTTAAATACAAATGTTAATGCTACGTCATATTCTATGAAATAATCATAATACATACGCTATACACCACATTGAAATTCTTAAAAAGAAAAAGTTTACACTCTGATTTCTGTAATCTTATACAGATGTCATTCACCCATTAATACTAAAATGCACATTGTGTACGGTACACCTATAAGTGATCAGAAAAACAGTGTAGTACAGACTGTACTAAAACCTTCCATGACTTTCAAATATAAAGCAAAAAATACATAAAAAATATGAGTTACTTTCAGTAGAAAAACTTGGTTAAAGACAGGCTAAAATGGGTATGTCTTACCTCAACAAGTTCTATTCCCCTTTGCCTGAATAGGAAGAACAAACAAAATAAGAGGATTAAAATCTTGTAGTTATGAACCATCACAAAATGCAGTCAATGAACATTATCACACAGATAAAAACACAACATTTTTTAAACAGCTGAATTAAACTTTCATAATAGCTTTTAGGGCTGAAAATGGAAAAAGTCTCATAATGAATTGCTATTTAAGCATGCGCCCACACGCAACCCACCATCGGTATGCACTTGTATTGTGTAGTGGTTTGCCATGAAACCTGTGAAAAGGTGTATATTAATAACATAGTTTTTCCGAAAAATACTCCAAAAATAACCAGAAAATTGACACGAAACAGGTAATATACATAACGACTTTTAACTCGTGATCTTTGTTTGGACATTTAATTAAATTTTTAGGCCCTACTTCATTTTGGGTATGTTTTAGTGGGGTATCACCACGCCGGAGTTACAAGTCATATTTTGGATAGGTTTCTGACACGCAACCCACCATCGGTATGCACTTGTATTGTGTAGTGGTTTGCCATGAAACCTGTGAAAAGGTGTATATTAATAACATAGTTTTTCCGAAAAATACTCCAAAAATAACCAGAAAATTGACACGAAACAGGTAATATACATAACGACTTTTAACTCGTGATCTTTGTTTGGACATTTAATTAAATTTTTAGGCCCTACTTCATTTTGGGTATGTTTTAGTGGGGTATCACCACGCCGGAGTTACAAGTCATATTTTGGATAGGTTTCTGACACGCAACCCACCATCGGTATGCACTTGTATTGTGTAGTGGTTTGCCATGAAACCTGTGAAAAGGTGTATATTAATAACATAGTTTTTCCGAAAAATACTCCAAAAATAACCAGAAAATTGACACGAAACAGGTAATATACATAACGACTTTTAACTCGTGATCTTTGTTTGGACATTTAATGAATATTTAGGCCCTACTTCATTTTGGGTATGTTTTAGTGGGGTATCACCACGCCGGAGTTACAAGTCATATTTTGGATAGGTTTCTGAACAAGTGCCGATACAGGGTGTATCTCCTACAGTCCATAAAAACTGAAAAAGCAAACTTCATCGCTTCATAATCCAAACAAATTTCATCACTTTCTTGATATACATGCATACTGTTTACTCTCATTAATCATTATCCTCCATTCCTGCAAGCCAATAATTAGCATATTTGCAATTTGTGTATGGGGAAGGTTGACATATCTCAGTTTTGTTTAAAAATTCCCCATACCAGACGGTTTAAATATTTCTAGACTTCCACTGTTCCAGGCCAGGCTATCCCCTCGCCCCGCCCCGCCCCGTTCCCGCTGCAGTGAAGTGTCGATACGTTACTACGCGTACGACATGTAAATGGCAATGCAATGGGTTTGGTGTGCCAAACCCATTTCTCCTTCCTAGTTTTAGACTTGACCTAGATCTACTTACCGAAAAAGAGCAGCTAATTCTCCAAAGTTGAGCTTCTTTCTCTTCTTTTCTGGAACCCAATAACCAATTTTCTCCATTATAGATGATCTAATAACGGTTAAAAGTGAAATATTTAGGTCAGTCCTCGATCCTCCAAAGTTACCCGTAGGTGTTTTGGCTACAACGCTAGCGAAGGAGATAGCAGCAGCGCATGCAGTCGACGGCAATGCAATTCGACCTAATTAAACTCGCTTGAAAATAACTCGGCCTGGGATATTTTTATTTATTTTTATTTGGAATAACTCGGATACTTCTTTGATTCAGGGTAAAGCTTATTTGCTAAATTATTACCTATAACTATAGTGGTTCATGAAGATGATTTTCTTTTGATTTTCTTTTGAAAGTAATTTTATGCTATACTGCTAAAGTGCTAATTGTTGGTAAGCCGACTCAAATCCCTGAAGGCTTACGGATATGCGCGCATCATTGAGCGAAGTATAGTAATATTTATTTTCTGGATTAGATTTTTGTTGAATGAAACATATAAAAGTGAAATACAATGTATACATAATAATACGGCCCTGTTTGCTAAGCATTAACAACATGATATCGCTGTAAACAAACATTAAACGCCTTTCCATATGTGAACGACATTTTCAATGATTCTGTTCCTGGCTTTGGGGACTTTTTCCCGAAATAGGCAGGGTTGATGGGATGTCCATCAATATTTTATATGTAATGCAAAGGAGTCATCATGACGAGTGGGCTGATGCATATTGCCAAACCCATAATCTTAGCTGGTGTCAAAATATGACGAAATACCTTTCTATATAATGCAGTAAATATTATATCAGAAATTCACTTTACAATAAAAAGCATGCATTCCGTCATCAAGAATTTATAATTGACACTGTAGATGAAATATAAAACTTGTACCTCAGTGCTGCTCGAAAATGATAGTATTTGCCATTATTTGAGCAGGGGCGTTAAACCGCCTTTTCACTGAAATGCGGGTGCATGCAAGATAAAAAGGGAGGGGGGCACTCAATTACAAAGGGTGACCTCAAAGCGTAAAAATACAATTTTAGAGATTGGTAATATCGCCAATGTGGTAATTAATACATTATCAGGTATTATCTGCAACGATTTTCTAATGTGGTACAAAATACTGCATAGCATCATAATGTCTGAAGATTCATTTGTCAGCCAGCAAAAAGATAGAGACAGTGGCATTGCAACCGATTGGATTTTACTATTTTAGGTGAAATGGCCAAAATGTCCTGATGGGGGAGGGGCCGGGAAGTTAGGGATAATCTCATAATACTGAATATACTTATGATTACTATGCGAGCAAACGTTTCGAGCAAGTTCCGTGGAAATTAGAGAAAAATTAGGGGCATTAAAGAGGCTATGATGAAAAATCTATTGATGGGGGGGGGGGGGGGAGGAGATGCATGAGGAATCACGGACCTCTTGTCATAGACATATGGTAATAATTATGTCTCTTGTGATCAGGAGTAGCATTTGGCAATGTAAATGCAGTTGCATTAATTGACTTTGAACACTTCTCCATTGTTCAAATAAAAGGGTAATTGATTACCTAATTGGTATCCTATATGAAGTTCAAAAGGCCATGTGGTTATAAAAATGCACAGGTTAGAAAATGCCTAGTATAGTGGGAAACGTTTAATTAAAACTGAGAGCATATCCCGGAGCATATACGTATTATGTTAAAAATGACATGTATATAGAAAGGGGGTTTAGACAGCCTTGAAAATGAGAACGCTTATATTCTAAAAGGGCACAGTTCATTATTATGAAGTGTTGTGCCCCTGCCCCCATGCGGCTATAAAGGCCTATACTACCTTACATCGTGGTGGTATAGAAAATGTAAAGAATCCATGTTTTCCATATACCGCTTTAATCTCTTCATAATAAAATAGAGCATGGATTCTGTACTATCCATGCTTGGAGCAAGCATATTACTCAGGGGCGGCCGAGCGACTTCCAAAGTGGGGGGGGGGGGGCACCAAGAAAAAAGAGCACTTTCTGGAGAATGAAAAGGGCACCTACAAAGGGAAATCTCAAAGCGAAATATACAATTTTTTAGACATTGGTATATACCCCTATGTTGTGATTAGAATTACCAGGGATGATTTCAGTATTTGTTTCACTTTATACACTATACAATAATTGCTTATGCATCATGCTTTGTAGTTGGTTTTATTGTCTAAAAAACTGTTTGCGAGGGAGGAAAATTTCTAAGATGTGTGAGGTCGCAGTGCGAAAAATTACATCTTATAAAGAGGAAAAAATCCAGTCCTAATGGGGTTATAAGCACATTCTCATAACGGAAGACTGAAAAGACCTTTGATAAGTAACATGAGTATATATCATCTATAATGGTTCGTGCGAGCGTATAGCGAGCGAGCTTTGGGGGAAATTGCTCTTAGTCGCTTAAAATTAGCTAGGGCGCGTTTAATGATGAAAGGAAAAGGGGACACTTATCAGGAGAAAAAAAGGAGCAGGTGCCAAAGTACAAAGAGTAATTATCAGAGGTGGAAATGGGGCACTTCTTACAACCTCAAAAAGAGGATGAAAAAAAGTCATTCATGAGAATAGGAAATGGGCATTTGTCGACGGAAAAGGGGCCCTCACCAGATTTTGATAGGTGCAAGAGGTGAAAAGGGGCTTTTATGTAAAGGGGATAGGTCCCTTATTAGAAAGGAAAAGGGGCACGTACAGTTGTTAAAAGGGAAATTATCAGAGGAGAAAAGAGGCACTTATCGCATCTGAAAAGGGGGAAGTGACCAGATATGAAAAGGGGAACTTATGTGAATGAAAAAGCGGCACTTGTAATAAAGGAAAATGTGCATTATTTTGTTGAAAGAAAATGGGTACCCATCAGATTTTAAAAGAGCATTTATCGGAGGTGAAGGGGGCACTTATCTAAAGTGCAAAGGAGTAACTTCTCGTACCTGAAACGGATCATTTACCAGAGAAGGGGCACTTATGAGAAGGGGAAGGGGCTTTTTTTTAATGGGGCACTTATCATTAGGAAAAGGGGCACTTATTAGAAAGGAAAAAGGGCACATGTAAAAAATATAAGGTGCGCTTAAAATGGGGTTAATTAATTAAAGGGGAAGGGGCACTTGTCAAAGTAAAAGAGGCACTTCTCAGATTTAAATAGTACAAATATCAGAGGTGAAAGGGGCACTTATCATTAGGAAAAGGGGCACTTATTAGAAAGGAAAAAGGGCACATGTAAAAAATATAAGGTGCGCTTAAAATGGGGTTAATTAATTAAAGGGGAAGGGGCACTTGTCAAAGTAAAAGAGGCACTTCTCAGATTTAAATAGTACAAATATCAGAGGTGAAAGGGGCACTTATCAAAAGTGAAAAGAGGCACTTCTCGTACCTAACTATAGGGGCACTTACTAGAGATTAAAAAGGGCACTTATGAGAATGGAAAACGGACACTTATTGCGAAGAAAAATTAGAAATTTTTGAAGGAAAGGGGCACGTATCCGAATAAGAGGGGCACTTATCAGAGTTGAAAAGGGGAAGGGACACTTTTACAAATTAATAGGGGCACTAATCAAAGTAAAAGAGGCACTTTTCGGGTGCTTGAAAAAAATGGGGGGGGGGCACTATATAAAAGCTAAACATTATTATTATTATTACTTTTAAAAGCACATTCACATCACGATGCAAGAAAAGAACAAAACTCATCTGTCTGATCAACGGTCATTTAACTATCAACTACGGCTCCGGTAACCGAATCCCATCTGGCCGACATTACACAGGGCCACGGTATCGTATGTCGTCGACACACCTAGCTACCTACCTACCAAGGCAGCGGCTCATCCAGGAGGAGCCTAGCCTATGCCTTTGGCGCAACCAGCCGGAGCCGTAGCTAGCCGTGTATTGTGTGTACCGTATCCCCGCGACATGTGTTCGCCATTATTGGTAATGTCAGAACTGAGCTGAGCTTGCTGAGTCGTGGTGCAGTGCAATGGCTTCTCATCTCATTTCACGGTTGAGATTATTGGCTCAATTTCGTGCAAATATATCAATCAGTCAGACTTTATCAGGGAATATGGTAAGTGAACAAAGTCAAATATTTAAAATAGACCCCAATTCTTAACCGAATTTCCTAACGAGACTAAAATTAAAAAACATAAAAGGAACATGATTAGGCCTATGTGGGACTGTATGATCAGATGATGTGCCTTTGCCTTTGCACCATTGTGCACTAGCACTAGCACTGGCTCTAGCTCTAGCATTGTTGGAACAGGGAGGTGATAGAGAAGGAGTGGAAACTCTTGTTATTTTATTCAAACGCATGCGGGAGTTCTAAAACGTAACAATGATGGGATGCGTAACATTCCACTTGGCTTTGATTTCCATCCATGCTCTGTCTGAGTCTGAGCCGCTCTTCCACTGCGGGGAACTTTGTAGTCTAGATCTAGGCCAGGCACAAGTTTCACATTTATTAAATTATCAGCAAAATTTCAGTGTAGACTAGACGTAGACCCTCTAAATTATATTTTATGGAGATTGTAATTGGAATAGTGCATCAAACAATTTTTCAAATTTAGTACACTGCCGTTCCTACAAATCTGTGTGCCAGAGTTGCTTGGTAAAAGAAATGTTGGATCCTGACAAAAACTCAATATTTTAGGATAATCCACTTATTTTCGCATGTGTTAATTTTCTGTCTATTAATCCATGATTTGCAATCTTCGATAATTTGAAATTTGCTATGCGTGCTTTTGCATGTTTTTGGTATTTTTGCAGTTGAAAAAAAGTTTGAAATTACAAGTTTGTGTTCGCTTGTTCAACTCATTACACATAGACCTAGGCCTAGGCCCTATTCAACAATTGATGAGAAATCATTGAAAGGGACAGCGAACATTTGCTGAGATGCCATGATGGTGACACGACATTTGCTCCTGCGACAATTGCTCCGGGCTTTATTTCGTCTAAGATGTAGGGTTAGGGTTAGGGTTTCAATAGGGTTTTATGTTAGGTTTAGGGTTAGGTTTAGGGTAGGGTATAGTGTTGAATCCAGGGTTGAAGTTAGCCATTCGATTAGTGTATGAAATTTACAGCGGAGCAATTGTCGCCGGAGCAAATGTCATGGAATCGCCATGATGCCATTTTCTGATGTAGGAATTCTAAATCTTGATAATCCATGCGCTCTTTTATCTCACCACCTGGTCAACAGTTGCAGATTAGCGCATAACTTTCGGCGACTTGGCCTGGAGCATGGGGTCAAAGGCTTGATTCCACTCCTGCTCTATCTTCTTCCTGGTTGGGAGCATGCCAATATCTTGTCTTGATTTGATATTCTTTTAAATTTGGCCTCTTTGTGAAATAAGCCACTACTCATCGAGGGTCTCAACAGCCCGACCCTGGATAACCCACTCCAGCAAAGCATAGAGAGTCAATGCTAATGCGTATTGACCTCTAGCACTGCATACGTGCTGTGAGGCAGGTATTATTAGACCCATACACAAATATACACACCACACAATATCGCATAGACTCTACACAATCATGTCGATGCAGCTGTAAGCAAAGTTTGACACTAGACTTACAATTTGAATTTTTAAATTATTCTTTTTAACATCAGTAAGTTAAAAAAAATGTATTTTACTGCTAATTTAGGTGTCATCAATTGTCACTAAAGTACCAATTTTGAGTGAAATCAGTTGAGTTTTGTACAGTGGTGTTTGAAATGTTGAGAATCAAAAGCACAGCTTTTACTACACAGCCAGGATAGTGATGCTCCTATGTGTGGGATAACCCAACCAAACTCCAAAAAGTCAAAATTTACTATAACTAAAGACAAAGTATTACAGTAAGGCTGTGCATAACCGTGTAATGAGGTACTCAAGTAGTTGTCAACAGTGCGAGTACTCCAGTATTCGAGTACTTGTTGCAGCCCTATATTACAGTAAAACTAAAACTAAGGCAATGTCTTATTTACAATGATTTTATTATTGTAATATCTAGATCTAATTATAAATTTAGTAAGCAGGTGAGTTAGCTGGGTTGATTACCAGTCACGGCTCACTTGCAGAGAATATCTTCTTTTTATGTTCCCTAATATTTTACTTATTTTCTTCTACACTCTCTCCTTTTTTCACCAAACTCCAGTGTAATCTACATGTGTTGTAGACTAGTTTAAAACCAAAAGAAAATAAATTAAAAAATTGTTGCATCCCCTTTCTTTTTTTTAATTCTTTCTATTCTATAATAATAAATTGCAGGTTAGAGAGTCTAGAACATTGCATACATCTACATGCCGAGGGAAAAGGAATCATTACTTTATACCCGCCTATCCTAAGGATGATCCAGTTCGAGATGAACCAAGGACAGAGCTCATAGAATCCAAGGAAGACTTCAAGTATGTAGAAAGGTTGCTTCCTTCCATGCAGGTCCCAGCTGTGCCCAACCACACCCAGTACCCCACTCCTTCAGGGTGGTCACCACCATCAGGTAATCTCACAAGACTCTCAGAATTACTCATTTTTATTTTGTAAACATAATAGTTAAGAACATAGAAGGAGTGCTGTGAGTGCCTAGCAAATGTGCTGCAACACATCATTATCACAATGAAGGCAGAGTGTGCAGGAAGGTGGGGGGGGGGGGGGGGAGGGGGCTCTATTGGATCATTGTTTCTTGCCCTTCAGTCTACACACTATGTTCAAAGATCAAACTTTTTTTTTTTAAATAATGATATTTTGAGGGTAGGTAATATTAGTTGAATCCATTCCAAAATATAAGGGCACAACCTCACAAGTACTTAAATATTACTTAATTAATCTAAAAAGAGCTTACACATATATACAAATGGAATCTTGTTTCAACAAACTGTTATTGCATATGAAAACTCTGGCAACATATTCTCATATGGCAATATAGTTTTACCAGTCCTAGGCACCACAAAGCCACCAAAAAGTCACATTGTATAATTTTAGAAAATAAAATCTGGTGACTTTTTGTTGATTTTTGTGGTGCCTAGTCACTCAATACAAGACTTCAGTGTAATCTCCTTGCAAATGTTATATGGAGTGTTTATGAGATTCCACTTTAACTTTTGAAGTGTTGAATAAGAATTTATTTGCTTATCATCTCCACTCTGATTGATTGTTAGGTGCTGCATCAGACCTACCGTACAGTGTGAGCAGGACACGATTTCACCAGATCCCTGTCTTCACAGAAACTAAAAAGATGACACAACACTGGACACTGGTCAAAAACATCAAGGGAGATATTTGGGTAAGAGTAAGGAATACAAGAGTTGTGCAGTCTAGTGCTTTTCAGAACTTGCTATGCTTTGTCACCTGTCATGATTCAACCATTCCTGTATCATCAAGTACTTTAAGACTACAGAATAATCTCTTTCTCCTAGGCATAACACATGACCAACCCAATTACTATATAATAAAGGAAAACCATTCTCTAATAGGATTGTATTGTTTAATAAAAACTCGTGGGGCAGTCTTATTTTCCATTATAGATTATAGGTATCTGTTGAAATGTGCATAAAGTTAAATGGGAACTAGCATTTCACAAATGCCAGATTTTTTTTAGAATTTCAAGGATGTCTGATGAGGCATTGAGTTTGCAGATTGATTTTTGATTCAGGGGTACCATCCAATATGTACTTGATTTCATAACTGTACACCTGCTTTCTCCCCCGCCTCCCTCATACCAATCACAGTTTATGGCAGAAGACCTGAGGAAGCACTTAGAGGAACAACAAGGAAGAGATATCCCAGTCACAATCAATGAAGTTTCTATGAAAGTTCGTTACAAGGGACTCTATGAAGACCAAGTCAAGCAATGGCTGACTGAGAAAGGATTCTAGGACCTCTCATGAAGGGAACTCCATATATGGACACAGATGAAGTCATTGTATCTACAAAACTGTGGGATTTATCTCAGCTTGATATTGAAAGATTGATGCTATATTGAACCATACATGGGATCATTGGAACAATGGCAATGGTTCTTTATTGTGCTGATGCACTCAATTGACTGATGCCTGCCTCATTGAGATGTTATCAAGGACCACTGACTCACTTTTTATGTAATGAAGATATTTTGACTGCTGAATAATGTAATTTTGATCAAATCTTGATATGTAGACCCTCGTAGTAATCATATGGAAGTGAATGAAACCTTCTATTTTTGCAGTGATAGATAGGTTTTATGGTCAGTTAACACAATACTGTACCAAGTTCAATGAAAATCTATCAGCTAAACTAATCCCTTTTACTTGATAACAATTATAAATAAGATATTCGAAACCTCAATACTTTTTCATATAAGACATTTTTGTTGTTGTCAGTGATAAATGTCTCATGATGAAATTCTAATGAATTTTATTAACAGAACACCTCTTTTAGGGAGAAGAAATACTAGAAGGCATGACAAATGGAATCATGGCATTGCAATCTGCATGTTTTTCTATAAGATCAAAGAATTATTGTGAAGTGGCAATTATAATTCTCTAAACGCCGTCCAATATTGTTATTCTAGCTCAATTTTGAAAGTATAGTTCAACTAGAAATGTTGAATGAGAATATTGAGGGATACATGTTGATTTTGTACCAGGGATGAGAAGTGTGTTCATATTGAATTTCACCCACATACGCCAATCCGAAATTGGATCGGAGCATTATTTGATATTTTATGAATGAAGTTATAGTTATTCTGTTATCCTAGGATTGCTAGCACAAGGGTAATCTGCACTTACATGTAGGTTCATAGATATTGTACTATTTTTGTTTGTTAACAATTCAAATATATGAAAGTCACAATCTTAATTAAGATTGACCTAGAAAATGAAAAATACAATCTGTATGCTTTTTTTTCCTATTATCAATAAAATTGCTATTACATATGCACATTTCTACAAATTCTCATCCTGGTCTTAGAAGTTAATTTAGTAATGTACTTTCATACATGCATATCTATCAATTGACACTTGTTGAACTGGGCAAATTTTAGGAACTATTTGCCACTGGGCTTGGCATAAAAATTTAATTTATTTTTTACTTTAGGTCTTAATTCTTAATGAATGAAAACCTGGAAAGATTTCCAGTGCAAGTGACTATTTGATTGATAACTTGTATGTACAAAATGAATACCGTATATAACGGTGTATAAACCGCACTTTTTTGCCGCCGAAAAAATTTCAAAGTCGGGGGTGCGGTTTATACACGGTACACCAAAAAAAAAAACTTATGCCCCTCCACCTGGCGCTATGCCTGGCAATGTCTCCCAGCTCGGGAATCGGTGTGTTGACTCACCACTCGGAAACTAGAACAACACTCAAATTTGTCTGTCATCTTGGTTTGAAAGTAATCTTTCTGATAGATCTCAATATGTAGTTTATAATAATAATTCCTCCAATTTTTCTTCTATTACATGGTGTACCACAAGGTTCTATCCTAGTATCCTAGGTCCCTACTGTTTTTTAATTTACAGTACCGTAATGATCTTACACACAAAAAAAAAAAAATTTTTTTTTTTTTTTTTTTTTAAGGGCGAAAAAGAGGGGTGCGGTTAATACACGAGGGCAGTTTATACAACGTTATTTACGGTAGTTTTAGCTTGTGACTGAACACAAAATCACATGATATGCAGGTCTCGACGCCAACAGGCGCGACTGGGACACATGGACGTCCAAAATTTTAAGTCCGAACCCTCAATATTTTGAATTTTAATCATAGGGCTCTGATGTATACAGTCTGTAAAAGGTTTATTCTGTAGTCTTAATAGAAGTTTGTGTGGAGCCATGTGATATGTCATGACTTGACTTGATATGAAGCAGCGTGTGTGAATGGTGCTGATGTGTTTAAAATGACCAAAAAATATTCCTTATTTAACAAATAATCTTGAGCTCTATAATTATAGGCTTGAAAAGGAATTTGTATTTTTACAGATTGTTCATTTACAAACCAATAAAAGATATTTTAATTTTTAATCACTTTGCACGTTTGAAGTGAATTAACTGAATCATGTGGTAGACTATCCCTTTAAGATATGAATTAGCAGCATTGGCAGTATGTGATGTGTGCATGAATTTAAATATGATGGATGCCAGATGTGAGGAATGTGTGTAGTTTTTTAGAGGATGATGATAGTGTGCTATTTGACATATTGTTATATTGTGATTCTAATATCACTATCAAAATCATCAGGGGGCTCTAGCCCTCCCCCTTTCTTTTTTTAAACTCTTTTTTGGGTTGCTTCTTATCTTACACCTGTGGTTATCATCTTGATCTAGAATGTGGAATTGTGCTAAATTTATTTATCTGTTGTCTATATATATATATATATACTTCATTTTTATTTTTTTTATTGGAAAATGACATGAATCAGTATAAATCGATGCCTAAGTGGCTGTGACCATAATAAACATATTTAAAGTAACTGCAGAAAGAGATGTGACTGAAGAATTCTGAATTTGAACTTGCAGTTGAACAAATTATACGTAAAATTAAGAGCCAAAATGTCTAGACCATGCCCTGGAAATGCACAGCCATCTAAACGATATACATATATGACCTGACTAAACACAGTTCCATGTTTTACAGTCTGCTAAACAGAAACTTTTTTGAAGGAATGACAAAAGACCCTTCATATAAAGGGGCTAAGATAGCCTCCTCCTTCTTCTAACTTCTTCTCACTTCTTCTTCTTAAAGGGAAAGTCCACCCCCAAAATAAGTTTGTTTCGATAGAGGCAGAATAATAAGAAAATCAGGTGAGTGAAAGTTTGAGCAAATTCTGAATGAAAATAAGAAAGTTATGAATTATTGAAGTTGTGATCAATCAAATACAAATTGGCAACTCTGTGACTTATTATACGAGCTCTCCTTCATTTGCTTTGTGCATAATATTCCATAAAATCATGTTTTCTTCGTTATTGATGACGGAATATATATTTGTTCCTCGCAGGGGGAGTATGGAAACATATTTGCAATTATTATATTTAGGGTGCATGTATGGTTGAAATTTTTCTTGAGGGAAAATGAAAATTTTAGATTTTTTTAGTACTGAGCAAATGGAAGTTGAGCTCGCATGATACGTCATAGAGTTGCCAATTTGTGTTTGATTGATCACAACTTCAAAAATCCTAACTTCCTTATTTTTAATCGGAATTTGCTCAACTTTCACTGACTTGTTTCTCTCATTTTTCTACTCCTATTAAAACTAACTTAATTTCAGGGTGGACTTCCCCTTTAAACTTTCTTCTTCTTCAACCTTTTTCTTCTTTCTCAACCCTCTTCTTCTTCTTCTTCTTCTTCTTCTTCTTCTTCTTCTTCTATCATCTTTTCATTGTGAAAAAGCTATAAGGCATCTGGGGACAGCAAATTTTTATACCCTCTCCAATGAATACTAAACGTAAGGGTGGAGATAAAGCATGTCACTTGTACAAATGCCTCCTTTTTTCAATAATCAATCACTTCTTTGTCCCTTTGTTTAACTGCTTTTCAGACCGTAGAATCCATGGTCCGACATTTTTTTTTAATGGGAATTGATCTCCCCCCCCCCCCCCCCCCCCCCACCCACCTTTTACTAAATCTGGATCCACCCTAGATTAAAAAAAAAAAAGTTATACACTAAATACACGTGTAACCGGAAGACACGGTAGTTTTCTTTTACAGTACAGTGCAGTGCTGCTAGTGACGTGTATTTGTAAGTGACGTGTGACGTACGTGAAGAGATTTGAGAAGAGGAGGACAGCATCACAGCTAGACACAGTTCGATCTTGAAGATGTGGTCGTTCTTATCGAGAGATCCCACGAGGGCCTTTCCTTTTGAAATCGGAGAGAAGGTGGAAGGACTAGAAGATAAATCGATTTGGACTTTGCATCAAGGAAAACGGAAGGTAAATAATGGCTCAACAAATACACTACAGTCCCATACCTAGGATTCCATGTAGGCCCTAGGTCTAGATCTATATAGACTAGAATCTAGGTCTAACAATTGTAACATAAGTTGATTGAAAGGCTAAAAGTCATCATCAATGATGGAGCTATGGAGTCTAAAGTCTACACTTTATTTAAAAATTCAAAAAAATTATGCTGACCTCTGAGCTCTGGCTCTGGTCTGACTGTCCTCTGACGGCTGACGCGTATGACGCTGACGAGAGTTCTCGATGTTGATTTCTGCTGGAAACACAAATGTATACAAAATTTATTCATATTGATCCTGGCCTGGCCAAAATAGCATGTAATATTCTGGTGTACAATGGAGGTTCATGTCGTATTGCCAATTTGATGCTAACTTTACGACAATAGCAAGTAGTTAAGTGTAAAGCGGTGTGTGTGAATTCAGCGACACACCAAGGATGTTGCTGCGTGCCTTATCAATTTGCCTCACAATCAGCTTGTATGATTGTACAAATGATAGAATGCTGCTGCTCGTACAGTAACCCTCTTCAACAAACACTCATATCACACTCGTCTCGGACTCGAAGCAATCCATAATTTGTTGCCAATGAGTGAAAGCATTTAAAATCAATTAATTAATTTTTTTTTTTAAATTCTCGTAAATTATTATTATGATTATTATTATGATGATGATTATTATTATTATTATTGCACATCATGTTTACATTAATTGTTATACAATAAATCACTTTTCTCTGACCTCTATTTTCCTTATCAGGCTAATGGAGAGCCTGTATCAGTGTTTATGGTGGACCTCAAAAGCCATTCAGAATCCATAGTCCAGTTGGCCAAGAGCGCTCACAAGCGACTCAAGACACTGCGACATCCAAATTTCCTTCTCTATGTAGATGGGTTGGAGACTGAGAACGTCATCTATGTTGTGACTGAGGAAGTTACGCCACTGGGTACTTTCTTGAAGACTAATGCTCCAAAAGAATCAACAATATCTTGGGGATTATATCAAGTAGTGGTGAGTATTATGGTCTGTGCTCTTATATGGTGGATCTCTTTTAAAAATGAACCAGAAAAGAAAAGGAAAAAAAGTTGTATAAGGAAAATATTTTGGTATCTTACCTTGGCAAATTATCATTAATTGTTTTGTGTTATGCTTGTATGTTTTTATCAGTGTCCTGTATTTCAATCCGTTTTGTAACATATTCAGCTAGCTGAACCTGAAAGTATGACACCAAGCTGCAATTTGTCCATTTATAATTTGTTTGGAGCTTGGAAGATATGAGTTTTGTATAAAATGATGAGTTTGAATGCCCTTCTGCCTACAACAGACAATGTTATCTGTTTTTATGAATTACAGAAAGGACTAAGTTTTTTGCACAATGACTGCAAACTGAAGCACAACAATGTCAACTTAAGCTGTGTGTTTGTGACTCGTGCTGGGGAATGGAAGCTTGGTGCTGTGGACTACATCACTCCATCTGAAGGGGAGGGCAGTACCAATCCAGATAAGGGACTGAGATCACTAGAAAAGTACAACCCACCAGAAATGACCGATGTGAGAGCTAGGAAGAGACCATGCCCATGGTATGTCTAGTTTAGCATTCAGTTTTTTTGTCATGATGTATTCTAAGAAGTCATTTTGGCTAGAGATATAATACAAGAATCTGTAAGGAAATGCATAAACTTATGTGCACTAAAATGTTTGCAAGCTAAAATATTTCTGATTTGTGTTTGTTTAATGCAATGGTAGTGAGGGTTTTATAAGAATACTTCATATATATTTTTTAAATTTTGATATGCATGTGTGTTGGAAAAAGTAGAGTTTGTTGAAACATAATTGTGATATGTACAAATCAGTGGTGATTGTAGCTTGTGCTTTCAAATTATCCACCAGGACTATGATGTAGCAAATTGTGACCATAATTCTTGTACATTACATTCACACTTCGGTAAATGATTCATTAAAAAAAGTGTAATAACCTGTGAATTGAGCTTTGATTATGTATCTATCTTTTTTCAGGGCTGCTGATATGTGGGGTCTTGGTTGCCTAATATGGGAAGTATTCAATGGAACACTTCCTAGAACATCATCTTTAAAAGCACTGGGAAAGGTAAATGAAAGTTTTACTCAATTTATCATTTTCCTCCAGAATGTTGTCCAATTGTCCAATGTAAACAAGAGTTTATCTTTGGGAGGGTTTATTTTACTGTCTTGTTAAGTTGATGTTAATATTCAAGAAGATACTATTAAATTTTCATGCAGGTGTTATCTTTCATTGAACGTAGCTGTGAATGTATATCAGATTGGATTGTGTACATAAATAATAATTAAAACGATTGAAATAAAAATCCTTGAGAGTTCACTTCTTCACTATGATGACTGGTTTCCAGTTATAATTGAAACCAGTCATAGTGAAGAAGTGACCTCTCCAGGATTTTATTTCAATTGTTTTAATTATTTGTTTATTGCCGTGATGGAGGATTATCCAAACTAGATTATTTGTTCTCCATATTATGTCTAAAACCAACCCTTGAGAAAAACTTAAATCATATTCATATTCTCTATGATCACATTTTTTTACTACAATACCTTGCAATTCAAGGAAGTGTTACATATTAATACAAAATGCATGGCTGATTAGTATGTAATAAGAGGAGCATTCAATAATATTTGAAACCTCTTCTTTTCTTCATTCGTAAATAAGACCTACAATCCCATCTTGTATGTTCATCTAAACTGGTTACTGGTTAGTCCTCATTGTTTTAAAATTTACTTTGTTTAGATACCCAAACATCTTGTACCAAACTACTGTGAATTGGTTGGAGCAAACCCTATATCTAGACCAAACCCAGCAAAGTTCATTGAATCGTGTCAGAATTCTGGTGGCTTCATGAAGAACAGCTTTGTTGATACCAATCTCTTCCTTGAAGAAATACAGGTAAGATATGGGAAGTGTACCTCACTCCCAGTCCTACACCTTAAGACCTAACATTTCATCTGTAATAATGTATGTTTTAATAAATAAATTTCTTTCTACGAAAAATACAGATTATTCTTTTCCTCATCACCGCATTAAATCATTGTAAAGTGTAGCACAGTTTCTTCAACCTATCATGAATAGCATCTGATTTAGTTTGACAAAATATGTAGATCTGAAGGAGGATGGGTGCTAGCGAAGAAAATAGTAGTGGGTAAAACATAAAGGAGTACCTATATAGAAAGTATATAGTTTTAGGCAGACAAGAATCAATGTGGTTCTTAACCTAACAAGATGATTCAGTTTATGTTTCAAAGGCATAATTGGTTTTATGACTCTTCACATAAGCAGTATGGGGACATTGCATTTTTCTCAATTTAAGAATTTGTTCATTCTCTCTTGCTTCTCTAGATTAAAGATCAGACAGAAAAGACCAAGTTCTTGAGTGGTTTGAGTGCCGCCATCGACGACTTCCCTGAGGAGTTTTGTCGTCATCGTATTCTTCCTCTCCTTCTGCAAGCCTTTGAGTTTGGCAACGCTGGTTCAGCTATCCTTACTCCTCTTCTCAAGGTTTGACGACTATCATTGTTAATAAATATTACATAAGCCCATGATTGATATGATCTGTAAATGAAATGGAAAATACATTAACATGATTCGATCCAAGAATGTTATTGAAATTATTGAAAAACAATTAGTCTAGGCAATGTTATATAGGAATAATAAAGTATTAAATGTCTGCCCCGTGATGCAAGCTTCATTGCATCTTTCCAATGAATAGTTTAACAATTAAATCAAACAGTTGTTAGAAAGTGTTTGTTCTTCTGAAAGTAGGAAAATGAACATAAATTACCAGTGTAAAGGCTTTCTCAGTCTAGTTACCAAGACTATATGATCAACCCCATTAGGCCAATGATGTATTTTATTATTTTAGATTCAATTTGTGGCCTATTCAACATTTCACAATATGGAGACGAAGAAATGTTTTATTAATGTTTCTAGGAAATAACAAATGAACCATCAAAGACATTGCATCATATATGTTAAAAAGTATTGAATCCTTAGTTAGTCCAATTGGGGCCAGTCTATTATTTAAATGTCTTTGTTTTTGTATACAATTTTAACTGTAGTTGGGAAAGCTACTGGATGGTGATGAATACCAGAAGAGGATAGTGCCTATTGTAGTCAAGCTCTTCTCATCAACAGATAGGAATACAAGAGTCAAGCTACTACAACAGGTAAGAATTTCATTATTGATGCTTTTTTTTCAGCTTATTTATTTGGCATTTAGAAATGATGTTTCCTTTCATGGCACTTTTATATGAATTTTAGATTTAAATGATGGAAAGGTGTAAAGGTATAAGGGTGTGTAGGTAAAAGAGGATAGAAGGAGAGCAAAAGGAGGGGGGTACATATTACATGAGAGAGAGGGGAAGGGGAAGGGAGGGATGGGGAGGGAGAGAGAGAGAGAAAGAGAGAGAGAGAGAGAGAGAAGGAGAAGAGGGGATGGGTAAAGAAGTGTTAGAACATATTCATCAGTGCATACATATTTTTTGTTCGTCTTTCAGATGGATCAGTTTATAGAGCATCTACAACCAGCTGTTGTCAACGATCAGATCTTTCCTCACATATGTCATGGTTTCAATGACACCGTGCCTGTTATAAGAGAAAATACAGTAAAGGTAAGGCTGCTGTTATTGGGGTCACTGTTTTTAGATCATCTGACATCAATTAGAGTTCCTAACAACTCCAATTTAAGTTTTGTTAAAAGTTTTAGGGTTAGGAATTTGGTTGTCATTTAACTTTAAGTTTGGTATAGTTTTGGAGCCAGGGTTGGAGTTAGAATTTGAGTTGCATTTAATAGAAATTGACCAAAGGGCAATTGTGGCATGATCTTATGTAATGCAATTACATAGTCCATGTATATGAAGTAGATACTCTAATTAGAGAGTGAGAGCTTAGTAAAATGTCTACTTGATTCTATGACAGTGCAGTGAGGCCTGCTCATTAAACGGTTTACCATGTGCACCCTAATAGTAACAGAGGATATTCAGAATATAAAGTCATGTAATACTTTCTAAAAACTTTTTTGATATCAGCTGATGAACTTTGTTGTTGATGATGTTTTTTCAGGCGATGCTTCTTTTAGCTTCCAAGCTGAATGACAAGAACCTGAATATAGAACTCCTCAAACACTTTGCAAGGTTACAAGCCAAGGATGAACAGGTAAGACAATGTTCAATCATGTGTAGTTCATTAAGGTTGCTGACATGTGAAATAGAATACCAAATGATTGAATTGCTAGTTTGCATTAGTGTATTCCTGTGTGTTTGTTGTGTTTGATATTAAATCATGAACATATTCTTTATTTTATTTCAGGGAGGAATCAGAACAAATACCACAATTTGCCTTGGCAAGCTTGCCGGCTACCTAAACCCTACGGTAAGTCTTCACTCTTATAACATTCCAACCAGTTGAAAAACCGACACTAAATAATCACAATGTTCATTTACGATGCCTATGATACTAACTGTGGACAACATCAGACAAGTGTTTCATCACGTATGTACTGTCAAACCTGCTTTAGTGACCACCTGTCTACAAAGACTACAAAGGCCACATTTGTCTTTTCCCTTGAAAATGGTTTCTCATTGAATCATGTACTAAAGGAACCTGTCTACAAAGACCACCTGTCTACAAAGGCCACTTTTTGTGTTTCCCTTGTGCGGTCGCTATAGACAGGTTTGACTGTATTAAACTTGATTGTGTACTTTGATCATTGTACAGACAAGACAAAAGGTGCTTTCCTCTGCGTTTGTACGAGCCATGAAGGACCCTTTTCCACCAGCCAGGACAGCGGGTGTCCTTTCCATGCTTGCCACACAGAGCTACTACTCCCTCAAGGACTGTGCTCTCAGGGTTCTACCAACCCTCTGCACGCTCACAGTAGACCCTGATCAGGGTGTGAGACAGAATGCCTTCAAGGCTATCAAGATCTTCCTGGGGAAGCTGGAGAAGGTCTCACAGGATCCAGAACTGCTGGAAGAAATGGGTAAGAACAGCAATGTAGGACAGCAATCAAAATGTTCAGGGCTTGAGGCACAGGAGAAACTGATACAACACTTGTTGCTGCCCCTGCATGTTTCTATGATAGCACAAACATTTACCTCTTCAGGGTAAATGCTAACTCAGAGTTTGAGTTTGAAAAGAGCTGCTGGATGAAAACAAATTGGGGTTGGGATAGAACTGCGTGTCACAGCTTTGTATTAATCTTGCTATTCTATTTCAGCAAAATTATCTTCATAGCAAGAACTACATACAGCCATTCATAACTGTTTGCTGAGAAGTATCCTCCTGAGAAATTATCTCCATGTGTAGGAGGTGTCTGACATATTTGTGACATTAACTCAAGATGTTTAGTTCAGTTCAGTTTATTTCAATCAAAGCAAAATTACTTGCTGTATCGAGTGACAATATTCTTACAATGACAAGATCTGTTGTGTGAAATGATATAAGCATTGTATCAAGATGGTATGTGATGTAATATCAAAGGTAAGAAAAATTTCAATTTGAGAGACAAGTTGATGACCAATGTGTTGTGTAGGAATTAAGGATGCAATTCATAATCCCTGTGGTCGCCAGCTTTATTAAGCACAGACGTTTTTATTGAGTATCGGTAGAGCATATTCATAACACTTCTTATCCCACCTGAATTCACAATTCAACAGAGGCCGATGTAAATAAAGCAGGTTCAGCAGCTCAGAACCCCTCAAGTTGGACAGGATGGGCAGTGACATCTCTTACATCAAGGTTATACAGGGGAGGTGGCACTAAACCTGCAGCACCAGGAACAGGTGGCCCTCAACAAGGCAAGTATTACTGGAGCCACCAATGCTGTGGTATCTCAGATTGACATGCAAGAGTGCACTTGTTAGATGATGTTCTCCTTCTAAGCCCCATGTTGTGTTATCTAAAGGCTATTATTACATTCCATGACTGATGAGCATGATCATTTTTACACTGTCATTGCCAGCTGTGGATGAATATATGAGGAAATGGATCAGTCAGATTGAGATTCAGTTTAAAAAATTAGTTTGTAGATGTTTTTTTTTTTTTTTTTTTTAAATTAAACATGAAGTGAACTTTTATATGTCAGTCATGAATGAAATCATGAATGTAATTTTCTCATCCAACATGTGAGAATAGAAAGTTATGCCGTCAATCATTGCAGCTAATAACTTGCTTGTATACAGGACAAATAAATGTGTAATCCTAGCCATATCATACACCACACTAGACTGCCTGAAGCTATATACGTGCTTGATTCTTACAGTAAAAAATCTTTACCATTGTTTGTATGATATGACTTGCAGCTAAGCCAGACACAACAGCATCCAAGCCTGCACCTGCCAAGGACGAGAGGCCATCTTCAATGACCAGGGTTGATGGCAGCAGAGATCGAGACTCAGATTCAGATTACGGCAATGAAGAAGGCAAAGAAGGTGATGCTGATGGCTGGAATGACAATGATAACTGGGGCAATATGGAGGTATGCCAATTAATTGAATTCAATGTAGTTGGTTTTCTAGAACTTTTTTAAAATTTGTTTATAGATTTATCTTTTATCATCTAATAAATGTTAACTTGCATCTAGAAAACTACATTAGATGATTAGATTTGTGTAACCCTGATGTCCATTCTGTCAGATGTTTAAGATCTTTGGAATGGTTTTTTTACACATGAGGCCTATCAATCCTTTGTATGTTGCGGGCATCATCTGCACTTTCTGAGAAGATATTTGTCAACCATAAATTTTCAAGCATACATGAAAGTGAGACACAAAGGCTGCCATGTTTCCTACAATGCCCCTTTTTTATGCCTCCGCTACAAAGTAGCCGGAGGCATTATGTTTTCTGGTTGTCCGTCCGTCCGTACGTCCGTACGTCCGTCCGTACGTCCCGTTCTCGTGATCGCGTTATCTCAAGAACCAATTGATGGATTCTCTCTAAACTTGGATCATGTATGTATCTTGCAAAGCCAATGAACTGATTAGATTTTGGGGTCACGAGGTCGAAGGTCAAAGGTCACAGGGCTCATTATGTATTCAAAAATAGCTTGTGATCGCAATATCTCAAGAACCGATCAATGGATTCCTGCCAAACTTGGGTCATATATGTATCTAACAGAGCCAATGAACTGATTAGATTTTGGGGTCACGAAGTCGGAGGTCAAAGGTCACAGGGCTCATTATGTATACAAAAATAGCTTGTGATCGCGTTATCTCAAGAACCGATCGATGGATTCGTGCCAAACTTGGGTCATGTATGTATCTAACAGAGCCAATGGACTGATTAGATTTTGGGGTCACGAGGTCGAAGGTCACAGGGCTCATTATGTCTACAAAAATAGCTCGTGATCGCGTTATCTCAAGAACCGGTCAATGGATTCCTGCCAAACTTGGGTCATGTATGTATCTAACAGAGCCAATGAACTGATTATATTTTGGGGTCACGAGGTCAAAGGTCACAGGGCTCATTATGTATGCACAAATAGCTTGTGATCGCATTATAATGAGAACCAATAGACAGATTACTATCAAACTCAAGACATGTATATATGTATCTTGCAGAGCCAATTAACTGATTAGATTTTAGGGTCATCAGGTCAAAGGTCATGGGGCTCATTATGTATGACTATAAATAGCTTGTGAATGCATTATTATTAAAACCGACAGATGGATTACAATCAAACTTGAATTTTAAAAATTGCTTCCGTTTTGGTTTGTAAAGTTGCTCTATGGCGGAGGCATCATTTTTGACTGCGCGCAGTCAAAATTCCATCTAGTTTCTCCTGGATATAGGGAGGAAAATGTAGATAACTGCAGCGACAAGTTAAATCGTTCCTATGACTAGAGCGGACAAAGCCAGCCAGCAAAGGTTGCCACCCCCTTAAAAAAATCCATGTTTGGATTTGTCAATTCAGATGCACCTCCCAAAGTAAATAATCTTGTAATAAGCTGGTGCTTTTAGTCATTTTTGTAAGGATAACGATTCCATTGACACAAATTTGACAACGAGCACTATTGTGTGACAAATGCTTATTCATGCTGTTCATCATTTTCATACAACTTTCTCTATTCTTTCAAGGAGGAGGAAGATACAACTACAGCACAAGAGACAGAGGAAACAAGTGAATGGGATTCTCAAGGGTGGGGCGATGATGACGATGATTACAATCAGGACAGTCTTGAAACACCAGCTCCTAAAACAAGTAAATCAACTTCATATGCTACATCATCAATATCATCATCAGCAAAGTCAAAATCATCTGCGTTAAAACTGGGAGGAACCAAGAAGACACAAGATGTTGACTTTGGAGATTGGGGTCTGGATGATTCCACGGTAGATAGGAAACCCATCAAGACAGGTTCCAAGCTGTCTAAAAGTCAGTCGGGTTCAGAGAAATCTACTCCGAAGGGAAGTCCGAAGAAGACGATGAGGAATGATGCTGACCTGGGAGGATGGGACGATGATGATGATGACGCTGGTGGATGGGGGAGCATGGATGCAGTAGCAGATGATGATGGAGGAGGCGGTGGAGGAGGAGGATGGGGAGATGACGATGACTGGGGTGCTATGGAAGACGTGTCGATATCACCTACCAAATCTGCGCAGAAATCAAAGGTATGCATGTATGACTGTATAGGAAGGGTGGAAAGGGTGTGAATATCTTTATTATTAATTATCCACATTTTGAATGCTAAAAATTCTCCTTCAATCTCTCACGCTTGTAAATTTAAGGTTGTCAAATATTTGTGCACACATGAACAACATGAAAACTGTCTTTGAAATCTTTGCGCAATATTTCCCGTTTGATTCAGACTTAGACTCTAGATAATACAAAACCTCATTTTAGAGTTCAGGACTGAGAGGGTTGATTTCTTTTTCAACAATATCAGGAGATATAAATGTTCTGCAACTGATCATGTGTAAATGTCTCTGAAAAACATGTTCAGTATTGAACGCAGTGTGGAGATATGGGTGTTGGCATGGTTCCTTGTTTCTGTTTCTCCTGCAGCCAACCTCCAAGCCCCCTCCAGGATGGGGGGATAATCTAGACTTTGCAGAGGACAAGAGCCACACTCCAGCAAGCTCTTACAACTGGGGACAAGAACAAGAAACAAATCCTGATCAGGACTTCTTCGGTGCAGCGGCAAGGTCAACGGTGAGATATAATGTGTTAGCTTTACTTGATTATCTTATTCAGGTAAAATTAAATACTGTTGAATAGATTGATAAAGATGGAATGTGACAAACTGTATTCTAGAAATGAGGTTGGTAGTTCATATTTAAAGTACAAAAAGAGAATGGATGAGACAAATAAGTCTTCACAGACATTTGGTGTTAAAATTTGAGTTTAAATATATATTAGGTACAAGTGATTTTAAAGAAATGCATGATAGACAGTAGACACACAGAACATTTGGCATGAAAATAGACTTGGTATATTTGAGTCATTTGATGAATCCCTATTATGATAAGAAAATACTTCTATCCTTCATATTCCGTATTTCATTCTTTCATTGTCTTCATAGACCACCACCAGCAAAAAGTCCCTACAGACAACCAAGAAGTCATCCCCCATCAAACAGACGGCATCATCTGATACATCAGGGTGGGGCGCAAAAGACTCGGGATGGGATGATGATGGCTGGGGATCGGTTGACAATGAAGGAGGCAGCAATGATAGTGGTGAGCATGAAGATGCAATGTTATAGTATAGGTGCTGTGGTCGAGTGATTAAGTCGCCGGACTGTCGATCACAAGGTCCGCGGTTCGAGACCCGCCGTGACTAATGTCCTTTGGCAAGACTTTGATCTACATTTGCCACACTCAACCCAGGTGATCTAAATGGGTACCTGGCAGGAATTAATTCTTTGAAATGCTAGAGCGCCGCAATGGCATCACAGCTAAAGCCAGGGTAATAATCACCAAGTTTGGAAGTGCTTAGTGATTCTAATGAGCGCTATATAAAAACTGAGTATTATTATTATATCATGCATGATTATTATCGAAGGGAGTCGACTCTAAACTGTGAATTAATGTGAACTATCCTTTTACTCAAATTTTATGCTCGAGGCTTCAGATTTGGTAAGAGGTTTATCACTCTTTGAAAGCCTAAATATTTTCTTCTCCATTGATAGAGGGAGTACCACAAGGCTATATGTAGAACATGTTATATTCTTGTTTCTTTTTTGCTACCATTACTGTTTATTATTTTTAAGTGGTTAAACTTTCATTTAAAATAATAAGTGTTTCATTATCTTTCTCTTCTTTCAGGATTAAGTAAAGCAGAACTTGCCAAGAAGAAGAGAGAAGAGAGGAGATTACAAAGAGAGAAAGAACTCCAAGAGAAGAGAGCAGCCAGGAAAGCAGCAGGACCCACTAGACTTGGTGCCAAAAAGGATTGAGATCAATGTCTTCTATTCCACCCATTCCATTACAAAGCTAAAGTATTTAATTAATCTAATTTTGATCTGGATGATACGTATATAAAAGCAAGTGTATGCCTTGAAGTAAGATTCAGTGAAACTTTATTTTTTGATGATAGTCATATATGAGGTATGAGGGTTTATGTAATCAAAGATGGATGCTTAACTCAGAGGCAGTAGCACAATCACATGGCCCCATATCTGGGATACCCAGTTTCAAACCTTACTGTTATATCCTCCGAGCTGTACTGCCTTCTCTATAAAAAAAATATATATAGTGTATACATGTTTTTCTCGTTCTTTCTGCCAATGAATTATTCTTTTGTGCCAATATTGATTGGATGTAGTTCTCGTTTAAGTGGGTAGATAAGTCCACTGATTCATTGAGTAACGAGTGCCAATCTCTTCATCCTGCAAAAATTACCATAATTCTGTAACTATACAGACCTATAATTACCCGATTTAAATCGGTTTCCTGATTTGTTTTCTTTCTTTCTGATTCTTCCCCTATTTCCCAATTTTTCCCCAATTTTCTTACTCAAAAGGAGGGGGGGGGGGGGGTGCTGGTTGAGGATTTTTTTTTTTTCTTTAGTGCTTACTATCACCCCTGTTATATGAACAAAAAAATCAAGTCAACATGAAATTGGTTTCTCATATTCTTTTTATGAATGGATTCATTTTGTGTAGTTATAGTATTATTTTTTTTGACAGAAAAAAGAGCTTTGCACCTGGTGCTCCATAAGTCAGTGGACAAAGTTTGACCAGGCTCACTTAGTACACCTTAATGATTATGAGCCTGTATGTTCACTCAATATTTTCTTGATGTTGCTTGAAGTTTGCAGATCATGAAAAAAATCCAAAAAATCTGTGAAGGAGACATTTTCAGAATTGTATATGAATCTAAATATCACTCTATTGTGCTGTATTAAAGTTTTATGTATGAACTTCCATAGAAATATACTTCATATCGGGTGTAGTGGTGGTTATTTTACCTGACTGCTAAGTAAGCATAAATGCTTGTAAGTAAGCAAACAAAGGACCATAGCATAAAACTGATTACCAGTAAGGGTTTACCTCCGAGTACGGATATATATGGTATCATTACGTACATGTATCACTGGCCTCATCATGGTTGTCCATAAATCTCTGGTGTCAATTGTTAGTTCTCTAAAAATCTTATTTATTCTTTTAATTCAGAGATAACTGGAAGGATAAGATTTTAAGCTACTGACTTATGATAAATGTTCATTCAAGCTCATAGTTTTATCTCTGCATATATCTAGCATGCGCAAGGGTCATCACTTTGAATGGAAAAGGGAGATTTGGATATCACACAAAATATTAAGAAAAATAAGTCCAAGATAGATAATGAACTCTGGAATATATTATTGGGAAGTGTAGTGTACAGTAATGGTGTAAATCTATGAACATGGAAAAAAGGTTTTCTTTGCCTATCATAGTACAATTGTTATTTATAATTGTTACTCTATAATAAAGTCTATTTTTATGCCTCCGCCACCGAAGGTGGTGCCGGAGGCATCATGTTTTCGGGTTGTCCGTCCGTACGTCCGTCCGTACGTCCGTCCGTCCGTCCCGTTTGACCGTTATCACAATATCTCAAGAACCATTTAAGATTTAAACTTAAGACTCGGGAATAGTATTTATCACCATAGGAAGACGATCTGATTAGATTTTGGAGTACGTAGGTCAAAGGTCACAGAGGTCAACTTATGAAATTCCTTGTATTGAGTTTGTTAGCGCGATATCTCAAGAACCATTTGAGATTTAAACTTCAAACTTAAGGATAGTATGTATCACCATAGGAAGACGATCTGATTAGATTTTGGAGCACGTATGTCAAAGGTCAAGGGTCACAGAGGTCAACTTATGAAATTCCATACATTGAGATTGTTATCATGATATCTCAAGAACCACTGGAGATTTAAACTTCAAACTTAGTGATAGTGTGTATCACTATAGGAAAACAATCTGATTACATTTTGGAGCACGTAGGTCAAAGGTCAAGGGTCATAGAGGTCAACTTATGAAATTCCATACATTGAGATTGTTATCATATCTCAAGAACCACTGGAGATGTAAAAACTTCAAACTTAAGGATAGTATGTATCACCATAGGAAAACGATCTGATTAGATTTTGGAGCACGTAGGTCAAAGGTCAAGGGTCACAGAGGTCAACTTATGAAATTCCATACATTGAGATTGTTATCATAATATCTCAAGAACCACTGGAGATTTAAACTTCAAACTTAATGATAGTGTGTATCACCATAGGAAGACAATCTGATTAGATTTTGGAGCACGTAGGTCAAAGGTCAAAGGCCACAGCGCACATTATGAATGCAAAAACAGCTTGTGATCGCGTTATCTCAAGAACCGATTGATGGATTCATGCCAAAATTAGGTCATGTTTGTTACTTGCAGAGCCAATGAACTGAGTAGATTCTTGGTTCATAAGGTCAAAGGTCAAAGGTCATGGGCCCATTATGTATGCAAAAATAGCTTGTGAACGCATTCTCATTAGAACTGACAGATGGATTACTATTCAACTCAGAACATCTTGCAGAGCCAATGAACTGAGTAGATTTTATGGTCATGAGGTCAAAGATCAAAGGGTCATATATGTATATGAGAAATTGCTTGTAATCACAATATTCTGAGAACCTGTCAATGGATTACCATTGAACGTGAATTCAATTTTTTTTTTCTGTTTTGGTTTGTAAAATTGCTCTATAACGGAGGCATCATTTTCGACTGCGCGCAGTCGAATTCCATCTAGTTACATATACAATGAATTAATTTACAATATTTTACTTAAGTTATAATGAGGCTTTTGCAGGATAGTTTAGACTTGGAGCTATTGTATCATATTGTGCTTTGATAGGTCTGATGAAGGATGTTTTGCCCATCAATGATTTCAACACATGTAATCTGGTGGACTAACTCATCTACATTTTTAATCAGTTTCATATGCTGGCAAGTCAATACACAATATTATAATTCATGCTACCCACCATTTATAATGCATCAAAGCAATTGCAAAACCATACTATGTGTAATGTGTACAAAAACTTTCAAGTGATGCCAATTCTTCATTTAGTTATTTTCTGATATATCAGTCTGTAGATGATTTAAGGTAGCCCATGTTCGTATTGTTGAAAAAATGAAAGCATTATTAATGAAAGTCACTAGTACATGGCGATTTCAAGCCTTTTTGTCCCTTCAGTATATCTGAGGATGGTATTAAGCTTAAGCTGATAGCCCTGTTAGAGCAAATCAGACAAAACCATCAGATACATGTTTTATGTCATTTCATGTTCGCAATTCCGAAATACAATACAATAATACTTGATAATGTATGGGAAACAACTTGGACTTGCCCATTAGAATACCCATCACTACTATTTTCTCAAAACAGTGTTTCCATTCAGCTTTGGCCTCATTACACCAAGTACTATCAAGTGCATTCAACTGTGTATACTGTGTGAATGATGAAAATTGTTTCATTGTATAAATCTTTGCCATGTTTTGAATATACATGTAAGTTTAGTGTGACATATTATTTTTACGGCGCATCTCAACTTGGAGTTAGAAAAGAAGTACATACAACTTTTATTTCAGTACTGAAAAAGTGTATTAATTCACCTTTTACGTGCTAATGAGAGAATGGTATGGTGTTGAAAGTAAGACTTTCTTGAATGAAATATATGATATATCTAGATATGTAATATAATAAATACAATTTTAACACAATCTATGGTACATTTTTCTTCCTTCACTTTTTGTATGTTTATCACAAAAAGCTCAGTAGAGTATAAAACTCACCAATAAATCACTAGTTTTTCTTACACTGACATAAATATTATGCACTAAATACTTATAACATTTTCAATGATTATAAAAGAGGGAAATAAGAAAAACTGAAAAACATATCAGTGATGAAAATCTTATTTATCTTTATTTCACAAACATAAACATGGAAAACTTAAACAAAATGAACAATTACACAAAAGAAAAAGAAAACAATAACAACATCAATAAAACTTAATGCCAAAGAGCAAATTCCAAGTAAACACATCCGTTTTTACAAATTATCAAGCACATTGAAATGCTGTCTTATAAACCCATGATTGGACATTTTAAACATCTTCTCTTGAATTGCATTGGTATAAAAGTCAGTTTACAAAGTAATCGAGCTGAGATAGCAATCATAGAGAGAATGCTACAGAGCATTTGCCTTTTAAAAGTACATGTACTAACTAAAGACCTCAATTATGATGGATAAACCAAGTTCCATCGATAATAATAAGATAGGACTCGAACATGCACACACATGCCAGAACCACTCTCCTAGCAAGTTACAGACGGGATGGACTTTCTATGAATACTGTCCCTATCTTCATCAGCCTCAAAGAGGAAAAGCTTTAAACCGAAAGTTAATAGCATGTTGACAGTACATTGAATTGCACCAGAAGAAATTACAATACACAAGATTTAATTTTTAAATAAATGGAACAAAATTAATGAAGCAATGTTGAGTTATGAATGTTAGAAGGCATTTAAAGCCTTCCTCTAAAACTGGAGGCCAGAGCATTTTACATGTATATTGGGGGGGGGGGGGGGGAGGATTTGAGTTAAAATGATTCAATTGAGATTTACGAAGGGGAAGAAGAAAACAAAACTGAAAACCCCTTCCCAAAGGAAAGTTTTGTCGGTGTTTAGTGGAAATCTCAGAGTGAGTTGCAGTATGGGTGTCAACCTTTTTTCAGCAATACTTTTAAAGGATCACATCTTACAGGCTAATTGAGAAGAATACTTCAGAACAGACTGTTGGCCTACTGAAGTCTATTACAGTATTGCTTGGAATAAAGTTGACAGTCTCACACTGTGTCACGCCTGACTGCATGCATTATCCCATAGACCTTGGTGTGACTTGGTGGTAATGTGTCTACTTTATTTCAAGCAATACTGAACAGCATATAAGGCAGAATCAACTTATTTCATATCTAATTTTACCTCAAATACAAAATACTTTTGCCTGCACAATGAAGTCTTTAGCAGATTTGTTTGAAAGACCAAACCTTTTTCAACTCTATAGAGTTCGATATTTTACTCTTTCAGCTCCCATGCAAATCAATATTTTAATACTTATCCAAACTTTTTCAATGACAAAAAGTAGAAAAATAAATTCCCTACAGATCAAGCACATCTGAGTGAATCTAACTCTTGTATGATGTCCATTGTCCAGTTACTCTGAAGAAGTCTATGTCCTGATCCTGTTCTGGTCTGTCCTACTGCTTTTTAGCAATTCTGCAGAATACCTTTACTTTAGTCCATCACCAAACTCTGCAGTTGCTCATGTGTCTTTAAGGTCAGCAATCTCTTTGGTCAAAGCCTTGACAGTTTCTTGTAGGGATGACTGTCTCTGTTTGAGTGCTGCTGAAACATCTGTTCATTCAATTGAGAGGGGGGATGTTAAACACAGCTACCGTTTTATAGTTTATACTTGTTACAATTAAAAGTGATTTCAGGAAATTGATTGAAAATAAAATAGATCCAGAATATCCATTTGGGAATAAAGGAAAAAATAAGAAGATAAAACAATATCTTCAGTTAGTCTTTTTCATTTGAAAATTATATGATCTTGTTGACAATTTTGAATCAAAATCAAAATCAAATACCAATATTCAACAGTAGCATGATCTGCAACAACTCGATATCTGCTATGCATTCTGTATGCACAAGTAGATAAAAACTCATCCAACTTTCTAATGACTCCTGCCCTGATCTGTAATGTTCTTCATTTGATAGTGCAATGCACAATTTCATTCTTAGGAAAATATGAATTTTTACGTATGTTTAGTGAATTGCAATAATTTTTCATGCCAATACTGTCCCTTCTCATTCAAGTACACTACTCACCTTCAAAGTATTCTGGAGAAGTACTCAGCTCTGTGCATATCGCCATGGCATCTTCAATGGGTGACTGGATCCGTTCCTTGTCTGTACCCACATCCACCTTCAGCTGAGACGACGATTTCTTTCTCAAGAGAGCATGTTCGACCTCCTGTAAACATTGTGGATAAAACATGGTGACTTAACTTGTGACATTTAGAGACATCAAACCTGCGACAATGTAAACACATATATTAGGAAAACACTGTTTCTGTTGTATGTTTAGGTGGCAGATCTAAGGTCAGGATTCTCTGGCTGCAGGGATGGGGTGGCACAAGTCAGCTAGGAACTCAGTGTGACAAGAAAAAAATAATGATAATTGATCTAAAGATATAAAAATTTGTTTAACTTTTAAGGAAAACAGATCAGGTGATTTATAAGAATTCTCTAAAATGCAGAAAGATATTGCTGGGAAGGAAGGGGAGGCACCTGTGAAGTCCTGTTAACTTTACATTTCAAAACATCGACCCACATCCCGCAACGTCTTATATCATTGACACATACACATTCACATGGAAACTATCCAGTCTACTCACGCGGCCGATCGCACCGGTCGATTCACACCCGACTCTAACAAAACATAACACCATTATCAAGGTGTGGGGCAGTGCATGTTACCTGTGATAACTTGATGATGCTTTCACTGAGAACTTTTACATTTGTTCTGGATATATTCAACTGACAATGAAGAATAGCATCCTCTTCATTCACTTTATCAAGAGAATGTGAAGAGCTAATTTCTTGATCCGGAATCCTTGTCATTTTCAATACTTCGAAACCAGTGCAGCAGAACTCTTTTTTCCCCCCTCTGGCTAGTCTCTTTCAAATAGCACAGTATCGTTTTTTTGTCAAACGTAAAAAAAAAAAGAAAGACAAAATTCATATTTCACTAGACGTACTGAAAGAGGCGGCGGGGGTGGGGGGGGGGGGGGGAGCAGCGGGGCACAGTGCTCCCACCTTTTCAAATACCCCTAAAGTGCCCCTTTTTACATAGGAAAAGTGCCCCTTACCACCTATGATAAATACCCATATTTAAATCTGAGAGGTGCCATTTTACTTTAACAAGTGCCCTTTTCCTTTGTACAAAGTTCCCTTTTCATATATCTGATGGGTGCCACTTTTTACCTCTGACAATAAATGACTCCTTTTATATTGACACGTGCCCCTTTTTTTTCTTCTAATAATTAAGTGCCTTTTTTCCTTCTGATAAATGCCCCCTGTTTAAATAAGAGCCCCTTCCCCTATTCATAAATGCACCCCTTCCAACTTCTCTGATAAAATGCCTCTATTAAAATCGGAAGCCTTGGCTTCGACAAGTGCCTATTTTTCTTTGGAATAAGTGCTACTTTCTGTTCTCACAAGTGCCCCATTTCATCTCAGCCAAGTGCTTATTACCCCCATCAGGACTGTATATTTTCCTCTTTATAAGATGCAAGTTTTTCGCACTGCGACCTCGCAAATCTTTAAACTTGTAATATTCAGACCATCACACTTGACTGTAAAAAATGATGCTTAAGCAGTATCTTGGATCATGTAAAGAAATAAACAAATATTGAAACCATCCCTGGTAATGTAATCACAATGTAGGGTGTATTTTCGCTTTGAGGTTTCCCTTTGAATGTGCCCTTTTTTCTCCAGAAAGTGCCCTGTTTTGTTGGTGCCCCCCTCTCCCACTTTGAAAGATATGCTCCGCCGCCCTACGTACTGACGTAAATGGTTTTCTAGTGTATAATGCTTAGATCTCTAGGATGTTCAGCAACAATGCAATAATTGAAAATCTACAACCCTGTACATAAATATGGACTATGGATAAATAAGATCTACATTGTAGAGATATAGTTCTAGTTGTCCATGTGTGATCGACATCTACATCTACATATTAAACGAATCAGGAAGTTTAATTAAACTACATATCCGAGTCTTAGACTTTTTTTTAAATTATTGCGTACTTTGTAATTGACATTTTAATGTAATGAAAATAGTATTTTTTGTTTTATTGTACTTAGATCTATGAAGGCTATTAAAGTAATACAATAAATAATACACAACGGCTTTGGTAAAGGCAATGTTCGGAGACTTTCAACCAATCAAAACGACGATTATTGAACTAGCTGTCATATCTCTGCATGATATGTATGCTGTGCATGCATTGCGCTGATGACGTTTTGGGTAGCTTTAGCTATAGATCAGAGACTCCATGATCCATGAATAGCAAGGCCACCACACCAGATTGATTCAGCTTGCTAATTTGAAAAGAAAGAAAGGGATGACGAGATGCGAAAACTAAAGTCGAGAAGATCCCGTTCCAAAGCTGCGACATCATCAAATCCTGGGAATAAAGATGGATCACGGAGCAAGAAATGCTGTGAGAATGTGAAAAAATCGGCGAACTCGAAGACGAAGTCAAGCTCAAAAAACCAAACTAAGAAGCGGGGACCGTCTCCGGACGAGCTGGAGGATAAACGGGAAATGCATCGAATCCATGAGAGGTATAGATCTAGAGTAAACAGTTAATTTAACGAAAAGTATCTGGAGGCACGAAACGTTAGAATATTTCTCCGATCTTAATTTTTAAAGATTTTCATTTGAAGTTAAACAGAAAAAGAGTGTGCCCCAGATAGTAGACTGAATCTTAATCTTACTTGAGTCTTGAGACAGTTCGTATTTGAGCAAGCCAACACCAATGAGTGACCAGCGTCAAAGTTACAATTAGCGCCAAATAAATGAGTGTAAAGAAATTAACGTAACTTACTTTTCGTCTTGGACTTGGGGTAGGCTAGATAGATCTATGATAATAAGTTAAAGTTAAAAGACAGAAACATCTGTCTGCAGGGAGGAGTTAATTGGCACTGTGTGGCACAGGGTGCCTAGATCTATGTCTTTTGATGCACTCTTTCAACAGAGGTCAGAGGGACATTGATCTAGGGCCTATACTAGGCTATAGTATAGGTCTAGGCTAAGCCTATTCCCAAATGAAATGAACCTAAGGCTTAAGCGACTCGTGGGCATAATTAATAGTAAGAGAGTTTCCAAACATGTATGCTTCCACCACAAGTGCAGTGACCATTTTAAGATGACATTTTTTAAAGGAGAAATTTGAAGGCAAAGAAAATTACAAATGTTATTCTATCAAGCCAGCTATGGGGAATAATCACACAAGGCTATGGCGTGATTTTGAGCATTGTAAAAAGCCTTTTGTAGATTTTAACTTGATGATACAGGTGCAGAGATCTTTACTAATTTGATGTTTAAAAGTAGACCCATTACTTTTAAGTATGGTATTTATAATTATTTTTAATTAAAAAAATGCTAATCCCTACTGCCGATTGGTCTTTTTCTTTGACCTTATTCATTGCTTCTTTTTCATTGATCAAACTCCTTAATTTGTGGATGATTGCATATGACAATGACAATTTCCATGTCATTGTGTATGTGTATCTAAGACATTGTCTACCTCTGATTGTAAACTTTCTCTCTCTCTCTCTCTCTCTCTCTATCTTGTGTATAATGAAATTTGCCTCACTCATTCAGGCAAAGACATTACAGCCTGAACCTGGCCATCAGGAAAATAATCAGTGCACTTCCTACTTGTGAACCCAGTGAACCAGAAACAAAGGTAATGAACTAAAGTAAAGCATCAGTTAATGAAGTGAAAGCCGTTAATACCACATTATGTGCCCAAACAGGTTGGTTATCCGAACTGTTGATTTCAAATGGATATCAGTACACATTCCCAAGACGAAAATCCAATTGAATCCCCATTGAATGTCCCCATTGAATCCCAATTGGCAATTTGGAGTAAATGGAAAGTGAAACAATGGGTACCCATTGAAACCAATTGGCAATTGGTCCCCATTGAAACCAACTGGCAATTGGTTTTAATGGGGACCAATTGCCAATTGGTTCCAATGGGGACCAATTGCCAAATGGTCTCAATGGGTACCCATTGTTTCACTTTCCATGTACTCCAAATTGCCAATTGGTATTGAATTGGGATTCAATGGGGATTCAATTGGTAAATCGATCCAGTTAGAAGAACCCGTGATAAATTACTGATACTTCATAATCGATATTGGCAACTGTCCACCAATTAGGTATATTCCAATCTCATTTGCATTAACTTCATCACATAGATCATTTGAAGTGAATTTAAGAGTTACATTTACAGTGACTCAGGCTCGTACACATATGCATGTTGTTTATTGGTTAGTAATCATATAATCAATATATCTATTGCTAAAACGTGAATGTAATTGTAACATGATCAGACAAAATAATCTATTGGTTAATAATTGCCGAAGGAAAATAGAAATCACAAAATTGATGTGCATTGTCATAATTTGCTAAACAAATCATGATAATTTTATTTTTCTGTGACACGTGTAAAGTGATAATGAATATTCATGAGATGCCTAGATTTGTTGGTTTCTATTGGTTTCTGTTGGTTTCTATTGGTCCTATTGTTTTTTATTGGTCTTATTGGTCCTAATGGTTTCTATATTGGTCTAATTGGTTTCTATTTAGCATTGGTCCTATTGATTTCTATTGATTTCTATTGATTTCAATTGGCCCTATTAGACTTTAATGGAATTTCAATTGGTTTCAATTGGACCAATTGAAGTCCAAATTAAGGCCAATTGGTCCAATTGAAACCAATTGGGGACCCATTAAAGTCTAATGGGGCCTAGGCCAATGGGGCAAATGGGTCCAATTTGTCCAATGGGGCCAATCTGGACCAATTGAAACCATCTGAAGTCCTATTAAAGTCCCATTGAAACCTGTTAAAACCTATTGAGACCAATTGGAACCAATTGGAACCAATTGAAACCAATTGAAACCAATTGAAACCAATTGAAACCAATTGAAATTTCAATTGGTGTTCAATTGGTTTCAATGGGATTTTCGTCTTGGGATATTATATTAAACTTGGATATTAAAACTCACCCATCCAAATTTTGGACAAAATTCAGTACAAATTGTCAATTTTTGTTCAAAATGTGACTGAGATGACCATATTGTTGATAGGGGGGGGGGGGGAGCGGGGGGAGGGGATGTGGTAAATTTCAACCCATTTTCTAGCACCTCAGCACATTTTTCAATAGAATAGGCCCATCAAATCTCCTCAGCTGATAAACATGTATAAAAATTACCCCCAGTGACCAAATGATTAAATCTCCTTATCTCCTAGGGTATATAACAATGCCAAAGCTGATATTTTTGTTGACACTTTCCCATAATGCATCACATGTAATCAAGAATTGTTAGAGAAAATAATAGTATATTGATCATTTTGTCTTTCACTTTCCCCCTTCTGAATATTTTTTTTATTTCACAGCACTATGTGTTGAACAAGACGGGTGATTATATTCAGTTCTTAGAAGACAAGATAGCAGATTTATGCTTGGATATGGACATCGATCAAACAAATGATTCTGGAGATCTTTCATTCAGTGCTCCCTTATATACTTTGATAGGTAAGTCTTAAATAGGAGAAAACAAAGTGTCTGACAAGGGTTTTTCCCTAGTTTATGTGTTTTTTACATTAAAAGAAAAATAAAGACTAAACAGACTCTTTAAGGAACATCAGGTTTATTGAAAATATAAAAGAAGAAATAGGATGAGAGTGTTTCCCGCTCAGGTTACCTTTTTAAAATTACAGCTTAAATCAGTTATCATACATTTATAACCGAATGAGAGATTCTACTCAAAGTTAACACCCCTTTACCTCTCAAGTCTCAATACAAGGACTGCTCAATTATGAATTATAATATTTGCAGATAAGGGGTTGACATGGAATGATATAATGTACTGAATATAGCACATGATGGAATCTTGCCTCTTGCTTAAAAATAAATGCTTTATTTTTGCTTCTCTCTATTTTCTATTTTAATACCTATATTTTTGCTTCTTCCTATTTTCTGTTTTATTACCTATATTTTTTTAAAATACAGACGGGTTCCAGAAAGAGATTCCTGCTGACACACCAGTTTCTGTAGAGTCCATACATGAGCTGCTAGCCCGTCTCAACTTCAAGGCAGACAAGTCCTTGACAAGTTTGCCAATCAAGAAGAATACAACCAAGAGCAAAACAAGAGCCATGAAGACAGCACGACATAAGAAGGAGAGCATCCGATATGATGACCTACAGGTGGCGGAGATCAGTAATGAGTGTCTTCAAGATGATGACATGAAAGAAGAAGATGTGGAATCTCTCCTCAGTACAGTGAACACTCAGGACAGTCTGCTAGCAAGCGGCTCCATGAGTGGGATGATCTGCTCTGAGAGTTCCATTGAAACGGATGCCTCCCGGACAAGCCAGATGAACTCGTCTTTTACCAGCTCTAGTTGGGGAACGGGGTCCCTTGACGATGGTTTCAGCAGCAGCAAGACCACTGATCAAGAATCTACACAGGGAAGCTGTGGTTCCAGCTCTAGCCATGATCTGCAGCAAGGGGGAGATTCTCTGGCAGATCTGATCAGATGTGACACAGGGGTGAAATATATCCCAACTCTTTCTGAGGTCAATCAAAAGAGCAGCCACATCCCAAACCAGTGGGGTCAGAGGTCATCCTTGCAACAAGTGGTCCTCCCAGTTCCCGCTATCTCTTCCCACCTGTTGTCTATTCCTTTCATCGACAAGAGAGGACCCATTTCTTTTCTTTGTCATGGCGATGGCAATCAGGCTGATTCTACCACTTTCTTGCCACTACAGCAAGATAATTGTAATTTATCCAGCACCATTGCTCCTACTCCATCCAGTCTCCTTCAGCCATGTCCTGGAAGTGGCGGCACCCAGCAGACTGCCATTCCTATGATCTCTCAAATGCGACCCCTTCCAAACAGCACTGCTCCTGGCTCACCTCCAGCAAAGAACATCCTCAACCAAAACCTCGTCCCTGATCGTGATCCTAACCCAACCTTTGGCTACATAAACTGCACCCTCAGCAATGGCTTAGATGGCAAAGTGGTTGGTCCAAACCCCGGGATGTCCTGTACCAGTGTCCATCCATTTGACGAATATAATCCACAGGCTTCTCTGTTTCAACCGGTGAGGCAAACCGTTGAAATCATCCTAGATGTTGGAGATGATTCAATGGTGTTGAAGTCCCTCCTTGGACAGCAGTCTTCTTCCAAGAGATCTGGGATGGATGGCTTTGAACTATTCATCAAGGTCAATATCAAGAGGTTCAAAGAGTAAGTAACTCCAAAAAAAATTGTTATTTAGAATAGATAAAGATATTCCAGTTCAAACAATCTTTTCAGCATTCTATAATTATGTGAAATTGACTGAAACTGGATAGGATGTTCATATCTTCAGTAGATCTATGCATCCTTGTCATTATAAATAAATCATATAACATGGATAATACCTGACAGTCTTTGAAAATGCATTCTGAAGCTGTTCATGAATTGAAAATTCTTAACACCTTTATTTAAACATATTTGTGGCTTACACCTTTACAAAGAAAATACTGACAACGGTATAAAAGCAGGTGATTTTTAAACATCTTTCTCTTTCTCATTCTCTTTGTTCCATAATCACTTTTTTTAACCTCTCCGTATAGTGAACATTAATTTAAAAATTCTTTCTTAAAGCTGTGTTTTCATAAGTTTGATAATAAAGTGCATCTTTTCTGTATTTTTAGTGGTTGGCCTACATTGAAAAGCAAAGAGATCAACAGACTGATTGGACAAGCATGGAATGAAATACCTGACAATTTCAAACAGCTTTACGGGTAAATAAGGAACCTCGCAGAGATATGCGCAAAACGTGTTTAAATGGATATGTGACCTACCAAAACAAAAATGAAAGTGCTATATACATTTACATTTGTACTAGATTCTATACAGTAAAGCCTCTTTTTTTTGATACCTCATAACTTGAAAATTATTGGACATTATTTCCACTTTGGAACAAGGAAAACATTTATTAATTAAAGTCTTGCTTATAATCTTGGAAATATTCGTCTGATTAGTGTTGTTTACGAAAGACAGTAACTAATTGTAAGCAATCTGAAATAGGTATGTCTTTATAGTTGAGTTCTGAAAGTGGATAACTGGATAACTAGTTGCCAGCAGGCATCACAGCTATATAGTCTAACAAAGCCTGCCGCTGTTCGTAGTCAAAGTCTCAAAAGGATTTAAAAAAAATTTGTATTACCGTATGTCAATTTTTGTCAACCTCGCTGGAGCTAATAGTATACTTTGGGCGATTCTCTGATGGCTTTTTGCCCATATTTCTCTTTCTTGTATCCTAGAAAAAGAGCTTGTGCATGGAACCTTCGGCAAAAGAAGCAAGCTGGCTTTAAGAGTACCCTGTCAGATCGATAAAGGTATTCACCATGACTGTTAAACACTTGAAAATTAGATCTTTTTTCACCAATCAGATGAACAGCTTTAGCAACTGTTGAATACTGCAGGAATAGGGGAACATATCTGTAAAAAGATTGATTGAAGAAAGGAGAAAATCCCAACAAAGACAGAATCAAGAATTTGCATTTCAAACCAGTTTTTGCAGGTTCATTGCTTATAAGGTTAATAAATGTTCAGCAATTTAAAAGTTGTAATTCAACCATTCAAACGTAAGTGTGTATCTTTGTATGATGTTTATCTTCTTACATAAATGAAGTGTTTCAATAGTTTTAAATAAACATCAAGATGTTACTAAAATAATTTGTTATGAAAATCATTCTAGTTTGGAATTGCTTTGCTATTTGTTGAGTTTTTGTATTACACGGTTCAATCAAAGTTACCGGTATCTTTTGACAATTTCTGATACTTCTCAATAATGCATTGATTTAGTTCAAATTTAAGTGAATTTTATATCTTTTCATACTTTTGTATTCATGTTCTTGATCAGTGGTGGCATATTGACCTTAACACTTTGTGATAATTATTTTGATAACTAACAATTAACGTTAATATTCAATCTTCAGTCCGATCTTTATTTTACACATGCAAAGCTCGTCTATGTGGAAATAGTGAAATAATGATTATTAAAGGTGAAGGATTGTTCAACAGATAAGTCTTGAGGCTAAATTCATTTGAATCGAAAATTAGAATATCTGCATTTAGGCTTCATGTAATATAACGGGAAGTCACTGATTTTTCTCAATTGCAATGATCATTAAACCAAATCAATTTATGTTTGGTTCTCCATTATTTGTGTGGGTGTGAATAGTATGGTCATATAAAAAACAATCAAATCTGAAAAGTACTTTGAAATGAAAGCATGTAGCATTCATTTGCTGAAGTATTATTAATTTGTGAAGTAATATTACTTCACAGACTGTATGTGTGGAAATCTCATTTCTTCAAGTAGTTTAATCAGAGTAAAAACCTTAATACTCATTTTTCAACTAAATTCTAAAATCAATACAAGTAATGCAAAGTTATTTTCTTTGTATATCACACCCAAGTTCATACATTTCTCATATGTACATGTATTTTGTACTATCAACTATTATGTGTGGACAACTTTTATTTCCAGATATAACGACTGGATACAAAAGTCACTTCAGTAGTATTGCATGTTGCATGTTTCATGTTAGCATATCCACTATCTTATTGAATTCAACTGAATATTTCTATTGGATTTCATTGAATTTCAGTCATTGTATATTTGTATATATGATATTCAAGTCTAAATGTTTGCCATGTAAATGTGTTGATATTTTTTTATATTTTACATTTACAAAAGAACTATAGAAGTATGAGTATCAAAACATTTTAATTTAAGTGAATTTTCCAATGTTCAGTAGTTGATATTGTTAAACTAAACTTTTAAAACCTCTAATGCTAAAGAAAAAACGTGCATTTACCTGTAATAACTAAAGTAGACAAATATGAGTGCATCCCTGACTCAATATCATATCTCACATAGATGTGGTTTTTGTAAAATTACATTCCATGCATTTTCTTTCCAATTTCAAGGGCAAAACTGTTGATGCGAGAGATGTTGATGTGAGACATGTATTTGTGTAGATGATTGGTTTAACAAAACGTCAGGTGAAATGTAGAACATATCTATTCAATTTGTATGATAAACTTTTTGAAGAAGAGAAGAATTAAAGCAGTTGTATAGTTTGCAATGTTTATAAGATCATCTTCTGATCATTTCGAACATCAAAGCAGCAGTTAGTACACATATTGTTTAAAAACTCAGTCATGCTTGAATAAAACATTGCATCATGCAAAGACTTAAATTTATCTTACTGTTCGGTTTCTTTATTACAAAAATGAGCTGTCATACAATATTTTGTCATCCATAAAATCACAATTACATACATTCAACTGTTCAGATGATATTTCATCCTTCAATTTTTACATAGGATACTCCCTATCATACATATGAAATATCAAAGTTATACAAAAATATAGCATCAGTCTCTTGTTTTATCTTGTACATTTGCAAGCTATCAAATATAACAAAGCACTTAATCAGCACCAATGAATATGTTGTAAAATAGAAACACACACTTCTGTATGGTACATACAAATTGATATACATTCAAGCATGACATAACTGGTGGGTATTAACAAATATACACCATATACATCACAATTCGTACATTGTTAACAAAATATAATATACAAAATATTTGAAAAAGTCATGTCTACAGTAAAAATTAGTTCTCAACTGACTTGCAGATAAAAAAATTAATCATTTTGAAGAACATTATAATTTTAAGTTGATCTCGTAGGTTGTCATTTTAAAACGAATACAGCTAGTTAACATGGCAAGTGTTTTTTGGGTTAAATACTGTCTTTGAGTTGCATTTTGATGATATGATTATTGTGTTGTTGCAGCACTTCACCTGGCTAGGTGTATTTAAAAATCAAAAAGAAAGAAAGAAAGAAATTGAAATTTGCACATTAACAAGGGGAGAGTATCCAAAACATGTTGAATTTCATAGCAATCAATGTTCAATATGTCACAGAAATGAATGATCGCATACATTCTATTACCTATAAAAACTTATAAGTTACCAATATCTATTATGATATGTTTCCCCTTCCCCTTAAATTCATCCTTCACAGAAACAAGTACACAAGCCTATAGGAGATAAATTGTAATAAGATAGAGAAAATACAGTTGTGGCTTTCCAAATGCAAGGTATAATAACGATTTGGTTGATAAATACTTTGACTGTCGCCTTGTCCTAGCATCTAAACATATCACTCATGATAAGGAACAAGAAGTAGAATGGCAAGAAATGATCAGTGATTATGGAGATGTTGACATGTGATGGAAATATGTCTAAATGCAATAAATTAACTACTAAAAAAAGGGGACGGATTTGATGTAATGCTCAGCAATATTATTTCTTTGGAAGAAGAAATTAAGCAGCAGCTGATGAAGTCCAGTTGTAAACCTTGCAATACAGTGGAAACTCTTTATAAAGAGCTTTGATATAACAAGATATCTGATATAGCAAGTTAATTTTGCTGGTCCAAGTTCTATAATTTCTTGTTTAGATCTTTTGTCTAGTGATAATTCTTTAAAATATTGTATAAACGTGTATCTTTTCCACTCTACACACATATCCTAGTGTAGGTACAGAATATATTTCACACTTGAGTTTATTTTCTCTACCAATCCTCTGCAAGTTATGTGCTGTGCTTTTGATACAAATACAGGCACAAAGTGATTAATAAATACAACATAAACAAGATTGTATCTCATGTACTGATAAGCAAAGGCAACACGGAAGAACTACATCAATTCAATACAATCAAGATATTTCAAACTGGACTGAAAGCAAAAATGACAACTTGCACACTCAAAATTATCTTACGTTAATCCTGGAAACTGATGGTCGTAAACTGACTGTATTACAGTATTACAATACCCAAGATGGGGCATGGCAAAAATGCAACTGTTACAATACCAGCAAAAATAAACAGCATACACCTCCCCATTCATATCAAGTTGTAAGACTCATTCAGATATGATATGTTATTGTTAACCCATGGCAGTTATTTTAAGACAGAAGTGTACGGTAATATGCTTCATATTCCTGCATCTTGTACATACGTCACTGAATATGTGTAGGACCTTTATTGCGCGCAGTATAGCCATTCATTTACATACAGGTATTTTTTTGTAAACGCCTCGGTTTACTGCTTCATACCCGAACCAGCCTAATAGAAATACAAGTATTTAAGAAATTACTTAAAAGCTGCACAATACTTATACTTAACCACCGACAGTTTGTGTAATACCATAAACATTGCACAATTTGGGGCATAGTCAAGGAAAAAATAACAACCCTGTTAATCAAACAGAGTTCAATAATGCATGTGTGAACATGACTCAAATTATGGGGGAAATGTCATGTATCCCTAATAAATAAAATGGTTTCAAAATTCATTAAATTGATTGTGCTCATTTAGAATTAAAGAGGGGTATTCTACTACTGAAGGAGAAAAATATTTGGTGAAATTCAATTTTCTAAGATGTGTAGGTGTAAGAAGTGCTTTGATTTTACACAATTTATGGATGAAAGGCAAGAATTAGAATTGATTCTCGTGTCAGAGCCTAAACACAACAATTGGAAATAAAATACAAAGCTTCCACAAAACCTTTATACAAAAATAGTTTCCCAAACCTCATAATTCTTTACATCAATATTACCAAAGCCTCTTTAAAAACATTACGATAAAAAGTAATACTGTAATGTCCATATTTTAATCACATGGTCCAATTGTTCTAGTACATTTGAAGACAAAACATAGCACCATTTAGTAGCAAAATAACAGACATGATTTACTCTGTTGCCCATAAAGTTGGAATAATTTGTCTTCACTTCTTTTCATGAAATGATTGTGACAATATGATTTATTCTTGCTAAAGTTTACATTTTCTCAGAACTTTATCAATATATAGAGAGTCATGGAGGTTGACCAATAAAGTTTTGAGAAGATATAAGCTTTATTTCAATCATTTTATTGAAACAGATATAGAAAGATTATTCCAACTTTATGGGCAAATATATATTCACCAGCTTCTTTTTCGTTTAATAGTCATATTCCTTGACTACATATACATGCAATAACTACATGATTCAATCTGTCATCATTTGGTGAAGTCAGGAACAGGATGCAAAAACTAAACATTGCACAGTGGAGAAAGTCCAAAGGAAGACATCAAATTTAAGGAGAAAGAAGGAGTTTGCGTCGGCTATCAGCAAAATTTTCCATTAAAAAACTTCCAGGAACTATTCACTCAGGCTAAATCGGGGACCTTTGTTCGGCATCAAATATCTAGCAACTATACAAATAAAGTTAATTCATTTATGCTGTTTCAGAACAAAAGAATAAGACATCAAAAGAAAAGGTTTTTTTTTTTTCCTTCTATAAGAAAAAGAAGCTGGAGAATAATTTGACCTATTTCAACAAAAAAAAAAATTAAAAAAAATCTACTCTCGTCATCCACACCCACACGGGTCCCCACATTGTCTTCTATGATGCCATCTGCTACGTATTTCATCTGGAGATAATTCTGCAGATACATACATCGATGACAAACATGTATTGTCACAATGCCACCTTGGGTCGTCATGGTAATTTGGTTGAAGTGCAGCTAACCATATACCCAAGGATACATCTTCTCCTTGAAATTTAAAAAGATTTCTGTGCAAGGGAAAAGTAAAGAAAATGAAAATTAACAGTTAACAGAGAGCCGTTGGTAAAAAAACATTACACCATGAGCATTTTCCATATCCTATGTCTGTAAAAAAAAATATAACATTTTAAATTTTTTTTGGAGGGAGGGAGGGAGGGGGGAGGAGGAGGGGTTTCATCATTGCAGAAATAATACATCAAAGACACATGTCAAAGTGTTAAAAATAGGTTTCAAATGAAAAGAAGAAAAATATCTGTAAAAATGCACAAAGGACAATATCATATCTGGCCCTTTGCAAGATTTAGTTTAATCTGCCATAGAAGTGGCAGATAATAATAAATAAAATGAAATAGAAATAAAATGCCAATTACCTTGAATTAGCGGCTATCCACTGAAATAGATCCCTGGTCATCATACTGCCTGATCCACAGGCAAACGATGGATAGACAGGTGACTGGTAGTCATGCTCCGCCCACTTCCCATGATGCTCCACAGACCAGCCGAATCGAAACTGACCCCACCACAGTTTAGATGTTGGGTACTCATCAATTACAAAGTTCTGCATACACAAGATTAAAGTCAAGAATTTGGTAACTAATATAATAAAAAAAAATTAAACCCACAAGTCAGGTATCTAATTATTGAAATATAAGCTACACATTCACAGCTGACATATACTGACTGATAAATAAGCAACATATTCAAGCTGACATTTACTGACTGATATACAATTTAAAGCCAAACTGAACCCATATCTTCACAATATTTGGGGAATAGCTTTTATAATTATGGATCATCCTAAGAAATATTGTAAAAGAAAAAATGGTGCTCTCAAAAGATTGATTGTTCAGAAGGAAATAATATAATCGTATTAAATACTTATTCTGGTTCATTTACATACCTCATGAGTACAATGGTAGTGCATATTATATATTTCTTTCTCAGTTTTTCTTGTCAATGTCATTTATGCTGATCAGAAGACCAGTTTACTATATTTGCCGATATGAATTGTAGCAACATTGGGTACGCTTTCCGGTCTGTAATATGTATATGTTAGTAAATATGAACAATAAGAGGTACTGACCTGCATAATATGATCCAGATTCATGTATACATCATCATCAGTCTTGATTACATACTGGATATTGCTTGATTGCACCACCCTGTCAAAATTATGAATATCATTGGGAGAAAAACACACACAATTAGTTACAGATCTTTGCAGAAAGAGATACATGCTAACTCTTGGCAGTTTACACTGCCCCCCTCCCCCCAACAAAATATTTCTGAACAATCTACAATCCACTTGCAAATTTAAAAAAAAATAAAAAGACATACCGGTATAGAATTTTCATTATTCATAATTAATTAATTCATATTTTGACTTGAAGTTTTACGTCAGTTAGTTTGTAGAACCTCAAAATTATTCATTACTAATGACAGATGACATTTTGAGCATAAAAAGCTGAATTAGCATACTGAGATTGAAATTAAAGTTTTAGATTGCTTATCACAATGTGAATAGACTTTTTGGTCTATGAAAATATTCCCAAACTGTAAAGAATTTACTAAATCACAAACACTTACAATTTCTTAATTGCTATGAAAAAGTGAAGAAAAAAAATAGAAAGAATCTTACCACTCATAAAATTGCAGCATTTTTGCAGGAATATTTCTATAAGTATCTACAACATCCAGAAGGAGTATATCGTTCTGATTCTCAGCCTCTTCTTGAAGGGCTTTCGTCTCGTTCACGATCTTGGAATGCCATTTTGAAGACTGTTCCTCACTCACGTTCATCCATACAGAGAGCTTGTCAGGTTCTGTCAGGAAGATTTAATTAGTAAAAGTTTATGAATTTAAAGTTTCGCTTCAATAAAATGACAGCAATCGGCAACAGAATATAATCAATTAATTTCATTTCAAGTACACCTAGTCCTATGTACATTTAACATGAATACTTGGGTTTTGCTCACAAATGTCTCAGACATAGGTTACAATGAACAGAATACAATATAATCACAATTGAAGTATTGAAGGTAAAGACCAGTTATGGTCATGCGATTGCATTGTGAAAGAAACGTTGTGGAATCGATCAGAAAAGGTTGATTATCTAGCATCTAGCATCTGCAAGGTTCTGGAATCATCAAAATGATAAGAAATTTGGCCCATTCTTCGTAAAATTACAAGCACTATACACAGAAAGATGTATATGGGACTACCCTATATCTCTCACAGACCATGAGAGAAACAAATTTACCAAATATATGAATTAGTAGGCCCTTTCCCGGCAAATTTTTTATCATCATGTATTAGTCAAAACATATTCTTTCACATGATTGGTAATGAGAGCTTCCATTTCATTTTTTGAAATTGGGGCGTTTCCAATACTGGTCTTTACCTTTAATACTGTTGAAGAAGAACTAAAACTGCAGAATGTTACCGAACTGATGTGTATTGAGGGGAGACACAGATAAAGAAAAAATGTCTGAATAAATGGCATTCATATCAGCACTACGAACATGATGATACTAGGCAAACGGCGATGATTACAGGTGGACACAACAGCCATTTACTCTTTCCATCACAAAGTGGGAGGAGGGGTAGGGCACAGATGAAAACTTAAGACTTTATAACTGGATTCCTAAAAGAAAGAAGTATACAGGTAAGATACACCAGTGTTCTTACCATGAATGTTGTAGATGAAGTTTCCTGACACCAAAGCTTCTGTACCTCTATCTAATTTCTCAACCTTCTCTGGAAAGTCTGAATTATCTTCACTATATCTGCTATACTGGATAGGCAAAAAACACATTAAAAGGATAAGATTAATAATTTCAGTATGTTTTATCATAAAACTATGTCTGCAAATTATTCCAACATTGTTTCAATACTCATTGCTTTCAACATTAAACGTTAATGCTACAAAACATAAATATTCTTTGAATTCAAAGGTACAAGGTGCCACAAATTGTTATTATACCCTGTAGACATATATGGAAAGAATAGAGTATGCTAAGCATGTTGTTTTCATTTACATAGAGGGTTGCATCAAATAACTTTATCGTTATTTTTGTACTTTAAAGAAAACAAGAAAAATGCACCTGAATTTTTTTTTTTTTTTTTTTTTTTTAAATGAGATGGGACTTCAATTTAAACAGAAAAACAGTACTATAGCAGGCTACAAGCACAGAGTATTCATTTATCATTTCAACAATTTATATTATTTCTGTAGCTTAAACCAACTTTTCTTCAGTGAAGAATTGCAGTAAAGGACCTATTGAATTGTCCTTCTACAGCGCAGATAATCCAGTTCACTGTCAAGGTTTAGCGCCTGAAAACTTGGTTCCATACCAAATAATGGGCATGAATCAAATTGTTACCTGCTGGAGTTCTATGACACCTCCCCCATTATTAGTGTCATCTTTGCTGAGGTAGAGTGTTGTGGAAGGATCATCTTTATTGAAACTGTTAACGACTATTGTCCCTTCAAAGCCCTGTGCGGAAATGAGAAACATGTATGTCAGGAATCTGTAGCAATCCATTGTGGTACGGCAAACATTACATTACGTCTCCTTGTTTCTATGTCATCTCATATTTATTACCCTAGCTACATAATTTGTACTGCAATAACAAACATTGTGATTGAGCGTACATGCAATTTAATTACACAATGTAATCAAAACACTAAATTTGTGTAGTTCAAAAAAGTTTTATGCTGCAATGACTGTCTGTTACCAGTTCAAAAAAGTTACAAATGATTACATTTCTAGTTTTCTAGTTTTCTAGAATATCTCATCTGGAATATAAAAATCATGCATAATCAGCAAAGGTAGGCTGCAAAGGAGCACAATCAAAATTGAAGTTCATGGCATGATCATTCCAGATATAAAGAACATCACTGTAGATATATTCACTTACCTTTGGAAGAAGATAAGGCTCTACTGCCCTGAATCTATAACCTTCTATGAAAACACCAGGTTGCTCTGGACTAAAACGAGCACTCACTACCTTCTCCTGTTTACAAAGAAAATGTAGATAAAAAATACTCAATTCATCATCCCATCTCTTTCTCTGAAGTAAGCTAAGAACCTAATTTCTAAAGGTAATCTATCGGACTATATTAACTTGTTTGGGTATAGAAATGGAAAGTGCGAGATAGAGCTCTCAATATGACATACCATAAATCTTTAAATCAGTCTGGAAATTTGTATTCAGAAGACACAGGACTTACTGCATAAGAATTTTGCAATTAAACACAAGTCCAAAAGTCCAGCACAACTTGTTTTGGCTTCAAATTTGATTGCTGAAACACTTAGTGTGTAATATTCATATTTGAACAAAGATGCATTTAATCTAGTGCTGTAAGTCAGACGCTATGTTCGTGTTCGGTTCGGTTCGGCAGAGTTCGGCAATTTTTCACCCGAACTTGGTTCGGTTCGGGATTCAGTAATATAATAGCAAGCAGCATTATAGCCACAGCGGTCGGCACTGGGCTTCCGACCAGCACGAAGTTCACATTAAAAAACTGCTCTAAACGTAATTATTTGTGAAGAAAAGTACTACTTACATTCGTATTTCCGTCTTGAATCGTGTTTTATTTTCAATTTTAAAAGAATCATGTTTTCAATTTGTCAATAAATGATATTTTTTAAAGATTTTCTGAGACAGTTGTTGTCTAATGTTAGAGTCATGAAAGCTGCCATCTTGAATAGCAAATCAGGCTCGTCATTAACTGTTTTTTACAAGTTTTTATTTTCAATAGGAAAAATATAAAATCCCTATTTTTCCTGAACAAATAAATACCATACTATAATATATATTTATTTCATTATTTATATTGCGAAATTTGTCCAATATTGTTACAATTAAAATATTATTTTTTTGTTGAATGGGCTTGAGCTGAACATGTTTTGATCACGCACATGTATCTTTGTTTATGGTTTGCGATCGCGACGTAGCGTGGTCAGGATTTGGGATTTAAATGGCGCCAGTGAAGTCGCGCCTACCACTGGATAGGCATAAATCACAAAGGCGAAAAATGGGAAAAAAGTAAATATAAAATGAGCTATCATGACATGAAAATTAGGTACAAAATGACAAGTTTATTAACTTGCAAAAACGTTTACATTTTTCTGCCGAACATCCGAACCAGGCCTTTGTGTTCGGTTCGGTTCGGTTCGGTTCGGAAGTGCCATGTTCGGCGAACTTCCGTTCGGTTCGGCGTTTCGGCTACAGCACTAATTTAATCATAACAACGGCACTTCCTTACAGAAATTTTAGTGTACTTTAATGGTTAAATAATGTTGAGAAAATGAGGAATGAATTGTCTTAAAAAGACTTAAAAAGGTAAAAAAACAAGTGATCATCATATCAACATGAAACTCATTACAAGCACATAAATTCTGACCTGCCTCCAAGTATCAAAGAGGGACACTGTAAGAGGATGTTTGATGCCGTCAGCAGATGAATCAAAGACACCAAGCTTGTGAAGGATGATTGGATAATGAACCTTTCAAAACAAAAACATATACACAAGACAAGAGGTTTAATTTACAGGCATCTTTCAAATAACCTACAAAGTGAAATGAAACTAAAAAATATATACATTATTAATTACATCCGTAATATCATTCTTCCTTATTTTCCTATAATAATGTACATTAGTTAGAGATTTCTTTATTGAAATGTAAATACAATGTTCAAGTATAAAAAAAAACCCTCACAACTCTCCTCTTATAAGTTAAATCAAATACATCCACAGTAAAATCAAAGCAAAAGAAGGTTTCAAAAATCAATTCACACCAATTGAGTATTGAAGATCAATCAGTAATGGGCATTTGTTCTTGTGTACAATAGTATACAATGGTCAAATATTAGTATCTTTTTTTTTACTTTATTCAATTCGCACTTTCTCTGAATTTCTAAGACGAATCACTGCCTTATTCAAAGTGAACATTCAATCATGGGTTCTCACCTTGAAATCAAAGCCTATTGGACCTGAAGTCAGCCTGAATATCCCTGTATCATTCGCTACTGTCATGGCTACAATATCCTTGGGCTTTCCTAAAGAGATTCAAAGAAAAAATGTTGCAAGTAAAAGATCTCATGTCCAAGAGGGCATGCTATATATAAATGTACATCTTGTACTGAGACAGTGATTGATAGCGGTAAATTTTCAATTAATTCAAAATTATAATCATCAACTTTTTCTAACTGTATATTTACAGCAGATTTCAACAAATGTATGATAAAATGAAAGATTTCTTAACATTTCATATTGATATGATGAATCCTTAGAATGGGCTGTGGCATTACAGTATATAGGAGGGCTATAAGAAAAAAGAAAAACAAATCCCACCTTTTTTGGAAAATTTAGATGACCAACTGTTGAGAAGCAGAAGGGCATTACGTCTGTGTTAAAGTACTTGACTAACGCCCTTCTGGCTCTCAGCTGACAATGTCTGATCTTAATAAAAGGTAGTGTACTTATCATAGATCAATCCTATGTTTCTTTACCTGTTTTAGAAATGTTGAGTGGAGTACATGAGTATGGATCTCTTCTGTATTCAGGTGGCAAGTGGCAAGAGTGGTTACCAACCACAAATTTGCTGCAAATCCTAAAATTGTTAACACAAAATAAAAAGGAGGTGTTAAAGAAGTAAGTGATATAATTGAATACCTGATATCAGTGTAAAACGTGGTCATTGACAAAGGACCTAGAACAGAAGCTTGTAACTACTCAACGAGCTATGGAGCGAAAGATGTCGCATTTATCTCTGCGAGACAAAATCTATCACAAAGTCATACGCCAGAAAACAAAGGTCAAAGACATCATGGAGAAAGTAAGAGAATCAAAGTGGAGATGGGCTGGGCACGTAGCAAGACTTCAGAACAATAGATGGACAAATCGTTTAACAGAATGGCAACCAAGGATGGGAAAAAGAAGAAGAGGAAGGCAGAAGAGAAGATGGAGATATGACCTAACATCATACATGGGAACGGCCGCTTGGACTAGGACAGCTAGAGACAGAAAAGAATGGAAATGTTATGAGGAGTGCTTTGTCCAACGTCTGGATAAACTATAGCCTGATAGATAGATAGATAGTGTAAGACTAATTAATCTACTGCTAGATATCAGTTTTCTGTTGCTGTAATGATTTACACAATGATAAGATATTATTAACCTAACATATTCACTGATTTGTCAAATCACACTAGCTTCTATATTCACTGATCTATGCATTTTGATCCTGAAATACAATATGATAGCAATTTGCAAAAAAAAAGGATGCAAAATGAAAAGTGTAGATTCAACATATATGTTTTAAACTTCACCTGAATAATTTAATGCAACCTCTTGATTTCAGTGGACACCCAGGAAAACAAGCAATGTTTACTGCTTGGGCTCGAAATTACTCTAATATTATGAATCAATTGATAATATATATACAACTTTGTCAAGACCAACCAAAGTTGCTATTTCGGTTTAAACTTACCTTTTCTTCCACTTGGGATGAGTGTGAATATACCCCAGCCAGGTCTCACGAATGGCCTTTCTGTGCTCAAAATGGTCCCTTGCAGATAATATCCCAATGAATATGTCACACTTTGTCTGATGATTGTGTTTTCCTGATGCAATTCAATAGAAAAATAAGGCAGGATAGAAAGATACATTTATTAACATTATTTTCTTTTAAAATTGTTTATGAAGTACTACACTTTTTATATTTTTATAATTTTAAGAAACAATTATTTAAAAGAGATAGATTAATGATGAAGTTCAATTATTATTACTTGTTTATTTAAGTCTGGTTACTTTTTCAAAACCCATGTTAGAGAGTTTTAACCCACATTCTTCTATAGATAACCAGAGAGATTGTACCTGTAATCTATGCTTTCCTCTTGTTATTACAAAAGGTAATAAAAGACTAAAAAAAATTAAAAAGTTCATCGTAAACAAAAGGGATCAAATCTCAGCATTTCACACAAAAGTTTAGCACCTTAAATATTGCTAATTCCTCTTTAGATTTTTTCTTGTAAAGCTAAAAGTATCTGCAATAGAATTTAGAAATAGATCTAGAGTGAAAAAAAAGATCTAGACTAATAAAAAACTTACGAATAGATCTAGACCCTATAACTTAAGTCATAAGACATCGCTGGTTTTTTTTTCTGACAAGTAAGTCCTTTGATCGCAATCCTTCCACTAATCTCACATTGTCAGTGTCATTCATGAGAAAGGTAACTACTCATTCATCCACTCCCCACAACCGTCACTCATCAGCGATAGCCGATACTGTGAGAACATCGAGAATTTATGTTTTTTGACAAGATTAAAAATGTCAGTGTTTTTTCTGACATGTCATTTCGTTCATTACACTAACCTCACAAACACAACTAAAAAACAGTACCACACTTCCGTGGCGATTGGCATTTTGAGAAAGGTAACCACTCATTCATTCATTCACCCCAAACAACCAACAGACCAAACTAACGTCACGTCACTCTTGAGATTCTGCGAGAAATGAAGAATAGGTCTACAAATTGGCAACTAATTTGCATCTAGAATTCTAGATGAGATTTTTTTTGGCTGCACGTAAATATGTGCATGAATACATTATACTGAACGAATACCTACTTCAAGGCTGCAGCTGCACTCTAGAACTTGCATAGAATTAAAACAGTTTTAAGTGCAATTATAGTTACCAGCACACACAAATGTGCATATGTGGGACCGAATTCAGTGCTGACGTGGACGATCACACATTCATTCGGCACCGAATTGAATGAAAAATGAAGGATAATTACCTGCATTTCCACTACGAGATCGACGTCGATTGTACATGCTCTCTTCATTGACAACTATAACTGCTAAGGCAACTCCAATTGCTACTAAAACAGATGGCCAACCTGCCATTTTCAGCCTTTTTCATGTGTATTCTTGTGATAAATAAATTGACATGCAGTGGGATGGGCGCAGACATTTTCCCTGACGAGGCATTTATCCGAGGGGCGCGCGCTAGCTATCTGTGAGGTCACCTGATACTGCAGCTGTGTTGATGTTGTTGCACAACAGTCAACACCAGGCCAATCGAGGAAAGGGATCTTACAAAAAAAACATGGTGACTTTTGAGGATCATCTACCAAGGGTTGCTTCTTGGTTTGATGACTGCTCACAAGAACAGCAGAATCAAGTTTTAAAGCTATTATTTTCTAAATGCAAGGTAAACTAAAAAAAAAGGTTAGATCTATTTATAATTATTCTAGAGATCTAGTCTATATAAAAATGATTATTGATGCATGCATGATTGTGAATAATGTGATGTGATGAGATATAACTTTGTTTTTCTTTCGGAAGTTGAGCTTCTTAATCTTGGTATGGCATGCGATGCGCGATGGCCCTTGGTTATAATGCTAAAGCTCTAGTCACACCGGACTGTACGTCCCGCAGCGGCCCTGATTGTCCAGGAGGCTGGAGTGTCCCGGACTGAAAGTTGGCCAATCCGGGGTTGAATCTGCGCTGAGCTGGGCATGGGCCGGGTCCGGGCTTATATCCTGGAGAGTCCGGAATGGTCCTGGATTGTTCGTCATGGTCTGGGCAGGGGTCTGGGTCCTGGGACACCACCCCGGCAATTTTAAACTGTTTAAATTGCTATAGTCATCCGGTATGATCCGGAACCATCCAGGCAAGGAGGGTTTTTTTCAATCCCGGCTAAGTCCGGCCGGTCGGTCGGTGTAGCACCGTGTTGATCCTGGGCGATCCAGGGCGATCCAGAATATTCAATCAACAATTGTATTTGCTAGAGACTTTGCTGTACAGATCAGACTTGGAGGTTTATTAAATTTGCACTTTATTGCAGACTCTTTTTCTGTTACTGTTTGAATGTGGTGATGGTGATATTGATGACATTATTGATAATAATGAAAACTAATGTCTTGCATTTTATGTTTTTGAGTATTGCTAGCATGTATATTGTTTTATGATAGATTCATCTGCATTGCTTAAACTAGTTTTGTTAATAAATTTTTAGACTTTCCCTTTAATCTTATTTTTATCTATGTGATTGACATTTGACCTGAATGTACGTATACTCTCAACCCCAATCAGCCTTTGCAGATTCGTAAGCTGTGTGCGGACCTAGAACCATTGCTTGCTGTTGATGTCACTGCCTGTCTTCCTCCAGAATTGATTGATCGTATATTCAGCTATCTGTCTGTTACGGACGTATGTGAGGTTGCCAAGTGCAACGCTAGATGGAGGGAATGTGCAAATAGCGATATACTCTGGTAAGAAAACCTAATTCATGATAGAAGCTAGTCAAGCGACTAATTTGCTTTCTTTCATTTCTCTCCCATTTTTTGTAAATATTTTGTCTTTTAGGTGTCATGAAATCAATCATCCATATTTCAAATTTTTAGATAATATCATCATAATGAACTTGTCACATATACCGGTATTCAATTTGGCTATTTTTTTGTCATTTTATGTTTAATGGTCAACATATGAATTTGATATATAGAGCTATGATGATATTAGCAAAGGTTATGAATTGATATTTTAAAATATTGTCATTTTTCCTTCAGTCTGTGATGTCAGTGCTTATGTAATAAAGGATGTGAGCCTGTAATGTTCATTTTAATTTAAATCTTTACTCACTCTATGTGCTATTCCATTCATAGCATCCTTATATTGATGGTATTGCTCTGTCTGTCTCCCTCTCCCTCTCTCTTTCACCACCCTTCTCCCTCTACTTCTCAAAAGGCTAGCTCACATCCATGAATTATTATATGTTTATTATTTTCATATTATGGTATTACAGTGTGCAGTTCTCTTCTTCTTTCTTTGTCAACCAGGTTTTATCATTGTCAGAGAAGAGGATGGCTTCATTACGGTACCATCCATGACCTTTGTCAGGAACGACCTTTTAGCCCTAACCAGAAGAACATCGCTAACACCTCACCTACATTCACGTTTGATTCGATCATCAATGGAGCAGGCATCACAAGTGGAGGTAAACAAAAAGTTCTTCCTCAAAACTGACAGATATGTTGTTACAATGGAAATGATGATGATGATGATGATGATGATGATGATGATGATGATGATGATGATGATGATGATGATGATGTTGATGACGATGATGTTGATGACGATCACGACGATGATGATGATGATGATGATGATGATGATTGCTAGTCTCAATGTCTCTTGGCACATTATAACCCTGATCATTGAATTCATGCATTCACATAATATGTGCTGTAATTATTTGTCTACCGGTATGTATTATAATTTCACTTCAAATTCTGTCATTTTGTAAGCACTATGGTACCTTTTTGTTCTAGTGCCCCATAATATTCAATGTCATTATATAACGTAATGTGTGCCTGCAAAGTTCACTGATGTTGTGAAATGCATACTGTAATTCCCCACTCTTTTATTTTGTATGCGGACAGGTGGTGATCCAGGTAGAAGAAGTAGCCTCCAATCAACTTGCAGATGGAAGGAGATCTACATGAGGGCTTATCATTTAAGTCTGAACTGGGCCCTAGGAAGATACAAGGTGATACCAGCCCTGAGAGGTCACAGAGAGACAGTGACATGTATGGATGCGGAAGGTAATCAGCTGTAACATCTTATTATTGTAGTGTGAATCGGGTTGTTTGGATGGCGGCGTCACATTTATTGGGACTGATATAAATTCATGGTGTACTTCTCAGCGAAAGTATATAATGCAATATATTATGTTTTGTTTATTATGATAAGATGTATGATAGTGTTTAACATAATGCACATTAACAAAAATTCAGCATGATTGTTAATTGACTTTTCAATCTGCAACCAATATATATTTTAATGAGCATACAATCGTCATTACAAGCCACTTCATTAATCCAAGCCTTCTTAAATTTCCAAAAAATCAGAGGAAGTTAATATTGAGATGTTTTTGTGATAGATGTTGTATTGATTGTTACAATATGATGTATAACATATTGCTGTATAGCGCCATCTATGTTCATACCACAAGATACTGTGAATAAAGAAAGCTCCCTCTTATGCCAGGTTAACTCACTTGTGCAAGTAGTGTTTTATTTGTAGCTAAGAATGTCACTATTAGAGTTGTAATAAGATAGAAAGAGACTAACAAATACATGGTGTCAGGAGTATACTTATCAGATTTAATGCCATGATTTGATTTGGCATGAGAGCATATAGGAAAGTTAGTTTCTAAGCTATCTTTTAATGGTCTAGACTATATGTAGATATTGTAGTCCCATGTACTATGTTTCGTGTATACTCTCTTAAGTACATGTATGAGATAGTATCGGTGAACACTGATACAGGTACTGTAGAAGTCACAGTGTATTAATTATTATACTGCTGTAAACGTGATATTGTCTGACATTGCAGTACATTCGGGGTAGAATATCAACCCTCTTGACAATAATGCCAAATCCAGAAGTTGGGGGGAGTGTTGATGCACGTGAGATCCCTGCAAGTGGCAATGAACAGCCAGGGCAGTCTGATCCACAGAGAAACAGTAGGAGAATTAAGAGTAATGTTCCCTTACCCCGTCCTCTTTCTCTTCAAGGAGATTTGAAACAAAATTGGGAGATATTCCACCAGATGTGGGAGAATTATGAAATAATCACGGGTCTGGAAAGTGAGCCCGACAGATATCGGATCGCTCATTTCATGACGGCCATTGGCCTAGATGCTGTAAAAATCCATACAGGCCTTCCATTCAGGAATGAAGAGGAACGGAAAGACTTCCCCACAATTCGAAAGCTCTGGCGAGAGTACTGCAGTGGCCAGACAAATATCACGTATGAGAGGTACAAATTCAATAAATACGCACAACACGAGGACGAGACCTTCGAAAGGTACTATGTCACGTTAAGACAATTAGCAGGTAGCTGTGAATATGGCGCCCTGATGGACGAATTAATCAGAGACAGGGTAGTATTAGGAATACTAGATGACTCAGTGAGGAAGCGACTGCTTCAAGAGCCAAATCTGACCCTGCAGGGGTGCCTCGACGTTTGTCGGGCTTATGAGTCCTCTAAGACTCAAACACAGCTCTTGCAAGGTGATGCTTTGGTTGCGCATGCGGTGTCGCAGAAACACCAGCGCAATTGGCAAAATAAAGGGAAGGATTATGGCCACCAATCAGGATCACAAAACAATGTGATAGAGTGTAAATTTTGTGGACTGAAGCATGAGCGTGTTAAAGAAAAATGCCCAGCCTGGGGCAAACAATGCTCAAAATGCGGCAAAAGCAATCACTTTGCAAAGATGTGCATGTCGTCTTATGATACCAGTAGTAGCTCTAGTAACAGGTCAGGAATGCAAGCAAGACGTAGTAGACCACCATTCAGGGGTGCACAGCACAATGTGCGTGCTATTTATGAGGATTCGGATGATGAAATCATGGTTGTTGCACTAGGTGAAAACACTAAGGAAGAGAATATCAAGGCTGTAGGGAACAATAATGAAACCCAATTCCAAAACAAAATCATGGCAACATTTCTCATTGAGGGGGAACCGGTGAAAATGCAGGTTGACTGTGGGGCCACAGTGAACGTCATCCCTCGAAAGCATGTTCCCCTGGGTATACCAATTCACGAGAATGCCAAGCAGCTAGGCTTATTTGGGAATAAGGCAAGCATTACGTCTGTGGGCACATGCAAACTGCACATGATGAATGCTAAGAATAGACAGCCATGTGATGTCCTCTTCCATGTTGTAAATGAAGAAACATGTGTACCATTGATAGGGTCTAGAAAGGCTCAATCAATGAATCTGATAACAGTGCAGCATGAGAACATCGCTAGCTTAGATGACTCACCGGGTTTGGATAAGTATGCAAAGACAAAGAGCGAAGTAGTGAAGAAATACCAAGAAGCATTTAGTGGGCTGGGGAAGATGCCAGGCAAAGTCCACTTAGAGGTAGATGATTCATCACCAGTAGTGATGCCCCCCAGAAGGGTTCCAATAGCTGTTAGGGACAAGCTTAAAGAAGAGCTGAATAGATTAGAATCTCTAGGGGTGATAGATCAGGTACAGAAACCAACAGACTGGGTTTCAGGGCTAGTAGTTGTACAGAAATCAGATGGGAGAATCAGAGTGTGCATAGATCCCCAGTATTTAAACCGTGCCCTTAAAAGAGAACACTACCCGTTGCCCCTCATTGAAGATGTGCTCCCTGAACTGGCTTCGGTAAAGGTCTTCACCAAGGCAGACTGCAAGGAAGGGTTCTTGCAATGTGAACTGGATGACAAGTCATCGCTTCTCACGACATTTCAGACTCCATGGGGACGCTACAAGTGGAGAAGGCTGCCGTTTGGAGTCAGCCCTGCCCCAGAGCTTTTCCAAAAGCTCCTAGATCAGAACTTGGAGTGTCTGACAGGTGTCTACAAAGTCGCAGATGACATTCTGATTGTTGGCCGAGGTGCGACGCTCCAAGAGGCTCACGCAGATCATGACGCGAACCTCGACGCCCTGATGAAGAGATGTATCGAGCGCAAGATCGTACTCAATGAACGAAAATTTGAGTACAAAACCGACCGCGTGAAGTTCATAGGCCATGTCCTAACCAGTAACGGACTACAGGTTGACGAGGACAAAGTGAAGGCCATAACGGAGATGCCCAAACCGGACAGCGTCGAGAGCGTACAGAGATTCGTGGGCATGGTGAAATACCTTGCAAAGTTTCTACCGGCCCTTTCCGAAAAAAGTGAGCCCCTGCGTCGACTAACCCACAAGGACACACCATGGGAGTGGGGGCCCGACCAGGACAAATCTTTCGCGGATATCAAGTTACTTGTCAGCTCAGCGCCTGTCTTGAAATACTTTGACCCGGAATGTCAAACGGAAGGGCAAGGCGATGCCTCTCAATCGGGCCTAGGATTCGTACTCCTCCAAAAAGGCCAACCCGTAGCGTACTCCAGTCGGGCGTTGACTCCAGCAGAAACGAGGTACTCCCAGATAGAAAAAGAACTTCTAGCACAAGTATTCGGTCTCGAGAAACACCACGAGTATGTTTATGGCAGGGAAATCGTTCTGTGGACCGACCACAAGCCGTTAGTATCGATCACACAAAGATCCCTAGCCACCGCACCAAAGCGTTTACAGCGGCTACTGCTCCGTCTAATGCAGTATGATGTGCAGATCAAGTATATGCCAGGCCCAGAACTCTATCTAGCAGACACACTCTCACGTGCTTACCTTCCAAGCACTGAGAGATCACGTACCGAAGCCGAGACTGAACGCATCCATCTTGTTGATTCACTGAGAATTTCTGACGCGATGAAGAAGGAAATACTCGAGTCGACCGCGCGTGATGAGGAACTTTGCGCCGTGATGCAGTACATAAACGAAGGATGGCCGGCATCAATCCGAGACTGTGCTCCCGAAGTGAGACAGTACCATGCCATCAGACATGAACTAACATTCGATGACGGCATCGTCCTCAAGGGACTTCGTTGCGTGATTCCACGAACAATGCGTCCGACCGTAAGAAAGAGACTCCATACCGCACACACAGGCATCGACAGCACTTTGAGGAGGGCGAGAGAATGCGTCTATTGGCCGGGAATATCCGCGGACTTAAAGGATTATATATCCCGTTGCGACGCATGCAACACATATGCCGTATCACAACCAAAAGAGCCCCTGATCAGCCATCCTATCCCGAGCCACCCGTGGCAGAAGGTTGGCTGCGATATCTTCACGGTCAGTGGGCAGGATTACTTGTGCACTGTCGACTACCTCTCGGACTACTTTGAAGTAGATAACCTCAAGGGCCGTAAGGACGGCAGCGCTATCATCAGCCGGCTCAAACGTCACTTTTCCACTCACGGCATACCTGAAGAAATCATGAGCGACAACGGCCCTCCGTTCAACTCCGAACAGTTTGCTATGTTTTCTAGAGAATACGGATTCTCACATTCCACCAGCTCTCCGGAATATCCTCAAAGCAATGGAAAGGTGGAAAGTGCTGTAAAGATCGCGAAGGGACTAGTAAAAAAAGCAAAGACGGCGGGGGAAGATTTTTATATGAGTCTTCTCGTCTGGCGCAACACCCCAACCGCGGACATGAACAGCTCTCCAGCACAAAGGATGTTTGGGCGCCGGATGCAGACAAACATTCCTATCGCGAATGAACTCCTACAACCACAACTGGTGATGGATGTACGGGAGCGGAAAATACAGAAACAGGAGAGACAAGCTCTGTACTTCAACCGCCACACACGAGTTCTCCCTGACTTACAAGTAGGTGACCATGTACGCCTACAACCATCGCGTCATAGGGATAAGTGGGACGAAGCGGAAGTGAAAGAGAAAGTGGGCATACGATCATACAGGATTATCACGGACAGTGGGCGCGAACTTCGGAGGAACCGACGCCACTTGCGAAAGACATCTGCACACTCCACACCCGAAATCCCAGAACCAAACGCTGACGATCAAGCTCCAGAGTGGTTCGAAGACAGCGGACAACCAACTATAACCACTCACGCAACACCGATGACAACACCAACAAACCCACCAGAACAACCACTACGCAGGAGCCACAGGCAACAACGACAACCCCAATACCTTGAAGACTATGTAACCAATTAATTAAGACCCCATGCACACCTCCCTGAGTTACAGCTACCGTCCAACATTTAGGAATTGCTCATTTATAATGTCTACCATATAACACATAACTAGAGAATAATTCAGACTATATCATTTGTATTACTTTAGGCTGAATGACCAGCTATCCCACATACATGTACAATGCTAGTGCCACGTTTGGTTATAACATCATAACAGATTTGCATGTAAATAACGCGACCTTGTTAAGTCGCAGTTTAATGTATATAAATGTAAATGCGTTAAAATCCTGGGCAATCTTAACAAAGAAAAAAAAACTAATCAAATATATCAGATAAACAACAAAATTCTATTCTTCTAAAAAAGGAAGGATGTTACAATATGATGTATAACATATTGCTGTATAGCGCCATCTATGTTCATACCACAAGATACTGTGAATAAAGAAAGCTCCCTCTTATGCCAGGTTAACTCACTTGTGCAAGTAGTGTTTTATTTGTAGCTAAGAATGTCACTATTAGAGTTGTAATAAGATAGAAAGAGACTAACAAATACATTGATCAATGTTTTTGCGCATTTGTATCGGAGCTTTGCCTAGGCAGCTCTAGATATAAAGCCTTGGTTTAAGTGAGTATATGTATTCAGATTTTTACAAATGTATTTCATCTATTTTGTTTCAAATAACTGTTGTACCTGTAGGAATCATTTTAGTGAGCGGGAGTAGAGACAGAACAGTAAGAGTATGGAATGTATGTACCTCAGAATGCATCAGTGTCATAGATGCTCACACTGGTGCTGTAACTTGCCTAAAACTGAAGGTAAATGACAAACTTAAATTCTTATCGTAAGAAGGTCTATTTCTTTATTTGATCCGTATATCATAAGACGATACACATTGAAGTCGTTCATATTGATAATCTTAATTTTACACATAAATTGTCAGATATGAGGGGGAAAAAACATGTGCTAATATGCCTACACATAGAATTACAAATTGTTTACTTTTAAGTAGAGGCATGTTGATTTCATTGAATTTCATAATTTGCATACAATGTTTCGACCTTTATTTACTTATACTTTGCAAGAACTGCCTTTTTTAGACAAGTGATGTTTTTTGTATGAGAACAACAAAACAATGCTAGTTAATGAAATACCCTTCTCTGATTTCCCAGTCTAAACATACACTTTACCGGTAGTTGTTTTTTTATGATGTATGTTTCAAATCACATTTGACTATGTTGTCCCCAGAATGGCTTGATCGTGACAGGCTGTTCCGATAAACTGCTTCGAGTGTTTGAGATCGGATCAGGAAGGTGCATCAAATCACTTGAAGGTCATACAGGCTCAGTAGATCACGTGTGCTTCCAAAATGAATCCATTGTCAGTGCTTCAAGTGATAGGTAAGTACCCCTTCTCATTTTATAAGAAAATTCTATAAACAAAACTTCAATTTTCATGCATTCTCTTATAAAAGTTGTTGAAATTTGGCTTGTCCAACGAATATCAATGTATGATGTCATACTGGCCAAGTTGTCAAGGTTGCTGGTTCCAAACAATTTTGTGATAAACAATGGTGTGGTGATTACACTAGCTGCAAACACTAACTATGCCCTGTTCCAGCTCGTTGCTTGAATGATTTCATGGTGAATTTAATGCGCAGGCTCTGATGTTTTGAACCAGTAACCTAGACAATGAGCGAATTTGTTAGCACTTTGGTACTCTATAGTATAGTTAGCAGACACTCTGTCTTCTGAGACCTGTTGCTGATTAGTTGAAAACCTGTCTTGAGACAATCCATTACCATAAGTCATCATGAAAGGACCTCTAGATATAGTAACTTTTATTTCCTGCCAAATTCAAATAACGGCACTAATTCCTATACAGAAATTATCAATCTAGAAAATAATAATAATAATAATATTTAATTTTTATATAGCGCTTAATACAAATGTCTCCAAGGAACCATATTTCAGATTCTTTTTACCTTAAATATCTGTAAAAAGATACATTGAAAACAGAAATGTTTGAAATGTTTTCAGTTCAGTTCAGTTCAGTTCATTTATTTTCCACAATAATAAAAGTACAAAGATGTACATTACATATAACAGATATATACATGTATATACAATAACAACAACAAATACCAAAACAAAATGTGAACATTTACAGTAACATTGACAAAGAGCATAAGTGATTGATTAAAGTGTAATGATATAGAACATGTTATTATTGCGGAGGGAGCCAACTGGAAGACAGGAAAATAGTCTTAAGTGCGTTGGCACCCATCATGATCAATTAAATATAATCTTAATACATTAAATAACAATTGAATAATTGCGTTAAACAAAAAAAAAAGCAAAGTAAATTTGTATATAAAGAAAGAAAGGACGGGTTAAGAAGCTCTACTAACGTTGTAGTTGATTACGGTATGAATTTATCAAGTGTTTTTTTAGTTTGCGTTTGAAAGATTGGAGTGACACTGAGTTTTTTATTTCATTTGGTAAAGAACTCCACAGTTTTGGGCCGGTAAAAAATAAAGTAGATTTTGCATAGGATGTACATATTTTGGGGAAATGAAAATCATTAGAAGACCGAGTTTGATAAGAGTGAATACTTGCATTTATAGGAAATAGATCAGTAATATAACGAGGGAATAAGCGATTTTTACATTTATACATGAACATACCAGTTTGTAGCTGACAAATATCGGATAGGCTTAATACATTGAGCTTATGAAATAGCGGAGCAGAATGAGAGTTATACGAGGATTTTGATATCAGGCGAATGGCTTTTTTTTGTAGTTTAAAGACTCTATCAGAATATGACTTAGGACAGCCACCACAATTTATATTACAGTATGATATGTGGAGTAGGAAAAGGGTATTGTAAATAGTAAGAAGAATTTTTTCGGGTAATAAATTGCGCAGGCGATATAGGATACCAACAACTTGAGAAATTTTAGAACAAACATCTCCTAAATGATATTTCCAAGACATGGATTCATCTATATGAACACCTAAAAATTTGGTATGATTTGTATGTAATAGTTGGGATTTGTTCATATGGATTCTTATATCATCAATATTATAATTCATATTGCTAAAAACCATATAGTTAGTTTTAGACATATTTATAATTAACTTATTACATTTTAACCACTGATATACATTTTGTAATTCTTTATTAAACGTGGTATTAATAAGGGGAATATCTTTATGGGTAAAAAAAATACTTGTATCGTCGGCAAACTGTATAAAACTTAGGACATTTGATGAACACTGAATATCATTTATGTAAATTAGAAATAATAATGGGCCGAGGATAGAACCCTGTGGAACCCCGCAAACAAAATTGAGCATATTTGAGTCTGTAGAATTAATTGTAACATATTGTTTTCTATTGCTAAGATAATTTTCAATCCATTTATGGGGAACACCTCGTATGCCAATATGATATAATTTGTGCATTAAAATATTATGGTCTATTGTATCAAATGCTTTTGACATATCTAAAAATACACCGACTGTTGTTTTTTTAATTTCAATGGAATTTGTAATATCTTGAGTGAATTTTGTAATTGCTAATGATGTTGACAGACCCTCTCTAAATCCATATTGAGTGTTATTTAATAAGTTGTTGGAAGATAAAAAATTGGAAATTCTACTGAAAACACATTTTTCGATTATTTTTGAGAAAACAGTAAGTACAGAAATTGGTCTATAATTCGACATACATTCTTTTGACCCCGATTTAAAAACTGGTATAACTTTAGCTACTTTGAGATTATCTGGAACAAGACCTGTCGACATTGACATGTTAAAAATTTGACTCAATGGTTTACAAATAAATGGTATTACTTTCTTAACTACTTTTACATCTATGTGGTCGAAACCAGAAGAAGTATCATTTTTAAATTTGTCAACAATGGATATAATTTCACTTTCAACAATCGGTTGAAAAAATATTGAAGAAGAACAAGGATTTGAAAGATATTTGGAGAAATGTTTATTACATGTATCATGGGGATCATCCAGTTTCTTTTGTAAATTGGGGCCTATCGAAATGAAATATTTATTAAATTCGTTAGCCATTTCCCTTGGGTGAGATATGTCATTATTGTCATTTACAATTTTGGAAGGGATATTTTTTTAAATTTTAGTTCTATTTAAAACCGTATTAATTTCTTTCCAAGTAGCCTTGGAATTCCCTGTAACGGCACAAAATTTAGATTGAAAATATCGTTGTTTTTTTTTTTGTATTGCCTTTGTGCATTTGTTACGGAATGACTTGTAAATTCTTTCATCAATTACTGCTCGGCGTGATATAAATTTTTTGTATAAAGTTTGTCTTTTTTTACACATTTTTTTTAGTTCTTTTGTGAACCAAGCCTTGTTCTTCCGATTGTTCATATTTTTTGATTTTTTGAGAGGGAAACACTTGTCGTATATATCTAGAAAAATATCCACAAAGTCTTTGAACATGTCATTTACATTTGTCACACGAAGATTCCAGTCAAAATCCCTTAAATGTCTACAAAATATTGCAATATTATAATCATTGACTACACGTTTAAAACTGTTTACATTGTCAGAGTTAGAAAATATACAACTTGGTGAAATAACGCTAAATATGGGCAAATGATCACTAATGTCTCCAAAGAGAATACCACTTTCCCTGACCGTATCAGGCTTATTTGTAAACATGTTGTCAATTAATGTAGCAGAATCTTTCGTTATGCGGGTGGGCTTATCAATAACTGGGTAAAATGAAAAAGAACAAAACATATCTATGAATTCATTATTGAAAAGATTGCCCTCAGACGATAAAAGATTTATATTATAGTCTCCAAAGAAATAACATGACATGGAACGTGGAATATGTTGGAGAGTATTTTGTAAAATATTCAAAAAATCATTAATTGGTTGACCAGGTGGTCTATATACACAGCCGATAATAACATTCTCATTGATTTTCAAAAATATAGCTTCACAATATTCATTGTTTATATTGAGATTATGCATTATACTGTAATTCAGATTATTCAAGATAAAAAAACCAACGCCACCACCGCGTCTATTTTCTCTTTCCTGACTGATAAAAGAGTAATTATTGAGTTGAACTTCACAATTATAGGGCGTGGGCTGGGATCCTTGGAGTCCTTGGGATTGGGAGTGGCAGTGCGCGTTGACGATCGGGTTTTCACCCCTTCTTGAGCATTGGCCCCCTCCTTTTTCTTGAAAGAGATGCGATGCGAACGCTCAATGTCTCCATTGTTAATTGGGATCTTTAGTTTGTCGTTCACAATCTCTCGGATTAAGTCATCCGTGTTTTCGTTCGTAGATTCCGGCACACCATAGAAACGGAGGCAATTACGTCTAGAGTACTGTTCTTGTGCATTGAGTTCCCTTGTAAGAGTTTCCACTTTGTTTTGTTTTCTTTCTAGGTCTTTGTGAAAGTGATCGATATTTTTCGACAGAGAATCGACCTTGTTCTCCAAAACCATAATCCTTGCTTCATGGGCCTCGAGACGACCCATGATTAGGCCTATTTCCTTTTGTACGCCTTCATGCACTGCTTGGCGAATTGTTTTCAAGAAAAGCTCTCCTTTGATAAAGGAATTGATTGCATTTTCGGCAATGTTGTCGACATTGTTCGGTGTAATGGTAGATTGTGAGTACATGATAAAATGTAAAAAACAGGTCGACCACGTAGAAAATGGCGTGATAAGAACCACGGAATTCAAATAAATCTTGTTTTATCAAACAGTTTTAATGTTGATGATGCGTGATGGTAATAACCAATATATAATTCAGTATTTATAAACTTCTCGTCGTTGAGCTTTGAAATGTTATCAGATCATAAATACAAAATACCTACTCACTAGTCCATCTCAAAGTTCCACATTTTCATTTCCAAGTGTTATTGATGCATTCCAGAATAACGTCTAAGAGCAATATATATTACAGCATGATGATAATGATGCTGACAATCGAAGAGAAACTGATCCAATAACGTAGTTCAATCGCGTGAGATATATATATACTCCGAACTGTATATCCGTATGTGGGACTAAGCACATTTGTGTATGTCACCCGATAGTTCAATGTCATCGCAGAGCGCTCAAAAACACTCAAAAGCACAACAGAATTCCAACACAAACTTCACCACCAGAATATATATGTGTTCCACATATATGTCTTATCTGTCTAGAAAGTAATTCAAGCTGTTTAAATGCCCATATGGGGGTATTTAAGGGCAGAGAAACTTGTTACAGCGTGAAAGAGTCGGATATTCATTATGATAACCCATGACAAGAATGATGTAGTTTCCCTCAATTTGCATCGTATATGACACTGTATGATTTCGCTATTTATTTTATTCCAGATCTGTTAGAGTCTGGTCATGGCCTGATGGCTGCTGTAGACAAATACTCAGAGGACACAGTGATGATATACAGGTAAGACATCATTTTAGGCCTGAGTCATGTCGGGATTTTCATAAACCGGGTCCCGACGGCGTTGCACCGATCGGGACCCGGTGTCCCGAAATCAGCTCGCAGGATTTGTCACTTGCCTCTATAAAAAGCGCACATCATCAGTATGTCCCTTAAAAGTGACCTTCTTTATCAATCAAATAAATCAACACATGCATACCTCGGCTCAGATCGGTATATTCTTCCATTTGACATTATTTTCATCCATGATTGGCGATGTTTAGTGCCATTATCGTGCCTCTAAAAGTAAAAAAACTGGGGCAGAATTAGAAAGACAACATTCGAGCCGCCATTTTGATTTATGCAGGTTGAATAAAACTGGTCAAAAAATATGAATGTTAGAATAATAAAACGGCTTTCTAAAAAATGATTCTGTACAATATACCGATCATATAATATTTTAAAGACAAAATAAATATTTAACTCTTATTTTAAACATCGCATGCTTTCTTTTAAAAGCTGAAAATTACTTGGTAATCACATGAAGTTTCGATACGGATAGCTGTTGCAAGGCAAGTTCAGACTAGTCTTGGAAAAATGCGGAGTGCTCCTCGTAATTAGCTGTAATGCATGTCAGAACGAACCCAAACAAAGACGTGATCGTAACGAGAAAAAAAATCATTAAAAACTACGAGAGCACAATTGGAAAGACAACTACTGCTCAAAATTACAATAATTAGATACATAACTTGGACAAAGAATTCAATAATCGCCCAAGAAATGCCACAGAAATTGTGATAATCGAGGAGTAACTGGGTACATTTTTATCGCAAGGGGTCTGCTGCAAATACTCAAATCCTTTGTTATACTGCTTTTTACCGTAGAGGGCCTTATTTGGTTTCTAGCCTCGTGTTTAATTTAAACACGTGTTATTCGGATATCGCAGCGGCTAGGCCCTTCCGATAATGATTGTACCTATAGTAACTCCTTAAATATCACTATTTATGTGGCTTTTCTTGGACAACTATTGTATTCTTCCTCCAAGTTGTATCTGCTTACGATAATTTTGACTAGTTGTCTTTCTAATTGTGCTCTCGTAGTTTGTAATGATTTTTTTTCTCGTTACGATCACGTCTTTGTTTGGGTTCGTTCTGGCATGCATTACGGCTAACGAGGTACACTGCGCATTTTTCAGAGACTAGTCTGAACTTGCCTTGCAACAGCTATCCGTATCGAAACTTCTTGTGATTACCAAGTAATTTTCAGCTTTTAAAAGAACCATGCGGTGTTCAAAATCAAAGAAAAAATATCTATTTTGTCTTGTAAAAATTATTCGATCAGTATGTTGTAAAGAAGTACTTTTTAGAAAGCCGTTTTATTATTCAAACATTAATGTTTCTTTCAACCTGATTTATTAATCCTGCCGAGGGACCCGGCCAGTACAGTAGCTAGAGCTCTAGCAGCTAGCTGGCAAAAACAACCCCATTGGGCGAACTGCTTTGCAACCCATATTTATATCAGCTAATTCAGGATGAGCTAGAATATGATTGGTAACAATTAAATACTTAAGTTTTAAGGTGGATTGATTTTAGTGGTGTGCAAAACTGCAATTTCTTACATTTTTCATTATTTTTTTCGGAGCGTCGGTTCTCAAAAAACGAAACCGGGACCCGATGGCAACGGTCGGGTCCCGGTGTGATCGACCGTACCGACTCGAGCCTACATCATTTGTCATTGTGCCTATATTTTTAGGAATATCAACTGTATTTTATAAAAATGAAATAATCATTCTGCCATAAACCTTTCATTGATTCTGGATCTCATAACAGACAATATTAGTGTATATATGAACATTTTTAACCAAGTATATTGTGACATTAAAAGAAAATATATTTCTACTGGGTCTTCATGTTTTTTTCCAGCAAGACACAACTAATTTTTTATTTTTTGAGAAGAATTGTTACCTTGTTTCCTGTGATAGTCAGAAAAGATAATTATGTTGTCTTGGCTTGATGTGACATTAGGAATGAATGTTTACTGTTAAAGTTTATTTGTATATATATATATATATATTTCTTCCATGTAGTATTTAGATGTTCACAGAGAGAAAGCTGTTACCACTGCCTGGGATACTACGGTCAGAGTATGGGACATTCACAGAGGAATCTGTCTTCATGTTCTTCGTGGACATTCAGAAGGTTAGTTCATAGAGGGCCATGCATGTCCACTATTTACAAGCCCGTTTTAATGTAAGATATGCTATATACAGAATAGCGAATCCTTGTACACTTGGTTGACTTGAAATCTGGGTCTTAGAATTACTAATAAAAGTACCAATTGGCTGACTTAGAGATATAGTTTTTCCAATGGAAAATAGTTATGTCTAAGATATTAAGTGACCACTATAAAGTTAATAGTGAATAGTGTCAGTAGTGCAAGAGTCCCCCCCCCCCCCCCCCTCCTGTTTGAACATATTGTAAGAGAAAAAGTAAAATGATGTGAAAATTCTCAAAAACAATTAGAGGTTATGATTTGATTTGAGTTTACTTTTTAATTAGTATGTGTTCATAGGACCACAAACATATAGTAAAGGGGCTAGGAAATAATAGTGGTATTACTCATAGAGATATAATGCTTCATTGATTTGTATCTCCCTAGGTGTGATGTGTTGTAAGTTTGATGATAAGATCATCGTCAGTGGTGGAGGAGATGGTCTCATCAAGATATGGGACACACATGTAGGAGTCTGCACAAAGACACTTGAAGGTCATACAGATGAAGTGGTGAGTCACCTATTCACTTTAATAGGAATATGTTATTTTGAAAACTTGTGAAAGTAAATAATTTGTACCGGTACATAAAATTAACCCCCTTGCAAAAACAGCACAATTTGCAGTTTTGAAGGGTCGAAAAAGATATCAGAGAATGTAAATATTAGCAACAATAGTCATGTTGTCAAATCATGAATTCTTGTGCTTTTTCATCATAAAAGATATTTCCCTTTCAATGTAAAGTTTGTTCATTTATTGAAAACATATTCAAGTAAAAGTGCAGGATCATGACTTCGTAAAGCTAGAAAGTTAAATGTTGTAGGTACATATTACTGGTTTCACAAACCAACTAACACACACATTGGCTTAAGTACAGTTGGAAATTAGTTCATAAAACCAGCAATCATCTATACAAATTCATGTGTAGGAAAAGTTGAATTAGACATTCAGGTACTGTAAAGTGTAATGCAGTGATTTATTTTTGTTTTGTTATAATCTTTTTGTTGTAGTATTGCCTTGACTATAACAGCAATGTGATAGCATCAGGTTCAGCCGACAGTACAGTCAGGCTATGGAATTATGAAGGTGAGTGATAGGATAGTGACTTCAACATCTCTCTTATTAATATGTTTTCTTCTTGTAAATTTTAATTTACCTTCCTTTTCTTTGTCTGTCTTTCTTTGTTTCCTTTCTCTGCATTACATCTGGTTTATCTTTAGTGGTTATTGGCTATTGTATTATTGGAGATAACAACTTTTGTTATTATTTTCTTTTCATTCTTTTTCTTTAATTTTATCAACCACTGTTACTTTTAATTATAGGTAGCATGTTTTCCATAACCATTGTGAGATCTTTTATGTAGTTTTATTCTCAGTTGTGGGACTCACTACTTTAGTGTAATTGGAAGTCTGAATTCTAAATTTACATCAAATTTATTGACTTTTTTTTATCTCTCCTTTTCCTGTTCATGTGCACTAGGTATCTGTCTGAATGTGATGAAGGAACACATAGGTGTTGTGCGCTGCTTGAGATTGTCCAATGATAGACTGGTAACAGGAGGAGACAGAAAGAAGATCGTTGTGTGGGATGCTCAGGTGAGACTACTAGTAATTGAGAATATGCTTTGAAGTTCAGTGTCAGTCATTGATGTCCATCAGTTATTTTAGAAATGGCGGTAGAACCTTCTATACAAGTATTTTGAACTAAATGTTTTACCTTGAAAATTAAAAACACTGTTATGGAGCTTAAATTTATTCTGGAAGGATAAACCATATGTTGCTTAAGGTCACAGTTTTCAAATGATACATTTTAATTGATCTGATATACTTGTGACTAAACTACTAAAATGTTATATTAAACAAAATAGTTTATCAGATATTTATTCAGAACTTACAGGGAAAGATTAATCCTGTAGAGAAACAAGATCTTAAATACAAATTGTACTCAGAAAATGTACTTTGCATTCGGTATAGTCTCATCAGTCCATCACCCATCAGATTCTTTTGTTTTTCTTTCTTTGGAGCACAACTAATTTGGGGGAATTATCCTTATTTCTTTAAACAGGATGGAAGACTCTTGAACGTTGTCCATCGGAACCCCAGCTTGCTTCATCTGATGTGGACGAGTGATACCAAGATAATGATCGCATCCCCTCAAGCTCCTGGAACTGTGACCATCCTTAGCTACTGGTAGATCAGTCACAGTGGTGTACCCATCACAGATTGAGGCCAGCATACCCCCCTTCTTCCCCATTGTGGAGGCAGAGCAACAAATTCAATACTATAGCAGTTGGTCCTTGGGAAGATGGATTGGCCAAATAACCATGTCTGCATATGGAACTTTGGTAGACTGTGAATTAACATCAGTTATTCAAACAAAGCCTGCTGAATTTGATTTATGCGAGTGATACAAAGATTCTGATGGCATCCCAAGAAGTGCCAGGAACTGTCTTCATCCTTAGCTATTGGTAGACCATGGATCACCATTGTTTAATTGTAACCTAGCTTGTTTCATATCATGTGGACTAGTAATACAATTTAAATTAAATGAAGTTCCATGAACTATCTATCTACCAATAACCATCCATGACAACTGGTAGATGTTGAAAGTATTACCTTCACAGATATTGAGTTTAAGTCGTAACTGAGAAAACGTTGATCTAGTGACTGCTTTCCTGAACAAAGTATCTCTAGATACTAGGACAGCTGGGATTGTAAGAAACGGCATTATTGGTCTTTGATACTGTAAATGATTGTGGAATGATAGAGGTTTATACCTTTTTTTAATTGCTGTTTGATGTTGGTGCTGTTTTACATGTGTTTTTTTTATGCTACAGTATTTCTACAACTGTGTGTCAAGTATCATGTTCTTCCTTGTGAAGCTTCCTCTATTTGCTTGCTGTGAATATTCACAAGAAAATTTGAAGTGCATTGCCATTGAGATGTGCTTCATTACACTTTGTTCAGATCAGATATATATATGAAGACTTAAATACCACATTGAAATATATTGTAAATTCTGAGCGGATAAGATAAATAATAATAGCTAGTTCTTATATAGCGCTTTTCAGGACCGGAGGCCCTCTCAAAGCGCTTTACAGATGTATATATTATTACCCCGGTCATAGGATTCAGGCTTACCTGCACACAATGTATGCACATTCTCCACTCCCTGGGGAGTATTCCAGCCAGATATCAAATGACTTCCTTAATCAGATATATAAACCGATATAATTTTTCAGAGGAAATGGGATATATAAAATAGTTTGATTAAGTGTGCCGTTTTCACTTTTTGCATGCAGTGAAAAGTTTCAGATATCAATATGACATGACATTCTTTGATCCTGAAGTTTCATTCTAGATCTAATAGAAAACCACCGTTATGTATTCAAATTTCCAAAGCAATTCTGTGGTATCTAATACTGTTTGCATCTTCTGCAGATATATTGTGCCTCTCAATAACGAGCTTGAGTAATTTTTGTTCAAAACATAGTGAAACAAAAGATGATATTGCCCTGAAGACTCCCATCATTCGATAGATATTTGTATTCTGTTTTGTATTTTGCTGAAAACCTTGTCCATTCCATCCATTAACATAAGTACTTTTGTAATGTGTACAAAGATTAAATATTTTTGTTTTAATAAAACAAAATTTATTGCCTGTGAGTACTTTCTGTATGTTTTCGTTTTAATTTGACAAGTCGTCATTTATTAATAATTTATATTCATTTAAGTATTCATGTACAGTATTGGTATGCTCTCAAATACGGATTTTGCCAAGATTTCATTTTTGGTAAAGTGTACCAATCACCATATATATATATATATACTATTACTATATTCAAAATATGAGCTTCAAATATTACTCCTATAAATAGATACTGCAAGTTTAAATACAACCTCAGCCAACCTAAAAGCAAATTGTGGATATCAACTCATAACCATCAACTCATAAAATGCTCAGTAAATTTTACCAAGGTTCATATTTTACAATATATTCTAGCAGTACACAAATTATTTTTCTAGGTGATTGGTACATGAATATCAAGATACAGCTTTAAAACTGTTGCAATTGCTTTTTAAACCTTAAGTTCAATAAAAGCAAATAAATAGATCTCTGGGAGTGATCTTTATGTTCATTTATATTGCCTTTTAATCCTTATCTTTTTTTTCATTTGTAGATAAGCTTGTACCTAAAAAAAACATCAAAATGATTTTCAAAATTGTAGTGACTCTTGCCAATATTTCACATGGCCTTTTGCATTAGACTTACACATCTTTTAACATGCTTGCACATACACAAATCTCAAATCAGAGCTCCTTTTGTGGTACACGAAATCATTTATTCATTCATTTTTTCTTTCATCATTTTTTTTCCATCCAACATTTCTCGACATTTCCTAAAAACATATATATGTACTTCTTTCTACATGGAAGATTCACACATAGTTGTTTACATATTGCATTGTCATCTACAATTACAAATGGTTGATTATAAAGGAATTAGACTACCATACATTACATAAAGAAAACAAGTTTTTATTTCACTCATAACACCAAGTATATTGTATGTCAATATCACCAAAATAAACCAATCATTCACAAATTTCTAGAAATAATTTTCATTGCATAATTATAAGCATCGTGACAAATTGTCATAGTTACCATGTAACCTAGACAGTACCGTGTGAAATAATTGCCTTTTCAGTCTGAAATGACTTTGAGCCGAGGTAAACAGGTCGGGCCATGACTGGTGAATGCAGAATATACATAAAAAACATGAAGAAAATATTTCTTTTTATAAAGAAAGGCCCTTCGAACTGACATACATAATCCTTGAGCTATCCATAACCCTGAATACCTCAATACTTAATCCAGTGTTTAACCAGCATGTCCCTGGTTTAACATTTCAATCATTTTCAAACAATCTTCTGTATTTATCATTGCACAAGACAACCTTCTTCATTTACATTACCTTTGCTTCATAAGATTATTGAAGGATCGTAGAAGGCAAATCCCGTTATGATAAAATCTGAAAAGATCTTGATACAATTCATCCTAAACCAAGGGCCCCAGGAAGATGATAAATATGCAAATTTATTAACAAACCGGGATTAATTATACCATGAAACGAACTGTGTTACTAAAGTCACTTCATCAAATACATGTACTGTCTATTCTGCAATCACATAACACTGAATAATGAGAATAGGTTATTTTAGCAATCTCCATCATGTTTAAATATTCAAAGAAATGGGATATATTCAAGAAGAGCACTTTAAAAAATCACACACTTTTGGTTTCTCTTGTTGATGATGAACATTTCATATTTGACATTTTCTCTGTGAGAACAACAAATGAATATGATACCTACATGTAAATGCTATAATATCAACCAAAACATCCCTCTCCCTATGATTGATAAGAAGGAAGAAACGTAAAATTGCTGACAGTATGCTGTTATGTACAAGTGTAAAAACAAAATATGAATAAAATGATAGATATCTAAATTCTCTCTCTTTCTATTTAAGATCTACTATTTATATCGCTTGCATTCCTTCCTTTAAATATTCACCAACAGTTCCGCAGCCTATGCAAAAACTGCAAAAAAATTACCAAGTTCACAACATTTAATCCTTTCGTCTTTTTGGTATAAGCTACATAGAGTGGTGAAGACGATGTGATGTCATCAAAAATCTATTTTTTGAATTTCTCAATTTTTTCTTCATTTTCCGAAAGAGCATCAAAAATAATGTCCAAATGTCGAAAACCAATTGAATAAGTTAAGTATTGCCTGAGATATGACGATCTGAATAAAAAGATTTCCTATAGGAACTCGGTCTTAATACTGAGTTCCTATAGGAATATTCAATTGGTTTTTGACATTTGGACATTATTTTTGATGCTCTTTCGGAAAATGAATAGATAATTAAGATGTCACAGCTTCAGTACTCTGTAACACTGAACATCAATGTCTTTTAGTGCTTCAAAGGTAGAGAATAATAAAAACTTCATTAAATTGACATCTGCGGTTAGCATTATCAAAGAAAGATTATTACAAGAGATCTCGACTATTACTCTTAGGGGAGGTGTCATGGTCTAGTGGACAGGTCACCACAACATAATTCTCGTTTCAAGTCCCGTCGCTTTGGTAAAACATTAATCTACATTTGTCACACTCAAGTTGAGGTCAATGGCTACCTGGCAGTAATTAATTCCTTGATATGCTATCGCAACATAAATAATTGAGAAAATTCATGCTTGTATCAAAGTGTATCTGTTGTAGGACCTTGAAGGAATTATTAGCTCTTATTTTGGTGGATTGCAGAAAGTATTCCAGGAACTCGCTTCATCAAATATCTGCTGTCATTAAAGAAGACCATGTTTTACAAGAGATCTTAGCTCCTAGTGTGGTACATGGCAGGATGGATTTAAGAAAACTTCATGGTTTATCAAACTGATTTATGTATGGGTATCACAAAAATATTCCTTGTAGATCTGGGTTCAACGTGTGGTTCAAAACAAAGATTTCAGGAATCATTCATTCTTTGTCAAATTGATACCTGTTATAGATATCATCAAACAGGTCCTTACAGGAAATCTTAGCTCCTAGTTTGGTACACAGCAGGAAGGAACCAGCCATCTTACGATGGAGCGAGTAGCTTTCTTCTGGGGGCGGGGTTAGCCTACCGTGGAGCATGACAGGGACCAGGCCGTGGATACGCTGGGTCGTATCCTGCGTGGAGAAGTCAAACGGCTTGGAAGATCTGAACGGCTCACCCAGGATCATGACGGCATCTACATGGGCATTCTCCATAGCCTGGAAACAAAAATAACATCTTATTGGTTAGTGATAAATGGTTAAATAAAAAATCATATGTGTATGAATCTTGCAGGTGACTGGAATAAAATAAGAGCATGTGATCAAACAGAAATAGTTTGCAAATATTTCTTTACTCTGGATTTCTACACAATATCTGTGTTCATTCATTCTCTAAATATCTTAGCAATCTGTTTCATTCATTAGAAACATAGTCCTGTTTTCTGGAAAATCATAGAGAATTTGATCATTTTTATAAAATACACAAGCATGAAAGATTTGAACCACTGACATCATTTTGTTACTTTTGTATACAAATTTCCTCACGTCTTATCTAACATTAGTAAGATTAATTCATCATAGCAACTCAAAATGTAAAATATTTTCTGCATCAATTCAAAATGAGGCGAAATGGCTCAGTGGTAGAGCAGTGGTCTTGTAACTGGAAGGACCCTAGTTCAAAACCAGTCCATACGCTAATTCCCATTACCAATGATGAAGAACTCAACAAGCTTTTGGGTGGGGTGACGATCGCTCAAGGTGGTGTTCTGCCCAACATCCAAGCCATGCTGCCTCCCAAGACCTTAGGAGAGGACGTAAAGTTGTCAGTGTCCCTTGTTTATTTCTTACAAGCATACACGCTTCCTTAGTAGTTGGGTAAAATAAACTATAGAATCACCAAACTAACCTTAGATTCATATCCAGTCAAGAACTGAAGCTTTTGTAAGTTGACCAACACCTCCTCTCTATCCCCACTTGCTGCACCATGGATCACCTGATAAACAAGATAAAAAAAAACAAGAGGAATTTGATGATTAACTTGAAAACTCTTTTCACAAAAGATAAGATTAGTTTATCAACATCAGAAATACTGTTTGGCTATTTTTTACATAGAACATCCGGGCCCTGTCTTACAAAGAGTTGCGATTGATCCAAATCACAACTCCTCTTGTCAACCGCAAGTCTGCAATCTCCTATCTCTTATGTTCATAGTTGCGATTGATATGTACATACAAGAGAGGAGACTGCAAACTTGCAACTGATTGGAGGACTTGCGATTGATTTGGATCAATCGTAACTCTTTGTAAGACGGGGCCCTGATATTATTAAGGTACATTTGATGATAGAAGTAATGATCATCCTTATCAATAACCTTACCCAAAATAGTATATCTTTATCAGTTTCCTATCATTGACTGAATGAATGAAACAATTAATATACCAGTTATAAGAAAAATTCTCTTTGACAAAAAAAAAAGGTGAATGCTTTCAACTAAAGCAATTGCATGAATAAATAATGTGAGTAATACTGTTATGGAGGAATAAACTTATCAAAAACATTTGGAAAAGACTTTTTCTTCAACAAATATTGATGAAGAGAATGCCAAACAAACATAGTATTCAATATTAAGAATTTTGAAAGACGTACATACACAGAGATGCCAACTTTTGGAAATCAGAAATAGGGAGGATTTGTAATCGACACCAATTAATGTGCGCGTAGCGCACATCTCGAGCGCGTAGCGCCCGACACATGCGGCCGGGGTCCAGGGCCCGCCTTAGGGCCCTGGAAGCTCTGGGGTTCTAGATGCTCTCTGGTGCAATCTGAGCCTTATTTTGGAGCATTTTACATGTGTATTTAGTTAAATAATTCCCCCTTTTTTTTTAAATAACATAAAAATTGTACAAAATGCATGATGAATTACTTTCAGACTTCCGATTACACAGGTACTTGATACTGTATTCGGTCTTATACTTCCGAGACCATTTCCTGGTCTTATTTTGCTGATTTTCCGCCATTTGGATTCTGTGGCAATATCCACGCATTGGTTACGGCGATCCATATGCTGAAACAATCTTTCGCTACTCTTAATTTGTCTTTTAACATAGTGGAATTATTACATGCTTAAGTTAGCAGATGATATTTCTCTTTCAATTCACAGATATATATACTGATAAGCGCCCTCGAAAAAAAATCATAATAAAAAAAAAAAAAAAAAAAAAAAAAAAAAAAAAAAAAAAAAAATCTTTTTTTTTTTTTTTTTTTTTTAATAAATCGGGAGGATAAGGATGGTGATCGTAAGGTCGGGAGTTGGGGTGAATTATCGGGAGCCTCCCGATAAAATCGGGAGGGTTGGCATCTCTGCATACATACACTCACACACTTCGGAATTGTAGAACGTACCTTTATGTAAGTGTCCACAAATGACTTGTCATAGTATCTTGAAGCACCAAAGTCTAACAAAGTTATCTACAAAATAGGAAGAAAACATCACAAACAACAAAATCACACATCAGACATCTAGTACTTATAGATTAATTTCATGCAAGTCCAAATTTGATGAAATAAAAGAGAAGCAATGATTTCTGACTTTTGGAATTTTTGATGGATGTCGATTCTAAGATTCATACAAAATATAATGCTCTAGGACTAACTGTTGCCATATAATAAAGCAGAAAATGCATTAATGTATGAATACATTCTCATGTCATATTTGCTTTGCTCATGTATTTGATATTGCAGAAACTTAAAATTCAAGAATTAACACAAATCAATCATTTAACTCTTAACATTCAATCACTAAACAATATTTAACAATTCTTAAATGACATGAGAAAGGAACATATTTATTGACAATAACTGATTTTACATTTTAGATTAATAAAGATTTTCTCTATAAATGCTTTGTACCTTTCCTGTGTCTTCATTAAAGAGGAAGTTTGACCAGTTAGGATCTGTCTGCATGAATCTCCATTCAAATAGCTCGTTCAAGCACAGCCGCAAGATGTGAACACACATCTAGAGAAGAAGAAAAAATAGATAATACCATCCCTTGTCAACACTTCAGCTACTGATATACAATATAATAGCATCAATCACACTGAGTGGGTTTTAAATGGTGCTATAATCAAGTAGCTTTCAGGGGAACCACTTGTCTAGACTGTGTCAGGTTTAGGGGGATTCTAACATCATGTCACCTTTAGAAAATAGAAATATTTCCAATTCAGTCTTTTCAGTTAAGCTCAGTGAAGGGACAAAGCTGTGTTTTTTTAATAACAGAGTAATAGTAGCTCGACCCACACTGACTTTTATAATTTGCCTCAAGAATTTAACAAGAGTAAAATCTACACACAGGTCATAATTTACTTCCCACAATCCTACAAAAACGAAGTAGAGAAGTAGTTTTCTTACTACTAACAAACATGTCACTTTCAGATTCCCCCATGTCAGATCCTAATTACCCATCAAAAGATTTGTGCAGACAGTATCAACACATCCTCCATTCTGATTTAACAAACTCACACATGCCCTCTCTGGACTATTGCAGTTCTTCAACGGTGTTTGTTTTTTCTCCACTGTAGAGGGGTTGTAGTCAAGTGGTTTAAGCACTTGACTGGAAATGCAAAGGTCGTGAGTTTGACCTCCAATAGGGCACTAACATTTATAAACATTTTCCACTCTATACCCAGGCGAAAAATGGGGTTCTGGATGGATGATGAAAACATTTGTGATCGAAATTTCCCTATGCCCTCATGGTGACCATATGGTAGGAATACTCCCCAGGAAGTGGGGATGGTGCACACTGTGTACCTGAATTAATCTAATGACCGGGATGATAGTAATAACTGTCAAGTGCTTAGAGACGGTATTCTGTATTAAGCGCCATATAAATCCGGATGTATTCATTTATTTGTATAAAAGCATGTGAGACCAATGAGACAAATCATGACACCGTATAAAACGATCCTATGTACCTAAGGATGCAAACAAAGAAAACATAAGATTCATGCTACTTAGGCATTTATATTCTCACCTCATTCCTTTTCTCTTGACTCAGGTTTTCTGCTTTTTCTAAAGATACTCCATCGACTAGTTCCGTTGTGATGACCTCTTTTGTTGACAGTTCAGGTATAACCTTAGGAACTGTGAAGACTGGATCCCCTTCTACAAGGTGCCTATGTAATACATCCATTCACACAAACAGAGAAAAATGATAAACATCTCTGGATAATATAAAACTTCTAATGATTTTAAACAGTCTCATATAATTCACACAATTATGAGACTTCACAGATGGGTTTCATTTTAATGCAGTTTTTTTCTTTTTAATGGCTATAAAATCCTAACAAGAACTAAATTTTCACATATTACATATTAAGGCCGGCCATTTCAGTTTTGTCACATCAATTCTAAGAATATTTGAACACACAAAACATTTTGGAGAGGTTTTTGAGAAAAATGTTAATTCCAATAAAAAATCAAATAATTCATGGAATGATTAACTCATTATTGTGCCCTTGCATAGATTGTATCCCATGCAATATATATGTAGAACTTCCAGCAAATGGCGTACGATACAGCCACACAAGCGAAACTGCAGAAAAACACCCATGGTCAGTTGTAGACTTGGGTAAGGGCACAACCTTGCACCCCCCCCCCCCCCCCATTTGAAACCTAACTGGCACACAATAAAATAAATTGCCCCCTTGATTGTGTATAAATCAATCAGCAGTGTGCCCCCCCCCCCCAACAAAAAAAAAACAAACAAAACAAGTTTTGTTACCTGAATTTCTCAGAGCACTCAGCTTCTCTGATGTAATCTACTTCCCATCCTAGCTCTTTCTTTGCAACTTCTATTGCACTCTCAGCATACAGACCTGTGCATCAGACATGAAATTGTTTAAGTACTAGCCATTGCTAACATAAGACAATTTGATATCAACAATAAACTTGTTTACTTTATAACATCTTTTATACATTTTCTTATCTATTCTATTTACAAATCTCTCTTTAACTATCTTTCTATCTCTCTTTCATATTAAAAAACATAATTTGTCACAGGATATTACGCTTCAATTGTATTTCTCTGATTTCTCTCTCTTCACTGTTCTAAATACAGATACACATACACCACCTCAAACTACAAGCCCCCCCCCCCCCCCTCGGAAAGTGTATTCATTAGTTCCTAATGTGCAGTTGGTCAATTTTCCAAGTAACTTAATCAACATATCAAATCAGGTATCTGGATTTATTCAAAAAGTAAAGCCTGGTAATAAGATCTTACCTTCAGGTAATACATTCCACATCTTAAGGAGCATCATGAGATTGTTGATATCACTCTCAATGCCTTGCGCTACTCCAGGATACTACATTATCAAGGTGAAATAAAAAGGAGAGGTATATATATATATATATATATATATATATAAAATATATATATGAGTCTGAATCAGAATTAGATAACAAAACTTACCACACAAAAATGAATAAAGGAAAGACCTACTTCCTTTACATTTGTTATTCATTTTAAAGGAATGGTGACATCAATTTGAAAGTTTAATGACCAGAATGTGTGGGCTAGATTTAATTCTGTATAAGACCCCCCCCCCCCCCCATAATGAAAACTGTACCGTTTATTCATAATTATACATATCTATACTTCAGCAAAATTTGAATACAATACTGCATTGAATAATACATATTCATTTACCAACTACCTGCCTCTTCAACTTGAAATCCAAAATTATATATTAAAACTATCTCAGGGTTCCTCCTATCACCATTGTTTAATGCAACATAGGACGGATATATCAGTTTCTTCACAAATTTCACTTCATTCCCATCCTGATTAAGCTAGCCTAAGCTATATAAAGATCAACATAGTTGGTACTTGTGTTTACATTCTAGTAATATCTCACCTGAATTTTCATAGCAACTTCTCTCCCGTCATGCGTCGTTGCTAGATGGACTTGTCCTATCGACGCAGCAGCAAAAGGTCTATCTTCGAAGGATGCAACTTTACTTCTCCAATCATCGCCTAATTGCTGATTTAGCACTCTCTGAAATAAACAGACATTAAAATATGACTTACTCAAATTTAAAAAACAGTTTTAAGTAAGTTGTAAATTATATACCATATGTTACTGTCAAGCTTTTCAATATGAAAAAGAGATGTAATCTCTCAGCAAACCACTCATTAACTCACTCCTTTTAAGATCTCGAAGAACACTGAATACAAATTAGCTTTCCAGGAGAGTTAAAAGAAAAAAAGAAATCAGGTTTATATTTTGAGAACAAAAAGAAAGAAAAAACAGGAAAAAAGAACGAAGACACAGGTGAAGAAAATTGTGGGAAAAATTAAACATAAATCTTCAATGACGGTAAAAGATCAGAGAGAAGATAAAAGTTTTATACATTAAAAAGAAGGGAAAGAGAAAAGAAAGGGTATATACATGTAATGTACATAACATCGAGCAGAAGAGAGAGAGAGAGAGAGAGAAATTAAACAGAATGATCTTACCTCCATCTGCCATAGAGGCATGAAGTCTGCACTCTGCCTTACTCTCTCAAACACTTTTTGAAGCTCAGGACTAATGAGAGTGTTATCTGGAAAAGAAAACAAAACACCAGAGTTCTTCAGTACTATTCACGTTGTGGCCCAACATACAATGATTGTCAATGATGTGTTATTGGAACTTTGGAAGCATGTTATCATAAAAATGTTGTTTACCGGTACTTAAGGACCATTTGTCATCTGTACACCACTTGACCTGTGTGCATATTGCGTTGAAAAAATTAAGCCTCAAACTATGATTTGGGTTCAAGTTCATAAAACCATACATCAATGATACACACTGAGTTTGCTTGCCACATTTGATATCTCTAGTGATATGCCATTTGCAAATTACCAAAAGGCAAGGGCATACGGTAGATGGATTTCATATAATAACAATACTATTCAGCATTTCCCCTACATGTATTACTGTCAATTCACTGAAGAAGACTGAGTTTAATGTGCAGATGAGGAGGTATAATTAAAACATTTAATGGATTGCAGGCATACAAACAAGTTCAATAAGCCTAGAGGTCTGCTTTTTTGAGCTCTTGATTCTCTAAATAAAGGGACTTCCTTATGCATCTATGGTACAGCAAAATTGTACATACATGAAGGGACAAAAGAAAAGTGACAGAGGGAGTATATCCAGAGCCTGTAGAAACTCCATTGTGATTATAATAGCACATACCTTGAATACTAAGCATCTGACCTAGTTTAAGAGCAGCACCCCTCACCCTGCAGAGTGTATCTACTATTCTCTCAGCATTGGCTTCTGTCATGAGTATACTAGAGTCTAGTTTACCACCAGCTGTAACATTACAAATTGCAAAAAAAAAAATCATAAATAAAAATACATCACAAAAACTATATGGAAATTCAATTAATAATTGGAATTCAGTAAGTCTATTTCCAACAGTTTTCTTCCTCAAAGAATCATAATTAGGACTTCATGTGCTATAAATTACAAGGATGACAGGATATTCTCAGATGGAATGCTGCAACCCCTATAATGTTTCATAGTTTCCTCAAGACCAACAGATATTGTAAATAACAAACACAGAATTCACAGAATGTTACGTTTCCATGGTACTTATCACATCCTAAAAATATAAAAAATTAAAAAAAATTGAAACCTGACACTATTTTTCTTCATTCTCATTTGTCTTAAACAGCATCCAAGATTTTTTCCTTCCCTTTTTTCCTTTCAGAGCATTAACATCCTAATAGACAAGAACAGAACAAACAACTTACTTTCTTCTAACCCAAGACCTCTTCGTACTTTCTCTGCTAGAGCTCCAACTCCAATCCCTGCAGCTAGACCTGAAAGAAAAACAAACCAAACTTTCTTATCAACAAGTTTATAATCATTCAGACAGAAAGTTTCTGTTTAATAAGTACATTTATCATCAAGTATATACATGGTTGTAGATTGAAGGACTCTAGTAAGATTTACTTTGATAGCATCTTGTATTAGAAGTTGTAAATTTAGATAATCAGAAGATATCAAAGGAAGAACTGAACAATTTTGAGCTACAAATATCAAACCAAACGCGAATTGGCAAGATAACCAATAAAATAAACATGAAAAGAAATAATTTTCCAAATATGAAATATTTAGTCACTTTAAGTTAATTTTTCTTGTTATTAAACACATTGTATAATACTTGAAACCTCCTTTCTTCAGGGTTTCTTTATAATAGAATAGGTTAATACAGTTATTATTATTTGAAAAATGTTGAAGAATTTGCGTAATCATACACATATTACAATGATTATTTCAATGATCATCATAGACAATTATCTCACCTCCAAAGTTAAGAACCCTGCTCATCCTTGATGCTGGCACTGCTTTCTCTTTGGCCTGGGCACTCAGCTATACATGAAGACAATCAATCAAACATATGTAAAGTTTCCCATACTAAATCATGCCTTTACAATTATATTCACAATCTTTTCAATAAGGACATTATTGTTAATCTAAAATGCTTGTTACATTCATTACAGAGCATAAATAGCTACATAAAATCATGCAGTTTAATGCTGTTTATCATATTGATGACACATTTAATACTCTAACAGGAAAATTGAGAAGGTATACACATTATAATGAACCACATTTTATGAAAAAGATTTACAATATATTTCGCTAATGAGCATAACACTGATTTCATGATTATTAAACGCCCAGATATTATAAGATATTACAATCATAATATCCTGACATATTATTGAAAAGTCAAAGCCTTACAAGGGGTCAAGACATTCATTCATAAAGTGTGGATGCCAAAGTCAATCCAGAATACTTACTGTTGGTTTCACTCTTGGTCTGGCAGCCGGTTTGCGTGGCGGTACCTTGGGCCCTGAACTTTTTGTCTTCCTGATATCATCTGCTGAAACGGCTCCGGTATCGAAGTACCTCTGAAAAATATCAGTGTGTACTCTATACCTGTACCTAGCAGCAGCAGTGCCTGCTAAGGAATGGTACCCTCTAGAGGGCGCTGTTCCTGGTGGACCATTCTTGGACGTTGTACTGTGTTGGGTGGTGTCCTTGTGGGAGGGAGGTGGTGCCATATCTTCAGCAGCGAACTGAGAGGCTGACTCGGCAAAGGTATCACCCCATTCCTCAGGATCACTGGTCACAATGGAGTCCCAATCATCCTCAATCTTCACAGTCTGTCAAATGGTAGACGAGGCAAAAAATTGTTCAAATTACAAAAGTAGATGAAGATCATCAAGGTTCAATCAACAATGTTTTCTCAGAAACATTGGCAACACAGGACAGTCTCACTAATGGAAACGAAGAGGCCTTCAACAGACCTTGTGTCACTTATTTGTAATATCCTGGCTTCCTTCAAATTCCTTACTCATAGTGCAAATTATTTTGTATATGAAACATTTCATACTAAAATAAAACATCAATTAAAGAATGTTCAATACCAGTAAGTCTGATGTACTGCATTGCCGTTTCCTACGTTGCTTCAAACAATCTAGCATATCTATGGTAGATATCAATGCGGTCTAGTATATGGATCTACCATACCAGTCACTTGATATTAAGAGTCTATCAGTCATATTTCAATGGAAGCAATTTAAAAATCATTTCCTGACATCATTAATCTTACCTTGTTGGAAAAATTCATCCATGCATCACTGACCCTCTCTTCTGTCTTGGTCTGGACACCCTGGACGACTGACATAAGACTGGAGTTAGCCCACACCTGGTTGACATCCTTGCATTGACCATCAACAAAGGTCTTGACCAGAAGTCCAAATCCATTAGCAGCCTTGGTGGCATCACCAAGTCTTGATCCAGACATGATGATTCTCAACTGAGGGAGATTCCCAAAGCAATCCCTGAAATGTGATAAGAGCAATTGAAATACCATCTGTAGGCACAAGCATGCAAGTAATACTGGTATCTAGGAGATTCCTCAAACAACCCCAGAAATGTGCAAATGGGTAGATAGCAACTGTACATACAACTGTAGGTACAGGAAATATCTGTTTAATTTATCCTCTCCAAGCGCTATAGTTCTCCTTAGAACTATAAGCAAAGAAAGATAACCTACAGTCTTTTTCAAGACTATACCAAACAGTCCTTTTCAGGACTACAAACCCTCAAGAAAGATTACCGAGAGTCCTTTTCAGGACTCCTCAATCCTCCCTCTCTCTCACATGGTGCACCCGCAAGCCTACTGTATAATTTATCTTATAATCGATTTACCATTACCAGTACCTTTCATGTCCGTACCTTTCCTATTGCACTTTTGTATATATTAATCATGTATTTCATCTTCTGCACAAGCTGCGCCTTGAGCATTTGATTGTTAAGTGGATTTGATGCCATACAAATCTGATGTATTATTATTATTATTATTTAATGCTGCAGATGTGCAGGTATAATAAAAAGCTTTTGTTCTATGAATTGCAGGTATATAAATGAGTTTAATAGGTCTGGAGAAGTGGAGATGTGCATTTTGTGCTCTTGATTCTGTTTCTAAATAAATGAAATTTCTTGTGCATGTACACACTGTACTGCATGTACATGTCTATGGCAAAGTAGTAGTCTGTATATGGCAAAGTAATGGCCTACCGGTATATGGCTATTTTTCACTTTATATGACTAATCTTTCTCATAAACATGAATTTCTTGGGTTGAACTAAAAATTGATAGTTATCAATCGGACCATTATATTCATAGTAAGATGAATAGAAAAGATTCCATGGTGAAAAGAAATCAGAGATACAGGCAGGTGAAAGTCTCATTTGCATTCATTAATACTGCATACATGTGCGTAGTTTAACATGATTAAGCCTCAGCTAAGGACTCTTTCATTTTGTCCAGCAAAATTTGACATGGGCATGGCATCACCATCGACGTGAGTGTAATTGAAACAGACCTAGATCTATTGTTTGTCATAAATTTCTGAATGATTTAAGTCCAGAATAATGTAGAACCAGCAAGTTAGATAGAAGAAATCCACACAAATTTACACTAAATTAAATAGCTTAATAGCTGCAGAAAACAAATTGTGTATATTATGGTCCCCCCCCCCTTCTTACATACCACACTCTCCTACTCAATAGGTCAGTCAAACAGTTAGATCTATTAAACAAACAGTTTCTGTCAGGGTGACCAAGTCAGTAGGCCTAAGTTTAATTGAAGTTAACAAAGACAGTTTGTCTGAAATATGTACGACTCATCTCTGACTCGGGATCTACTCACTCATTGCTATACTTTGTGTGTAATTTTAAAAATAAAAAACACCCTCCATTGACTTTCAAAAGTCATATAAACACCAATCTACGAAACTCACTAGAATTCACTTTAAAATAATTGTGATAAATGATGACACTTAAACAGTAAATGGCAGCAAATTACCACCAATTCAACTCACAGAAGTTGGAAAAATACATATATAAATATTTAAATCGGAAATCTATCGTCGATCCTAGCGAAGTTCGGCAATTCCTCTTTCTATTCATTGTGTGCATTATTTAAGATCAGTAAAGTCAGGGGTAGTTTCTTCAGTTTTTAAACATGATTCTGATAGTCTGAGCTTGGAATCTTGGATTCTAGGAGGCAAAGGCAAAATGATTACCGGTATGGAGAAAAACTGTGATAACATGATTACGAACTTGTAGCTCGTGCACACTTTTTCCTTCATAATCATTTTGCCTTCGGCGTAGACTAGAAGGGATGATATCTAGACGACGTCATGCGCAGCAAGAGTTAAAATACGGCTTGCAAGATTTTCAACATAGATGTCAATTTTGACCCATAATTTCCTGAAAATGGACCATTAAACGGATTTATTCAGTCAATGGAACCGACGTATAATAGCCTAGGCTATAGGCCTAATTTAGAAAATAGAATAAATCGGATATGCACGAGGTAAAATGAATTTTATGGGAATTTGGAAGGGCATAAAAATATGGCCGTAAATGGCCATGGTGTTTGAAATAGAATGCTGATAGTCGGTTTCCGTCTCTAAAGAGAGGAGCCGACCCTACCCAAATACAGGCGCGTAGCCAGGGGGGGGGGGGTTGGTGGGGCCGGTCACCCCCAAAAAAATGCCGGCCAAAGAAAAAGAGAGAGAAAGAGAGGGAAGAAAAGGAAAAAAAGAAAAAGGACGTAGGAAGAAAAGGGGAAAAGGAGTCGAGAACGGTACAACAAATCGTCTTCTTTCTCTAATAATCTAATGAAACGTCAAGCTTCCACGCTTCACGCGGGAAGGGGGTAACTGAGTTAAAATTAAGGATTAAGGGTCGAGAACAGTACAACAAATCGTCTTCTTTCTCTAATAATTTAATAAAACATCAAAGCTTCGTGTGAGGGGGGGGGGGGAACAGAATTCAGACAAGGATTAAGAGTCGAGAAAGGTACAACAAATCATCTTCTTTCTCTAATAATTTAATGAACATCAGAGCTTCGCGCGAGAAGGGGGGGTGGACAGGTGCAACAAATCGTCTTCTTTCTCTAATAATTTAATGAAACGTCAAGCTTCCACGCTTTGCGCGGGAAGGGGGTAACCGAGTTAAAATTAAGGATTAAGAGTCGAGAACAGTACAACAAATCGTCTTCTTTCTCTAATAATTTAATAAAACGTTGTGGGGGAATAGAATGCAGACAAGGATTAAGAGTCGAGAAAGGTACAATGAATCGTCTTCTTTGTCTAATATTACGTCAAAGCTTCCGCGCTATGCGCAGGGGGTTTATTGAATTCAGACAAGGATTATGAGTCGAGAAAGTACTACAATGAATCGTCTTCTTTCAAAGCTTCCGCGCTTTGCGCAAGAGGGGGAAACTCCCACCTCCCTGCATCCACCCCCCCTAGGGAGCGCCCTTTGCGTGCTCACTGCCGCCCCTCCTAAAATAAAATCCTGGCTACGCGCTTGCCCAAATAAGACTAGACTCTAGAGCAGAGATGCCAACTTTTGGAAAACATAAATAGGGAGGATTTGTAACGGACACCAAATAATGTGCGCGTAGCGCACATCTCGAGCGCGTAGCGCCCGACCCATGCGGCCGGGGTCCAGGGCCCGCCTTAGGGCCCTGGAAGCTCTGGGGTTCTAGATGCTCTCTGGTGCAATCTGAGCCTTATTTTGCAGCATTTTACATGTGTATTTAGTTCAATAATTCCCACTTTTTTTTAAAATAACATACAAATTGTACAAAATGCATGATGAATTCCTTTCATATATATGATACAGTGTTCGGTCTTATACTTCTGATACCATTTCTTGGTCTTCTTTAGCTGATTTTCCGCCATTTGGATTCTGTGTCAATATCCACGCATTGGTTACGGCGATCCATATGCTGAAACAATCTTTCGCTACTCTTAATTTGTCTTTTAATATAGTGGATTTACTACATGCTAAAGTTAACAGACGATATTTCTCATTCAATTCACAGATATATATACTGATAAGCGCAAAAAAAAAAAAAAATCATTTTTTTAATTTTTTATAATAAATCGGGAGGATAAGGATGGTGATCGTAAGGTCGGGAGTTGGGGTGAATTATCGGGAGCCTCCCGATGAAATCGGGAGGGTTGGCATCTCTGCTAGAGGCTTAACGAAAGAGACGGAAGATTTGGTCTGGGTATCTCCACGCCGGAGTTACGGGTCAAATTTTGGATATCTAGGTTTCTGAACAAGCGCCAGACTCTCTACGTTTTATAGGCATCAACTCAGTTTACTAGTAGGATCTAGAGTTCTAGTGTGTGACTGAGCTGAGCTGAGTGCACTTACCCGGATCCGGTTCCTAACTATTCTGTATTCAGCTATTCTATGGATGAAGCCTAATAGTTAGCACGGCCGAGCGCGAGCCTCTTCCTCCTGAGCCTGAGGCTAAGTTGATGCTGGGCTGAGCAGAATTCCAAATGGTAAATTGTACACGGAAAAAAGAAAAGAGTCAATCACAAGCAGATCAGACACCGAGGTGTATTGTTGGACTGTGCTGAAACCCCTCCAGATTATGCAATCTCTCCTTTTCCAGTACAGATCTACATAGACATAAACATGAAGCGTGATGTAATCAACAGATTTTCGATTTGCGAATAATGAAAACAAATGGCTCGTGTTGGGATGTTTCATTTTACTATTAGGTAAAGTTAATGTTTTTATATGGAGGGATTCTCGTGAAAGACGATTTTAAACATAAGATTGGTCATGATTACTATTTGTAATTATCTAAGTAAATATATCATTACTTTTAGATTATACATGAAATTCATTTATCTGTTTGTTTTTCTACTTTGCCAATTAAAACACTATCTAACTTTGAAGATCAAAATCATCATCTCCTTTAATTATTGTATCAATCCAATCAAGCTTGACAGAACAAACTATATTTATCTGTGCAAGCTGGGTATACCTGATACACAATTTTACTGTGAAGAAATGAGATGTGTCTCCACAGAGTTTCGCGCCAGCTTTGATGCACGTGGTATATTCCCCGCGAAGTTCATAACAAACCTTTGATCATTCTGATCTGTTCACTGACTGATTTCCAACTTATTATTGCCAAGTTGATTGCTTCAAAATGGCAGGTTTTGATGATCCAGGAATCTTTTTCTCTGACAATTTTGGATCAGAAGATCAACATGATGATGGCAGGATAAATCGAACTGCCTTGCAACGTCGTTTCAAGGACTTTCTGCGAAAGTTTCACGATGCAAACTTTACCTACAAATACAGGTGAGACTGCCTGGGGTTGCGCTGACAAGGCGCTGTGTGCATAAAGAGGGCATTTAAATTTTAAAGAGACATCAAAGCCTATCATCTAGCTGAGCGCGCGCCATAGGCCTACACCTACATGCTTGCACTTTCTAGTCTAACTAGATCTAGTCTAGATCTAGGTCTAGTACTACGCCTAATACACCTAATGATGAATATAAAGGAGTGACTCTAGGCCTACAACAAAAAGATATTTTAAGAAATAGGTCTAACAAAGAACACAGAACAGGGTCTCTTATCTAAATTAAAAACTGTTGTGTTGCTTGCGCCATTCAGCACGGAAAATTGGCGCTAGCTAGCAGTTAGAGTCTAGACTAGTGACTTAGTGTACTTTTGTATCCATTTTTTATCCATAGATCTAGGCCTAGATGTATTGGCCGTAACTCAGGCGCATAGCAAGAGGGGGACGGTAGGGGCAGTCACCCCCCCCCCCCCCCTAAAAAACAAAAGAGACTCCGAGAGAAGAGGGGGGAAAAGAAGAGAGAGAAGAGAAGGAAAAAAAGAAAGAGAGGAGAAGAAAAAAAAAGAAAGAAGAAGAAAAAAAAAGAGAGAAAAGTAAGACAAAGTAGGTCTAGACCTAGACCTAGACCTAGAGTTCTAGATCCAGGCTAAATAAAATAGAGGAGTAGAGCCTAGACTCGAGGATGTAATCTAGGCCTAGATCTAGACCTAGATCTAGAGACTAAGAGTCTAGATCATGAGATCTAACTTTGTTAGGCCTACACTGTAGGAAGAAAGAGGAGCAGACATATATCTAGTCTAGGTCTAGAATCTAGAAACACTTTTTAAAGTTCAGACAAAGATTGAGAGTCGAGAACGGTACAACGAATTGTCTTCTCTTTCTAATAATTTAATGAAACGTCAAAGCTTTCGCGCGGGAGGGAGGAAGCTGAATCCAGACAAGGATTAAGACGAAGAGTAGGGTGTCTGATCGCGCACCCGATGTTGTGTGCTAAAATTCTTCCCATAGAGATTACACGCATCCCTATGCAGCCTACGTGCATTGCGCGACCATGCAAAAAAAGTCAATTTTTTTTTTTCAAATCGAGATTCAAACCTTTATCTGTTGTGATCCTGAAGGTGATAATCAATGAATGAGGTGTCATATGAAAGAGCAGGTGAATTCCAATATTTCCAAAGGGGCGTAGCCCCTGAAATTTTAAAAATATCTTGGTCAAAACAGCAATTTAAACATTGTGTCCTGGCTAACTCTGAGGTTTGTCACTTTTGAGATATGACGCCCCGATCGATAAGTAGTCCCAGTCCTAAGGAACAATTCTATGTGATTATATTTTCGCTAGCCCCCAGGGATCACAACTGATAACAGTTTAAAAATACCCTTCTCGCTATTTGGTGGATCAGCTAATTAGGGGGCGTGCGCTCCGCTCAGTCCAAACCATGGTTACATCGCGTAACATCTCCGCGCACGAACGAAACCCCAAATTCAATTACACATTATAGTGACTGAAATTATGGTTGGCAATTCCCTCGATAAACCCGGAAGTGAATACACGTTATAGTCAATGGCAATATCGCGGAGACATCTCTGCGATATTGCCATTGACTATAACGTGCATTCACTTCGGGTTTATTGTGCGACGAACGCCAACCATACTAGTCAATGGCACATGTCGCGGAGACAGCGTAGCTCAAGCTGCAAGTCGCGGATTGGCTTAGCAGCATGCGTACGATATGCATACGCTTGCATATCGCGCGATACAGCTGTTTGGCTAAATTTAGCAAAACAACATCACTCTGCGTGGACGTCTTTTCGTCGATTTTGACCAAAATGATATGAATATACCAGCGTTTTGGAGGGGCTGTAACTTTTGATAGAAACATCGGTGAGACTTGAAATTTGAAATGTATTATTCTGATAACATTTTTTATTCAAATATCAAACAAAAATGGTGAAAAACGATCCCAAATTGAAAATTGAAAAATCGTTCAGACACCCTACTAAGAGTCGAGAACGGTACAAGAAATCGTCATCTTTCTGTAATAATTTAATGAAACATCAAAGCATCCACGCGAGAGGTTTAAAACTGAATTTAGACAATTAGGATTAAGAGTCGAGAACGGTACAACGAATCGTCTTCTTGATCTCTAATAATTTAATGAAACGTCAAAGCTTTGTGCAGGAGGAGGGAAACTTTACCTTAACTGCAAATACTGGAAGAATGCTGAGACAGCAGTTGAGCTTCTAGGTCTATCTTCTTGGTCTATCTTCTTGTAGGTCTACTCATTCTCTTTAATAAATAATAATAATTCTCATTATATACAAGGGAGGCAGAGGGGCAAGAGAGGTTGCATCTTGACTGGAAAATGTACCATGGACAATACAATGTCCCAGGAGCAAAGAAATTAAAGAAATCAGTTCAACAAGTATTGAGAGATATGACACTATATAGCTGTTCCTTCCAGCAACGATCAAGCCTGGTTTTGAAGGCGTCTAATTCAGACAAGGATTAATAGTCAAGACAGTACATCTCTAATGGTTGACAGTTGATCTCTAATGATTAAATTAAACGTCGAAGCTTCCGCGCGCAAGGAATTTCCCCCTTTTGCACCCACCCCCCTAGGAAGCGCGCTGTGTAAGTGATTCGCGTGCTCACTACCCCCCCCCCCCCCAATAAAATCCTAGCCATGCACTGGCCGTAACTTTGGCGTGGAGATAGGCTACTGCTACTAAAACGTACCAATAATCACAATTGTTCTAATAATGGTCATGAATTAAAAGTTGTTGTTTTTTAGTACCTGTTTCGTTTTTAAGAAAAATACTCCATAAAAAGATACAAAAATTGACACGAAAGGGGCAAGAAATTTAAGGACTTTATAATTATATCATGACCATTATTTGAGTTACGGGTCAAAAATGGCAATTTGATACACTGGCCCCCAAAAACGTATCTTTAAAGTAAGACTCTAGGGTCTAAATCTATCTATATTCTAGGCCTAGCCGCCTAGGTGTATTTAGACGACCTCAGTCTCTACTCTAGACTGGTTGATAATTATGGTAAAAATATGAATGGATTCTATTGTCTTGGAATGTTACAAGTAAGATTTCTATAGATAGTATATTATTACTTAGGATTTAGGAAAAATATTTGTTATAAAGTTTAAATTCTAGACCTATATTATTTTACTTTTCCCCCTGAATTTTGTAGGGATGAGCTAAAGCGTCACTACAACCTGGGTCATTACTTCTTAGACGTCAGCCTTGATGATTTGGCTAGCTTTGATGAGGATTTGGCTGATCAGTTACAGAAACAACCAGCCGAGTACCTCCCACTGGTAAGTACAATTAAGAGTTGAAGGCAGTTCTGGAATTGTCATTATTTGCCTATCCTACTGCTAAAGGTAGAATTATAAGAGAAATTACCATATCTCCCTAGCTGTTATCTTCGGTTTTTTTCTCTATGTTTTTGATCCTTAACCATTCACTACAGCTATATCCAATCATCAGATTTGTAGCTGTTAACAAAAATTGAAAATTGAAAAAAAGTTTTATCGCAGATGATCTGCAATTCACAAGCTGCTCTTTCCTTTTTATGAACAATAAATCTCCTTTTAAAGAAAGGTATGAAAACTATTTCATTATTGTGTAAATGGACAAACTTTGATCTCTAGTTAGAGATAAGCCCAAGTTATTTTTCTTTCTTTTACTTGTTTGTTTAAATCCATACAGTTTGAGGAAGCAGCTAAGGAAACAGCTGATGAGGTGACTAGACCCCGCCCCGAGGAAGAAGAGGATGTTCAAGATATCCAGATCATGCTCAAATCTGAAGCCAATCCCATCGCAATTAGAAACTTGAAGGTGAGTGTTGTTGGTTTTGGTTCGATACTTCTTCTTTTTTTCCTATGGAGGCCTAGAGAAAAAAGACTTTTGATGGTTGACCATGCACCAGGCGCATATTATTAGCATTTTGATAATTCTTAGGGGGGGTCAAGAATGTTATACTTATTTGTTGTTTTTGTGATCAGAGAATAGGGATTGTGTGACAAGGTCAGGTCTTCTATTATGGGGGAATCCTCGTCCATTCCTCTAAAAGACAAATATGTAAATAGATAAGCCTGATTGCATTAGTCTACCTACTTGAATACAATTTTAGTAAAGATGGAGTGGATGGGACTCTCTGAGCATTGCTCTAAAAACTAGGTCATTTAAAATTGTGCAAATTAAGGAAATAGTGCAGTGTAAATAGATATTTCCTTTCAAAACTTTTCCATAATTTTTTTTACTTGATTATGCTGAAACTGTGCTTATGTCTTCATATGACATTAAATACTTTCTTTACAGTCTGAAGAAGTCTCGAAGCTGATCAAGATTCCGGGCATCGTGATTGCTGCATCGGCTATCCGTGCCAAGGCAACCCGCATTACCATCCAATGTCGCAGCTGCAGAAACTATATGCCTAACCTGACTCTCAAGCCTGGGCTAGAGGGTTACTCAATGCCTCGGAAGTGCAACACGTAAGTTCTTGGACTGAGTTTGGGGTATACTTAATAGTTATAATTTTAAAAATGATCAAGGAAATTTAGAGATACATAAACATTTGATTTATGTATTTGTGAATATGAAGAACTTTTCTTATTCTATGTGTAAGTGGTCTCTAGCCCTATTGTAGATTTCTGAACAAGTGATTTTTAACTTTAAAAAATAGCCAGAAAAATATGTAACCGTTATAAAGCTTCAAAATGAATTATTGTGATATGATATGAAGTGTATTTGTGAAGGCAGAATGTATGCGTTTCATTTTTATTGCTAATACAAATAAAAAGATATGTGTCCCAAGCATGAGGCGTAATTTGATATATGAAATCGTGTCTGTATTGAATTCATGATATAGTGACCAGGCAGGAAGACCAAAGTGCCCATTGGATCCATTCTTCATTGTGCCAGACAAGTGTAAGTGTGTCGACTTTCAGATCTTGAAACTCCAGGAAGCTCCTGAGGATGTACCAAATGGTGAGATGCCAAGACATCTACAACTCTTCTGTGACAGGTTAGTATTAAACAGTTTGAAAAAATAAATGGGAGCCCCTGTGTAATTTACCCAAAAATCTTTAAATATCTACAGTGACTGAAAATGGGGCCTCTGTAAATTGTTCCATGGAACACAGGCTTTATCAATGACCTGTGTAAATGTATAAGATTTCAGCGTGGAAACCAAACCATGAAAAGTATAAAGTCCTGTTGTGGTTTAGAAGTTGCTCTATACCAAAATTTCAATTAACTTTTCCTCCTGAAACATATTTCAGTTTTTGGCTTAATAACAAAGCCTATGTAATTATTCAGTATTGCCTTCATCTACCAGTAGTTTTTTTTTTCTTCTTTCAAAAACGCCAATGTTGAAAGGAGCTTCAGCATCAAATCTGCTCTACACTCTGCCTTGAAATATTAGATGTTGTTTCTAAAAGGAGAGGATTGGTCTGTTTTCTGATCCATTGATTTCCATGGACATGTCTCCAGATGCATTAGTTGTGATTCATTTGTTATTGTTTTTAATTGATTTTCCGTAGGTATCTGTGTGAGAAGGTTGTTCCTGGTAACAGAGTGACTATCATTGGAGTCTACTCCATCAAGAAGGCTGGACCCGTTTCCAAGGTAATTAAAATGAACACCATTTGCAATTTAAAAAAAATAAAATAAAAAAAATAAAAAAAATTATTATTAAACTCTTTTTTCCTAAATTTCATTTGGTGCTTTGCATGATTGTGCTGGAATTGTAATGAACCAGTGGAATGTTATTAGAACCCTGAATGCCTGCATGGCAGTTGGAAATGATCAGAGTAGAAGTTAAAAATTGTAGCAGACAATGCAGTCCTGTACTAGAATTTTGATATGAACGAATGTTCCATCAATGCATGTCAGAATTCAAAAAAATTATCTGTAAATTTACACCTCTGTGTTTAAGAAAGTCGATGAATAGTTACTAAAAATCGTATATGAAATTGATGATAACTTTATGTTAAATGCTGTAATTTTTTCTTCTTCAGCGCACACGTAAGACCAAGGTGACTGTAGGAATCCGCAGTCCCTACATCCGTGTTGTTGGTATTGAAGTAGACCAGGAAGGGCTCGGAAGGACTAGTACTGCCCATCATATCACTCCCCAAGAAGAGGAAGAGTTCAGGCGTCTCTCGGCCAATCCCAACATCTATGAAATCATCGCTCGAAGTATTGCGCCCTCTATCTTTGGAAGTATAGGTAAGTTTTTGCTAGAGCGATGAAGGTGATGTGGTTTGAGAAGACTGAAAAAAATTAATGATTATGGATATAAGGTTGTCAAGGATATTATGAGAAGAGTTCTTTGAAACAACAAGCATGAATATCTCCTCGCAAAATTTGTTTTGAAAGTTCTGCTATTTCTCTATAAAGGAGAAGTGTTGACAACTAAAGGCTGAACCAGCAAGGGATGATTAACATTAAAAGAAACATGTCGTCTGCAATTTGACTGGGGTTGTTTAACCTCTGGAGCATGAGGCCTCTTCTTCAGATTTTCTCATTTTCAATTTTTGATGAAAGGAAAATAAATTTTAAAATATAAACTTGATCTACTATCATGGCTTACTTTTCAGATGTGAAGAAGGCAATTTCGTGTCTGCTGTTTGGTGGATCCCGTAAACGTCTCCCCGATGGTCTGATGCGCCGTGGTGACATCAATCTCTTGATGCTAGGTGACCCTGGTACAGCTAAGAGTCAGCTGCTCAAGTTTGTGGAGAGGGTTTCTCCTATAGGGGTGAGTGGGTCTAGTATACACATTTGTTATGTCTCCGCAACGAAGTAGTCAGAGGCATTATGTTTTCTGGTTTTCCATCCGTCCGCCAGTACGTCCCGTTCTTGTGATCGCTTATCCCAAGAACCGATTGAGGGATTACCGCCAAACTTGGATCAAGTATGTATCTTGCAAAGCCAATGAACTAATTTGATTTTGGGGTCAAAGGTCACAGGGCTTGTTATGTATGCAAACATAGCTTGTGATCACATTTATCATTAGAACCTATTGACAGATTACCATCGAACTCAAGACATGTATGTATCTTGCTGAGCCAATGAACTGATTAGATTTTTGGGTCATGAGGTCAAAGATCAAAGGGTCATACATGTTTGTGAAAAATAGCTTGTAATCACGATATTCTGAGAACCTGTTGATGGATTACAATCAAACTTGAATTAAAAAAAATTGCTTCTGTTTTGGTTTGTAAAATCGCTCTATGGCGGAGACATCAACACTTTGCGAAAATACATCTAGTTTTTTAATGAAATATCAACCAAAGTGGTTATTGACATACTTGAATGTTGCCCAAGTCTTGGCTAGGTTCCTGATCTCAGTGCATATAGGCATTCAGGGAATTCCTGCCTACATATGGTGCCTTATAAACTGATATTTTCGCGTACAGATATTTTTTGCGAATGACAGGCAAAGGGACATTTTCGCGAGTCATTGCTTTTGCAAATAGCACACAGCAGAATTAATGAATAGGCAAGAAGTACTATATGCACAAACTTTATGTTTTATTTCCATGCAGGTTTACACATCAGGAAAAGGAAGCAGTGCTGCTGGTCTTACTGCATCAGTCATGAGGGATCCAGCTACAGTAAGTTACAGATGTTTAAAGATTCCTACCAAAAAAATCTAATGATTTGGATAGTAATTAAATTAATTCCTGTCATGGCAGATTTTGACAGTTTTAATGTTTGTATTTGCCCCAACCCTGAGTGAAAATTCTTTTATATGAGTTTATTTCACATAAGCTTTCAATATACAGCTTTTTCAGAACTACTGTTACAGTAAAGGATTTACTTGACCAGTTTATACCAAGGCAACATCTTGAATCAGATCTATAAAATAATCAGAACTATTGCTAAAGGAAAATCTGCCTAGGAAAAGAATTTGTTCACTGCAAAGGCCTATCAATATCCTGCTTCCTCTTTCCAACATCAGCGCAACTTTGTGATGGAAGGTGGTGCTATGGTGCTAGCTGATGGTGGTGTCGTTTGCATCGACGAGTTTGACAAGATGAGAGAAGACGATCGTGTGGCGATCCACGAGGCTATGGAACAACAGACCATCTCCATCGCCAAGGCAGGGATCACTACAACACTGAACTCAAGGTGTTCGGTTCTAGCTGCTGCCAACTCGGTGTTTGGAAGATGGGATGACACTAAAGGAGATGAGGTATATTTATATCTGTTCTTTTAACTCCTAGCATTTTAAAAGTTTTTCAGTTGTACAGATAGTATTTGATAGTGGTAATGGAATAAATTTGTTAATGGTTAAAGTTAAAGTGAAACAAATTTGTCATTGAACAGGGTATTTGAGTTGAAAATGTATTAAGTGCTGCCTCTACTCCACACACAAATATTTAAAAGTAGATCAACAATGCAATAGTTTTTCCTGTTTTATTTTCTTTCTTCATACTTTTTCTATTAATTAACATGAATAAACCCTTTCTTTTACCACAGAACATTGACTTCATGCCCACCATCCTGTCTCGTTTTGACATGATCTTCATTATCAAAGATGAACATGATGAAGCTAGGGATATGGTGAGTCTTTAATTTCTTTCATATTCCTTTTCCATGTCAGCTTGAATATCCACAAACAATGTAGTTCTGGAGTAAAACAATAACATATCTTGTTTGGAATCAATACTTATGTTATTGCTTTGATTAATTGACCAGGTTTTTTGTCACTGCACACAGCTTGCGACCTCAAGACATTTTTGAGAGTCAGACACAATCTATAGCAAGAACTTTTATGTCAGGAGGGAGATTTTCCTTGTTTATCTTTGATTATATTTTTACCTGTTTTCTTACCTTTCATGATTATCTTTTTGACCACTGATAGATGATGCTGATGAATGGAATTGTATTAACCTGTGATGTTTTATTTGCTTTCTGATAGAGACTAGCCAAGCACGTGATGGGTGTCCACATGAATGCACAGGTCTCTGCTGCAGCCCTGGCTCAGGAGGGTGAACTCAGCCTTACCTTCCTCAAGAAATACATTGGATTCATCCGCAAGTATGTATAAATAATTATAATAATATTCAGCTTTTATAGAGCGCTTAAAGAGAAGGTTGAGTTCTGGGAAGAGGTGAAAAATAATTTGTGAGCGTTATCATTGTTATTATGCAAGGGTGGAAGAACATCAGATAAAACATTTTCCTGAAAAGCATGGCTCTTCAAACGCCTTCATATGCTAAATATGGCATGTCACATCGTAAAAATCGGGACTGATTTATACGCCACATGTTTGTGTAGTCCAATATACATCCTTCTGTGTACAGTGCTTGTAACTTTACCAAGACTTGGCCAAATTTCTTATCATTTTGATGATTTCAGAACCTTGCAATACACACAAATACTTATATGCTAGATGATCAACTTTTTCTGATCAATTTCACACCTTTTCTTTCACAATGCATGACCAGAACTCAACTTTATCTTTAATACATCTCGGATTTCTTTAAGCGCTTTTTATGCCTCCGTTACGAAGTAGCCGGAGGCATTATGTTTTCGGGTTGTCCGTCCGTCCGTCTGTACGTACGTCTGTACGTACGTCTGTACGTACGTACGTCTGTACGTACGTACGTACGTCCCGTTCTCGTGATCGCGTTATCTGAAGAACCGATTGATGGATTATTGCCAAACTTTGGTCATGTATGTATCTTGCAGAGCCGATGAACTGATTAGTTTTTGGGGTTACGAGGTCAAAGGTCAAAGGTCACAGGGTTCATTATGTATGCAAAAACAGCTCGTGATCGCGTTATCTGAAGAACCGATTGATGGATTCCTGCCAAACTTTGGTCATGTATGTATCTTGCAAAGTCAAAGAACTGATTAGATTTGGGGGTCATGAGGTTAAAGGTCAAAGGTCACAGGGCTCATTATGTATGCAAAAACAGCTCGTGATCGCATTATCTCAAGAACCGATTGATGGATTGCTGCCAAACTTAGGTCATGTATGTTACTTGCAGAACCGATGAAGTGATTAGATTTTGGGGTCACAAGGTCAAAGGTCAAAGGCCACAACGCACATTATGTATGCAAAAACAGCTCGTGATCGCGTTTTCAAGAACCGATTGATGGATTCCTGCCAAAATTAGGTCATGTATGTTACTTGCATAGCCAATGAACTGATTAGATTTTGGGGTCATGAGGTTAAGGTCAAAGGTCATGCGGCTCATGTATGCAAAAATAGCTTGTGATCGCATTATCATTAGAACAGATTGATGGATTCCTGCCAAACATAGATCATGTATGTATCTTGCAGAGCCAATGAACTGAGTAGATTCTTGGGTCATGAGGTCAAAGGTCATGGGCACATTATGTATGCAAAAATAGCTTGTGAACACATTCTCATTAGAACTGACAGATGGATTACTATTTAACTCAGGACATCTTGCAGAGCCAATGAACTGAGTAGATTTTAGGGTCATGAGGTCAAAGATCAAAGGGTCATATATGTATATGAGAAATTGCTTGTAATCACGATATTCTGAGAACCTGTTAATGGATTACAATTGAACTTGAATTCGAAAAATGTCTTCTGTTTTGGTTTGTAAAATTGCTCTATGACGGAGGCATCATTTTCGACTGCGCGCAGTCGAATTCCATCTAGTTTACAGATATACTATGTTAATATATGGTTTTGTGTAGGCATGCTAATCAGCCATCAATTTGCACAAACTCAGCAGTTATCTCACCCAAAATTTGACAACCATGCCAATAGACATTTTATCAAGTCACTCTTTGTGGTAATGAGTTCAAAAAGGGATGGGGCATAATGTAGGGGGGGGGGGGTGAGTTCCGGGTTGACTACCCCCGGCCATTGATGAGAAAATCACAGCTTCCCTCCAAAATAAAGTATGAATGCCATCCTCCGGTTTGTCTTATTTTCTCTATTATGATAAGCCAAGACCATTTTTTTGTTGAAGTAAATTTACTATTCAGAGCACTTTGTATCCAGTGTAAAAGAAGCTATGTAATTTGCGAGTATATGCAGCCCAGCACAGGGTTGCTTTCAAAAGAAATAAATGAATGTAAAATATTTAATATAATCAAAGATGAACAGTACATGAACACATTTTGACTGATTACATTAACACACATCTTTTCGTTTTGTAGCAAATGTGGACCTCGTATCTCTGATGCTGCCGCGGACAAACTGAAGAATCGTTACGTTCTGATGAGAAGTGGAGCTAGGGATCATGAGATGCAGACTGATAAAAAGACTAGCATCCCAATCACTGTCAGGTAATGAGAAAGATTGTTGTGATATGATTTGTTACTCTTGGCAATATTTTTTCTAAAATTTGATGATCAGTTGAATTCTGCAAACAACTCATTTTGTCTGCGTGCATTGACAATCAATTAAGTGGAGACATAACCTAGCTGTTTTTTTTTCTTTATTCCAAAACTTTACTGAAAACTGTCGTTCTAGTTTTCATTATTGAATTTAATTGCATGGGTATGATATTTGATTTGTTAATGGGTCAATATATATCACATACGCTAGAAAATGTAGTACTACAAATACAGAAACTGTCCCATTATTCAGTGAACAAGAGATTCCAAATTATTGGTAGTTTTTTCTTGTCTTGTCATGAATGTGCAATGAATGAAATATGGAAGATGAGAGAAAATATACAAGCCTTTTCATGAATACTAACGAAATGCAATAACTATATAAATATCTTTCCTGCTGTTTTGGTTGTTAGGCAACTGGAGGCCATCATCCGTATCGCTGAGTCCCTGGCTAAGATGAGGCTAAAACCTTTTGCTAGTGAGGAGGATGTAGACGAGGCTCTAAGACTCTTCCAGGTTTCTACTTTGGATGCTGCCAGGACAGGAAACTTGTCAGGTAACCACATTTCACCTTGCAATTATCCAATTTTGGGGTTCTGTAGTTGAGTTTACTTTTTTTGTATTTTTCAGTCATTGGTGTGAAGGTCAACAAAAGTGCTATCTTGTGTCAAGTTTTCAGACGTTCCCAACATTTCCTTTGGCAACATTTGTTCCTGGCTTTACTCTGTCAGAGATTGGGGATTAGGATTGGGGCTTTGATTTAGATTCAGTTTAGGCTAGGTGTATGGTTACGGATAAGGTTAGGTGAGATGTTGGGTCTAGAGATGGATTTAAGAATCATTAGTGATGGAAATTAACCTCAGAGCATTTGTCGCAGGAGCATGTGTCACACAATCATCCTTAATCCAGAAAACCTTGTGATTTCTTTACTATTTGCACACCTCTGCTTTAAGACTATTGCCCATTTCTGATTTGATTCCAATTCAAGAATTGATCCTTTCCTGACATAACATAACAAGTAACATTTCACTTATTATTGTTCAGGTGTGGAAGGCTTTGCAACCCAAGAGGATCAGGAGGAGTTGAATCGTATTGAGAAGCAGCTCAAGAGAAGGTTTGCCATTGGCTCTCAGGTCTCGGAACACTGTATCATGCAGGACTTCCTCAGACAGGTAAATGCAGGCTTCCTGATAATTACCCGATTTAAATCGGTTTCCTGATTTGTTTTTTTCCTGATTTTACCCCTATTTTCCTGATTTTTCCTAATTTTACCCCAATTTTCTTACTCAAAAGGCGGGGGGGGGGGGGGGGGGGGGGGGGGGGGGGGGGGGGGGGGGGGGGGGGGGGGGGGGGGGGGGGGGGGGGGGGGGGGGGGGGGGGGGGGGGGGGGGGGGGGTGGGGGGGGGGGGGGGGGTGAATGCTTTTCTTCCAAATCCTTTTTTTTATACTCGCTATCACCCCTGTAAATGATCTATTTCATCAAAGTTCCTTCTTGTAGAATGTTTCAATTGATGATATCATGTTTACTTGTCATCAGAATCTACTTTGTTCATAATCAGACTGTATGAGGAGAATCATAATCCTGAACAGGCATTACTACATGGTGTAATATATACTTGACTTCATAAACTTCTTTGTGATAAAATATGAAGGAATATTGATCTCATAGAATACATTGTCGTCAAAAGAGCAAGATGAAGCAGACATAAATTCACTTCCATGAATGTTAGCTTCCAGCAGTAAAAGGATTAACTGATGTCATTCAACCACTGATCAATGTTGATGTCTGAGATCACCATATTATCTAGCTCTGTGTACAACATATGATTAGAGCCTTTTTAGGACACTAATTGTCACTTAAAGGTATTACAAAGTTTTGGTAAATTTGAAAATTGGCTGGATAGTGATTCTTTACCATTTCGATATATTTGGATGCCCCTAAAAAATTTCACCTAACAAGATTTATTCACAATAAAAACTTACAAATTTGATGTGAAATACTTTATAAGGAAAAAATGTTTACTTCCAGTGTGGAATAATTAATCATCTAATGCCCCACTGACTTCCTCATAATTCCATGCAGGATATACACCTGTCTAACACCTGTTTAACACCTGTCTAACTACCATCTTCAATTGTTTTCCGTTTCACAGAAATACCCCGAACGCTCCATCCACAAGGTGGTCCAACTGATGATGAGACTGGTGAGTGCCAGTATCGCATGCAACGCAAGATGCTCTACCGCATCAAGTAAATACCACGACCTCCAAGCCAACAACCCTACGTCTCTACACCTAAAACTAACACTTGGTCCTTGGGGTCAACCTGTATCTGAAAGTAATGGTCGTATATTGTTTACTTTTGATATAACCAGTGTACACAGTCCAGGGTATCTTGCATAAAATTCAAGTGCGATCGATCAAACGGGAATATCATACGCAACCGCGCATTGCATAAAGAGAGTTGCGTTTGGTCATATCTATCGTAAAGTCGCGTTTGATCTGAAAAGTTGCACTTGAAATCAATGCAATTCTTTATGCAATAGAATTGCAATCAAACACAAAGTTCTGTTTGCATTTTAGGAATTGCGTTTGATTTTCAGAGTTGCGTTTAAACGCAACTCTTTATGCAAGACGACCCAGGAAGTCACCTTCTGTACACAAAAAGTGGACCTTGCTTAACGATCCTGAAACTGATGACAACAGTGATGAAGAACCTTATACGTAGGTTTTACAAGTGTTATCTGGTATTTACTTGACTGACTGACTGAACAAAATCTGTTATTTCACCAAGTTATTCATGTTTATTAATTGAGATAGATTTGTTATATTGCTATTGTGTCACTGACCATACTATTCATTATTCAATGTTGTGTAAATGCCTGTAGCATAGTGTTTATATTTATGAAGAGATTATAAGATAAGTCTTCTTTACATGGATAATTTTTGTAAACAAATAAAATAAATAAACCAGTGAATAAATGCAATTGCTATGTCTCGAGACACAGACTAATTTAACCAAGACATATATTTTTTAGGCAAGTCAAAGTAAGTTTCACAACAATCATGTCGTACAGAGTCTGGAGTTTTGTTACAAAGGGATAAATGCAACTTAAGTTCAGACCACTATGAATATTAGGCTACAGGCTGTAGAGTTCAGACCCTTTGCAATTAATTACAACCATAAGGGGTCTGTGCTCTCAAACTAGCAATTGCCTTTCCATTCATATATTTGGCCAGCAGTGTGTTAACGATATTATTCCAAAGTATATATGACATGGGAGGGTTATGCTTCAACAGGAAATCCTTGCTAATTTGATTTGAAATCTTGAAAAAGCATCAATCATAGCTTATATTTCATTTCATTCAAATTTATGTTTTGGTGTAAAACACAAATTTGTTCATGCATAATCCTTGTGTTTTGCAAAAGCTTATATTATAGGAATGAATGTTCTTTTGTTGATTTTTTGCCTGTTGAAAGCTAGAAGTAGTTGATATTCTTCTGGCTCTTGTCGGAAAAAAATCTGTTTTTATATAAGGAATAAATAGTCTTAAAGTCTACTTTGTGTGTAGCATTTGTGAAGTCACCATTGATATTACTAAGCACATCACTAAAAATACCTTGTAAGTTTGTAAATAAAGTCAACTGTACCTAACTTGTTCCATACATGTCTGATTGATTTATGTGCTTGCTAGATCTTTTTGCTCAGTCATAATGATCATGTATGCTTAATAACTGTATTTGCACCATCCATCTGAGGAGCATGGTAGCTTGCCTTTATTGAGTAGAGAGAGATCGAAAGAGAGAGAAGGGGGTGGAGTAGAGGCTGTATGCATTGTATTTTGAGTATGTCTTCCCCTCAAAAAACTGACTAGGGGTTATATGCCTGCATTACACACTGTTTTTATATTTTTTTTCTTCAAATTACCATATAAAAAGCATAAAAAAGAGTTAATTCAGGCACTTTTTAAAGATGCTGGAGTAGGAAAAACAAGAGTTGTAAGTGAAGGAGAAGAGGCCAGAATTTAAATGCAAGAAAGGGAAAGAGAAAAAAGAAGAAAAGTTTAGCGTCCCCACCCGCTGCCTTTTTGAGGCCGTCTGCTTTCTTTTTTTTCCCCTTTTTTTCTTCAATAAAAATAAATAAATAACTGCTTAAACTATTTTCTTTTTCGGAAAAAATTATATAAAATATAAAAGCTGGAGGCCATCTTGACGTCTTGGATATTGTGCCGAGCGGCCATTTGAAGAAAAAAAAGGGCCGGGACGCTTTACTTGTTTTTTTATTTGGGGGGGGGGGGGAGGGGAGGGGCCTAACGAAACGGTGTTCAGCTTCCAAAAATGTGTCTGAAGAGCAAAATCAACCAAGAGAAGGAGAGAGAGAGAAAGTAAAAGAGCGAGAGTGTGAGGGGAGTCGGAGAGAGGAGAGAGACCGTGTGATTTATGATCAGAAAGCGACACACGTGTGACGTGGAGGTAAAGCAAATAGTGAGTCGGTTTTTGAAGAGAGGAACAACATTTGCAAAATTGTGCATTTGTATTGATAAGCACGAAAGGAAAGGAATTAGTGATCAAATATAGACCTACGGTGTGAGTACACATTGAAAATAAAAAATATGATGAAATTGTTATAGAAATGAGCCATCACAGACCTCACTTACAATATAAAATGTAATACTTTGTGCACTGTTAGGCTAAGAATGAGGGAGTATAGATGCCCACATACAAATCCTATTTAGAATCTTGAATTATGGTTTTATTACTATTAGCTCTTCTTCTTCTTTTTTTCTTTCTTTTTTGTAAATCTCCTTGTAATCTTCAGTATTTCGGTGTTTGAATTGGACTATGTAGTTTTATTACTCTCCTCTAAACTATATATTTAGTCGGTGACACTTTGTTTGAGCTGGAAATTTAAGGTGCAGAGCAAACAAATGAAAGTCGTATTGTACGCGCTGGTGATTGTTTGTAAGTCGAGATACATTTATTTCATTTATTTGATTCTTTTAGAGAAGCCACTGTTTATTTTGTAGATGTTTTTTTTAACTTTTTAAAACAACAATCGTGTTTGTCGGAACAATCCGATTCGCCCAATATGATAAACTTGTCCATCAATAGAACACTCAAAGAAACACATTCACAACGCACACACCCGCTTCCTTCTCGACAACTCAATACTTTAGCCATAAAATGGGATTTAACGAATTATCTCCACCCCACATGAATACATGTATAATGAAAAACTATATATTAACCTGATGCGTTACTCGGTTAGAATATCATAAGGATCGAGGCCTCGCAAATTCAAAGATATGAGAATATGTGAAGTGCAAGATTATTCGACGGAAGACTCGATCACTTGGATAGATGATGATGATGATGATTCACAGCATTTGTATGGCGCCATATATCTGTTTAAAAAACATTCAAAGGCGCAAGCTCCTCCAATAAAGTTAGCATTTAAAATAATGTTTGAAGGAAGATGTGAGTTTTGAGTGAAGCTTTAAAGTGGTCAAGGTTGTCAATTTCGCGAATAGATGATGGGAGGGAATTCCACAGGCGAGGAGCAATAGAGGATAATGCTCGGTCTCCATATCCTTGAGATGAGTAAATATGGGCATCTGGAGAGTAAGGCCAGATGAGCGAAGTCCAGGGCGAAGATAAATAAATAAGAGTATAGGCCTTTTAATAACTATGTATCCTAATAATATTTGCTAATTATGCGTGCAGTATATTATGTGAAAAATACATGAGTCATCATGTATTTTAAACATAATATACCGCATGATGATAATGATGATTCACAGCATTTGTATGGCGCCATAATTTGTTTAAAAAAACATTCAAAGGCGCAAGCTCCTCCAATAAAGTTAGCATTTAAATTTCTGAAGGAAGATGTGAGAAGTGAAGCTTTGAAGTGGTCAAGGTGTCAATTTCGCGAATAGATGATGGGAGGGAATTCCACAGGCGAGGAGCAATAGAGGGAAATGCTCGGTCTCCTAATAATTATTTGCTAATTATGCGTGCGGTATATGTTAAAAATATGCAATCTACCTTTTCCAGCGCGTTGACCGGACTGTGGAATCTGGAAATAAAGATACACTGTTGTATTGCCCATAAAGTTGGAATAAACTCTTTTACTTCTTTTCGTAAAATAGTTCTGTCAATATAATTCATTGTTATGATAGATACGTTTTTATCTTCTCAGAACCATATATGATATCAATCTCTAGGAAAAAAATCATATTCTCATAATCATTTTCATGAAAGAGATGAGAAATTGTGTGCCAAATTTATGGCCACAACGGTGTAAATTAACTGTATATGAGAATACGTATTGTGATATTGTAATTAAAGTTAATTTTATTATAAATTCATACTTATACACATGTACCTCCGCGGGCCTACTGAGTTAGCATCCATTAAACCCCTTTCGACGGGCGGTGAACGATTATGCACCCCGAATGGTAAATTAATAGTATTACCATTATGAATATGACATTGTTACGTTTCCTTGATATTGTGCAATAATCGTCTTTATATTTTACTATTTGCTCACCGGAATGGACTATGCACTCTCTGGACCTCACACGTATTTAGCATTTAGCTCTTTATGCCTCCTGCATGTGTGCATGAAGTTGTATGGTTGGCTTGACTCTGTGTCATTAGGTGTACCGATTGACACGGTATAAGCGGTATACGTTGTTCATGGTGTACATGCCTATAAACTCCAACGGAGGACGGACATGCTTGAAATACATGAGCATTGAGACAGACTCTAGAAATGAACTTGGGTATATCAAGTTTCATCGTGCTTTACATTTAGCTTCTGTGTGCCTTGCCAAACAGACACCGATCGTACCCGATACATTGACTGTACATAAAATATCAGATCGGTAAGTATTATACATGCATGTGTATATAAGCAGGGGTGTTTTAAACTCTCATGTCCCTGGTATAAGTATTATATCTACCTCCTTCACGTGCAATATTATATATGTACTTCACTTCTAGATGCCTTTCATAGGGAAGGTTGCACACGATTGTGCAAGACATGCGAGGAAAAGACAGAGAGACAGACAGACAGGGATACAGAGAGTGAGAGAAAAGAGAGAGAGAGGGAGGGGGAATATAATTATCTGAGCGTTATATACTCCATTATATCCGATTGATGGTTAACTCTATACTGCTTCGTAACATTTCCATCTTTGCTTGCTTAACCAGTGCCATGGATATGACTGAAAACATTTCCTTCTTGCAAGGAGATAAATCATTACTGGGCCTATATAATTATATAAACTTGAATGCCCGTAATCTACTAGAATTTAAGTCGACACTGCACGGCAGTGGCGGATCCAGGGGTGGGCCGAAATCGTGCCCCTTTTCCTTTCTAATAAGGGACCTATCCCTTTTCATAAATGCCCCTTTTCACCTCTGATAAATCAATTTCTGATGGATGCGCCCTTTTCCGTCGACAATTGCCCATTTCCCATACCCATACTCATAAGTGCCCTATCACATTTCTGGTTAGTGCCTCCTTTCAGGTGTTAGAGGTGCCCCGTTTTGAACCTTTGATAATTACTCTTTGTACCTTGACACATGCTCCTTTTCTTTTCTAATAAGTGTCTTTATCCCTTTCGATAAGTGTCCCCCTTAACCTCTCATCATCAGCACGTAGCCACGGGGGGGGGGGGGGCACGTTCCCCTAACCTGCTCATCATTAGTCTTGCACCTAATTTAAAGTGACTAAGAGTAATTTCCCCTAAAGCTCGCTCGCTCGCTAGCATTTATAGATGATACAATTATTATGTCACTTAAAACAAAGGATTTTTCAGTCTTCCGTGATGCTTATAACCCCATCATGATTTCTTTTTTCCTCTTTAAAGATGTAATTTTTCACTCTGCGACCTCACAGATCTTACATTTTTTCTCGCTCGCTAATGAATATTCAGACAATCACACCCAGCCGAAAGTGTGATGCTTAAGCAATATCTTGTATAATATATAAAGAAAAACAAATATTGAAATCGTCCCTGATAATGGAATCACAATGAAAGGGTATATACCAATGTCTAAAAAAATGTATATTTTCGCTTTGAGATTTCAGTTTGTAGGTGCCCTTTTTGTTGGTGCTTTCCACTTTGGAAATAGCTCCGCCGCCCCTGCTTACGCATTAGCGCCAGCGTTAATTTCGCGCTTGCGCGCACAGGGGGTGTCTGTGTGTGTGTGTGTGTGTGTATGGGGGGGGGGGTTCCTCTCTAGCTCTGAAGCTGAATTTTTTTAAAATGGATTCGTGCGATTCGTTTAATACTTTTAGAGGGAGTCTGAGGGGTGATGTACGTGCCCCCCTCTGAAGCTGACATTTTTGGATTTTTGAAACTGGATTCGTGCGTTTTGGTAATAATTTTTTGGGGAGTCTGATTTGATTTCAAAACACCTGCAGTTAATTTAAAAATTACCAATATGCATTATTTTGTTATATCTTATCTCGTATATTTTGGTGACAATTAACACGTTCACAACATACATAAACTCAAATTCCCGCTCACTCGCTTCGCTCGCTCGCCAAATTATTAAACCAGGAAATAGATATTGGGGCAAGAGGCTTCAGCCCCCACTGATGGAAATGTCAAAAAAATTGCGCGCGAGCATAACTTGAAAACAGGGAATGTTGATATCGGACAAGAGATGTGACGTGAGCATGTAACCTTTCCAAAATAATTGTGCCCTTTGTAGGTACCAAGTACACTATTAAAGTACAGTGCTTCTAATATGACCTTGTCAGTATTGGTAAGTTTAAATAACGGTCTGCGCGAATTTCGAATTCCCCCCCCCCCCCCCCTTCCCCCCCCCCCCCCCCCCCCACCTATTGGAAATCCTGGATCCGCGCCTGCACGGGTTCAGGTTTTTTGAAAGGAAGTAGCCGAGGTCTAAGATTTCCTTTCGTTAACGCAGGGCTCAAATTAATCTTTTATTACTGACGGGGGCTCTTTTTTTTATACAAATATCCATTGAATTGGTACCTATGATACTCCTCAATTATTTGCTATTTCATCATTATCATTTCAATCAGCATTTTCCCTCTTACAAATTTACAAGCTACATAGCTGTTACTGGCCTGTATAATATATACGCATACAACACTGATCTTTATGATGTCTTTAACGTGACATATCTTCTTCTCCCCTTGCAAACGAAAAAGAAACATGGTCATTAAAAGGGATTAAGCGACAAATAATTATTGTGATTCAAATTGATGCGAATAAGCACTGCTATTCACCCGAATCTTCTTTGTAAAAACAACTTTTTTTTTACAAATCTCAGCCATGCTTACTGAGTTGAGATGTTCCATTCAATGTAAAATACTCATTAAAGAATAGGCTACACTTCTCCTAATCTGAAAGTGATCTTACAACACAGTGGCAGAATTGCATGGCTGAGATTTGTAAAGTCGTTTTTACAAAGAAGATTCTGGTGAAAAGCATTGCTTATTCAAAAAAATCCTTGCATCAATTTGAATCACAATGATTATTTGTCGCATGGTCCTTTTATTAAATAACCTTGTTTCTGTTTTGTTTGCTGAGGGAGAAGAAGCTATGTCACGTTAAAATCATAAAGATCAGTTGTATTATACGTATATGATACCAGAACAAATGTTGATTATCAGAATTTCATTTTGGAATACCTCTATACAAATACCACATTGTCTTTAGCCCGTATCAGTATTAGTATGATCCAATAAAAGCTATTATTCTTTATTTAATTCAGTATAATGCTTTTCTGCAAAAATAGTTTGAAGGAGATCTGCCCATGCTACCATATCATTCCACGACATTTTGGTCTTCCTCTTCTCCTCAAAAAGGACTTTTAGATTTGCGTGGACGTGGACGTGTTACGTCCTTTTAAGGCACTGGCAATCACATGTGACGTCCTTTTAAGCACTGGCAGTGCCTTAAAAGGAGGTCACACGTTGCAGTCCACGTTCTCATCGTTCAAATCTAAAAGTCCCTAATATTGATTTACTGTCGAGGTCCATTATTTGCTGACAAGGTTTGAAAATTGAAACTCAATATTGTGTTAAAGTTATAACAGAAAAGATTATCTTTATTTCATAATTCCACCGGGGCGATTTTTAATTTTGCAATCGCCCTCGTGAGCAACCTGACGGGGGCGATTTTGTAGCTCACGGGGGCGAATCGCCCACCGGTTAAACATCATTGTAGAACCAATGTCAGGCTTAACTGAATTAGTAGAGTACGTTCGGACCTTAGACAATATTACCCGTGTAATCTTTTGGAGCAATCCGCCAAAGAAAAGGGATCGAGGCGTTTCTATCTGTTGATCAAATCACATCTTAAAGTTAAAACTAGAAATGATATTTTAATGCAAAATCATGCGCTTAAATTTGACTCAGACAGGATTAAAATTTAATCAGGGTAGGTGAGGGGTAGCCCCCCCCCCTTCGCCCCTCCCCTCCTCCTCCCCCCTCCCCCTTTGAGCCCATCCTACGTACGCCCTCATCCGAATTGAGCCTTGTATAGCCTGGTATTTCAACATTAACAAAGCGACGCCTAGAATAATAGACCTGTTTAAACATATTCAAATTGTATATATGCATATTTTTTTAAAACAAAGGTCGTTCTTGACAACCTGAAGCTTGCCTGAAACTTTCCCGACATAGCAACACGTTATGTATGCAGACTGGATTCCAAGTACATTGTATTGTAGTGCGTTCATTAATAACAGGTTAATGGAATAACTAGTCACTATAGGTCCCCAGGAAAGAAACATCATGAATTTGAAATGATAGTAAACTAAACCGCTCTATTGAAAATCCCAAGGTAGTTTTGGTGTCAGCACTTAAATTGCATTCTGAATGATCGATTCTCTTTCAGATCAAGTGGCGGCTTTACATACTCCTGGCAAGCCTTGAAACATGTTTTCTTTTCTTTTTCATTCTTAACAGCATCTGAAGATTCTAACTTTCATTTGCTATAAGCAAAGAATAAAAGATGTCCGGAGTCGTTTTGCGGGTCATCCTCTTTGTTTTCATGTGTGGTCTGGCCATGCAATGGCCCATCACTCAGCATCTAATCTTTGAGATGGCTTGCCATCGTCTTGGCTATTCAGATGACGTCTGTTCTGATCTCGGCAATCATACGGACGCCGAGCACGCCGTACAGGCTCAGGCCTCTACCATCATGACATATCAGTCCTTCTTTTGTGATATTCCTGGAGCGGTGGCGTCGCTCATTCTTGGAGCGCAAAGCGACAAGGTTGGACGTAAGCGGATCATGCTTCTACCAATCATGGGCACGACCCTACTCGCTGTGATCCTGCTAACAGGTTCATTGCTGCATACAACGTCCTTGGTCGCCATAATGGCCAGCTCGTTCGCATTGGGCGTCAGCGGTGGGATAGGGACCTTCATGAGCACGGTGACCAACTACATCACAGACACCACTCCTGAAGATCAAAGGACTGAGGCACTCAGTAAGACTCTACCCTTCATGGGGTTAGGGGTCATTGTCGGACTTGTCTCCTCTGGTATTCTAACCCAACAGCTTGGGGTAGCAGCTGCCTACTTCATCGATTTCCTCCTGATGCTGGTAGTGCTCTATCTTGTCGTCTTCCACCTCGAAGAGTCAAAGCCGAACGTTGACAAGTCTAAGGATGCCCCATCCCAGTCCGAAGATCAGTCACAAGGGGTCTTTGCGACCATCTGGGATAACTTAACGGCGGGTGTCAAAGTGTTTACATCGGAGAAAGATAATTTCGTCAAGCTCCAGTTGGCAGTAATCGTTCTACATGGCATGATTGGTTTCGCAATTATGGTTGGTAAGTTCGTTTTCCTGCTTTATTTCAATGTCCATAATATGCCATGTCCATCATCACACCATGTACCCTACCACTAAATCAAAATGATTACGTCACATCGTTCTTCTCTAAGACGGTTTAAAGGAATGCATGACCATAACGTTCTTTTTATGATGAACATTATGTAAACTTAACGGCCGTCAAGAGGACAAAGGAGAAACTTAACTTTTGACATGATGACTTAATTAAAAACGAAATAAGAACAGGGACACGGAACTTTGTCATCAAAATAGTACCATGCTTACCGTGACAAGAAAAGTTTTCGCTTTAACATCCTATCAAATTACACTGCATACTCTCATGGTTTTATTTTCGATACAGCCGAGGGTAATTTGCTGATGCTGTACACCAAGAAGTCCCCATTCACCTGGTCTCCTTCGATGTACTCCATCTTCACCGCAACTAAGAATGCTCTAGGTATCGTAGGTCAGGCGGTAGGAACCATGGTGTTCTTTAAAGTGATGGGCGCCAAATCTATCAGGAATGATTTCATCTTGCTGCAGATGGCATCGATGGCTGGGGTCGCCATAAATCTCATCACGGCATCGGCAACGTCAACCAGCATGTTAATGATGAGTAAGTGTTGTGATCAGGATTCAGGAGAGAGATATATAAATGGTTGTTAGTGCCTAAGAACCCCTGATATAGATATGCATTTGATGGTCCGCATCGTTGTTCGATTCTTTTATCGGCACGAATGCCGGAAAATCTATCATAAGCGTATTGCTCGTCACCTTTCGGCTTTAACTTTTTAAATTCGTGAAAAGGTAACGTTTACAAAAGTTCACCTCGGATGCAAGAAAACTTCGACTGGTACCAAGCGCGTAGCTAGGATTTTATTTTAGGGGGCGGTAGTGAACACACGAAGCGTGCAAAACACTTAAAGAGGGGGGTGGGTGCAGGGAAGCTTTGAAAGAAGACGATTCGTTGTACCTTACTCGACTCTTAATCCTTGTCTGAATTCAGTCCCAATCCCTCCCCTTCCTGCGCGAAGGGAGGAAGCTTTGACGTTTCATTAATTTATTAGAGAAAGAAGACGACTTGTTGTACCGTTCTAGACTCTTAATTATTCCTTGTATGAATATTATGTCCCCCCCCCCCCTCTCGCGCGAAGCGTTGACGTTTCATTAAATTATTAGAGAAAGAAGACGATTCGTTGTACTTTTCTCGACTCTTAATCCTTGTCTGAATTCAGTCCCCCCCCCCTCCCCTCCTGCGCCGCTGCGCGAAGCGCGGGAGCTTTGACGTATTATTAAATTATTAGAGAAAGAAGTCGATTCGTTGTACCGTTCTCGACTCGTAATCCTTAACTTGAACTCAGTTTCCCCCTTCCCTCGCAAAGCGCGGAAGCTTTGACGTTTCATTAAATTATTAGAAAAGAAGACGATTCTAGACTCCTTTTCCCCTTTTCTTCCTACGTCCTCTTACTTTTCTTCTCTTTCTCTTTTTTTTTTTTTTTTAGCCGGCGTTTTCTTTTTTTTAGCCGGCGTTTTTTTTTCTTCTTCTTTCTTTTAGGGGGGGGGGGGTGACTGCCCCCACCGCCCCCTCGCTACGCGCCTGACTGGTACAATAAACATATCAACAACATCATGATCATGATCATCAACATCTTCATCGTATAACGTTCGCTATACCTTTCCTTTTCCTCAATGGCATTTAACCTTATTATATTATATTTTTCTACGACAGCTTCAGCTTTCGTTATGTTTGCCACACCTGGGCAATCGGCAAGTGGTTCAATAACATCGAAACTCGTCAGCCCGGCACATAAAGGTAACTTAAAGTTTACATTAAATCTGATATTGCAGTAAGAGAGACAAAATATGCAGAATGGGGGTGGGAGAGAGAAAAAGAGAAAAAGAGAGAGAGAGAGAGAGAGAGAGAGAGAGAAAGGGATTGTGAATGTGAGAAAGTTATAATGTGAGAAGAGTCGGAGGTATATGCCGACTGTGAAAGTGGCGATGCATGGACGGAAATCATTCTTAAATTGTGGTGAGAGCTAGGAAGCGAAGATATTGTGAAGTAAAATGGTTCATGAAAGGAAAATCTTGAATTTTATCCTTGAGCAGATAAGGGTAACATATATGATATCGTTATAACGAATGGAAAAGGAAATCGGGGGTAGATGTTTTATTAAGACTTATTCGCATGCCGCAGTAAACTTCCACGGTTTACATTAAAGACGCATCCCTATCTTGACTTTCTTCATCTCTCTCTCCCTGCTTATGATTATCGGATCTACAGGTGCGTTCATGTCTCTAGGTACGTTTCTCAACACCCTCACTGTACCTTTAGCAGGGTTCGTCCTGAATAGTATATACTCCAACACCGTGCAGACCTCACCAGGTTTCGTCTTTCTATGTATAGCATCAGCTCACGCAGTCATTCTATCAGGCATTACGTAAGTCTAATTCTAAATGTATAATAATTATTGACCAAAGATACCAGCAACTTGATATTGATAATATCAAAGTTTTAGTTAATTCCAGTTCCGTGAATGTTTTATAACATAGTATATGAAATAAAATGGCTATAATTATATCGTGACACTTTTCAACTATACAAGTATAGGCCTATAAAACGATTTTGTGAACTTATTACTCATCTGTTCTTGGAATCAATTTGGACTATTTGGTGCCATTGTCATTAAATTAGGATCTTTCATCGGACAATTTCTATGTTATGATTAACTCTGCATTTTTATTTTCTGTATTTCCAGATATGTTGTCTTGTTTACGAAGAAAGAAGCCAAAGGAGATGAAAAGACGGACTAGGATTCATTATTCAACTCAGTATATTTTGTTTATGTCTGTTCAGAATTATCATAGATGTATGCAATGCAAAGACGCTATTTTAGTTATTTGAAAGGTTTCTAATTTTGTAAGATTATGCTAATTTATTTAAAATGCTGAAAATGTAATTATCAGTGTATGTTCTCATGAAATTTTCCAGTCCCGTTTTTTAAACTGAAGTTTCAGTCGACAAACTCAAAAATAAAACAACCCGAACATATTGTGATGTGTCACAACTTTCTTTTACTTTACATTGGGGGTGGGGGCGGCAGCACTTTGCCAACGGCATGTTGTTCATGACAACGTAATTGTAATATTTATCGAAATTTGAAGGCATCGGGTGTGCCAACAATAGATATTCGTCACAAAGTTATCATGGGTATTTTGCATCGGGGACAGGCGCGTACGCAGGGGGGGGGGGGGTGTTTGGGGGGGTTAAACCCCCCCTTTGGTATTTTTATGTGTGTAAACCCCCTAAAAAATCCCTAAACCCCCCCCCCCCCCCCCCCCCCTTTGATTTTTTTTTTTTTTTTTTTTAATTATTAAAAAAAAAAAAAAAAAAAAAACCTCCATGGCCGACCTAAGAAAGGTGACCTTACCCCCCCCCCCAACGGAGCAAAATGTCAATTTTTCAAATTTCGAGACCAAAAAAAAAAAAAAAAAATTGTCCGCTTCCCCCCCCCCCCCCCCCCCCCCCCCCACTGATTTTTTTTGGACTCCCCCCCCCCAAAAAAAAAAGTGTCCGCGTAGATTCCAGCGTAAAATGTAAATGTAACATAGCTCTTGTCACAAATTATGCTTGTAGGCCTATGCATCAACACAAACTTGGCAAATGGTAATCTTTTTGTGCTAATTATCTTATGAAAGCACGTGCTCAGTTATAAAATACAGGGGCGAGACGAATAAGGACCGTGTTGGTGTCTTCTTTATCTTAAGATCAATTACAGTGTCACAAAGGTGATATTTTTTCAGATTAAGCCACAAAAGTTTGATATAACAAAAATGTATCTTGATGCATTGACTGAATAACGTGTGGATACACGTCGCCCATTAATGAATCATATCTGGCAACCTTACACAGCAAAACTTGGGGATCTCTTAACGCACAATTAGGAATATAGATTATTTTCAGAAAGAGGGGGAATCTTTGGTTCATAACATTAGTTTGAAGGCACAAACAGAGGAATAATTACTCCACAATTTGGGAATAGTTAGCAGCCGTGATGTATGACATATTTTGATGTTGAACTGAAACAGCCTTGTAGGTATGCAGCTTTTTGTAACTTTGTGTATGTGTTTTACTGTGTAAATGTAAAATTTGCAACATGATGATATTTAGTAAGCAGTTGAATTTGACATCTATCACCTTTCGAATTGCAAAAAGTTCAGTTACAACTGATGACACTCAAATTATTTCTAACACCTCGTACAGGTGAATATGTGATTTATATCCCATCTTTCAACATGGTTGAAAATTTGTGTAATTACTTGTTTTGTTGAAGAAAAACAAACTTAATACAATGCAAGAATAATAAATGTAATTGTAATAACATATGAAATTCTAATTTTTAATAAATGGATTATTGTCATAAAAACTGTTGTTATTTTTAGTTTCTTCATTTGGAAGCTGTTTTATGCTTACATAATATAATACAATAAATACACACAAAAAACAGACATATCACCATATCAACATCTTATAAACTTTATTCAACCTTAGAATTAACAAATATGCATGATTTCAGATATTCACCAGGTTAAGAATGGTCATAGAAATAACATCGCTATCAAAATTGATTATGAATATTCATAATTACTCAAAAGTTATCGATGTCCATATGAAATATTTATTGTGCACAGATTCGATGTCAACATGGAAAAAGAATACTTTAAAAATTATTATGTCAACAACTCTGAACTGTTAGAATATTTATGACAAAGGATAAACAGTCAAGAACATCATAATAGGTTTCTGTGAAACAAAAAAAGTGGTCAAAATTAAAAATTAAAATTCATAAATAGTATTTAAAACAAAACTTAACACATTATGAAGAAGAAAAATAACAAGGTCAGTTCATCATCTAAAACTTGAGGTAAAAACTTTACTGTATTTGATTTGATTCAATGCATTTAATTTTGATAGGACATAAACCTATTGCGTATAATTCTTGCCCGGAAGATAAAAGAAATCAAAACAATTTAAAAAGGAGTAGTAAAGATTCAAAGACTATGTGACATCATTCATGCAATCATACAATGCGACAATATTATTGTGCTAAACCACTCAATCTACTCTCACTAATAGCAAGGTTACAATTCTCTGCCAATATATAGTATTTACTAAGATTGTTTAGGTCAAAACTTAGCTTTGAAACAAACAACATTTTTCTTGTTTTTGTTTGCCTGTACATAAACACCGCATATGTTGCATATCTCGAGGTAAAAACCATATTTGTCTATTAAAAGATTTTAAAAATGAATAACCAGTCTTTAGTACACTTTTAAATAAATATAAGCTACAAATGTACTGAAAATATAGTGCCATTTATCAAATATCCTAAATTTCACTCTGCATTTTCTCTTAGTATGACTGATGCATGTTCACATATATTTTCAATCAATTCTTACAACAACAACAATCTAAACAAGAATGATTTCTTCTCTACTCAGGTTTTAGATATCTAGGGATATCTTCTATTCCCATGAAACCTTCACAAAATGTTACTGCACTAAGCCTAGGTAATTTGATCATTACAATTGCTATTCATTGAATTTAGTTTTTACACATTTCAGGTGGTGGTAAATATCTATTCTAATATCTTGTATCCTACTGACATCTAGACCTTTGAGATAGATTCACAAGTCATTAATAATACTTGAAGAATAAAACCTAATACCATCAAAAGAATCAGTGATAAACTACAAGAATCACATACTTTGGTTTAGTGTGATGAAACAACATTTCAAATTAACTGCTTTGTTCATGTCCAGGATATAAAATAAATCAATATGAAAAATAGATACCGATACATCAAATACATTATATACAAACACCTTTTCAGGAAAAACTCATAATGAAATATATTCAAGACTTGCATGGAAGTATGGTTGATTAATAATAGAATTATATCAACCTTTGATTTTGGTATAAAGACATGCCCTTTTAAACCAGAGATGGTGTAACATAGTTGAATATTTCACACACGTTTTAGTTATGTTCGTCATGTTGGAAAAGAAGACTCAAAAACGTCATGCAGCATAAATAAATACTGTATTTTAAAGTGAATAAAAGGAAATTATTGCATTATGGGTACATTTCCATGCTATTTCTGTTTCCCATGAAAAAATGAGAATTTGATGGTCCAAATAAAAGAAAAACCCATTGAATTGAACAATCAATACCATTCTAAAGTGAAATACATTAACCTATTGCACTACAAAGTGCTACTGATGATCTAAAACAACACCCAACCAAAACCCTATGATAGGGCAATATGGAAGCAATTTTGCATGCACTTAGTATTTATACATAAGATATACAGTAGTAGAACTTACAATAACAATGTCAATTCATCTGCAATATTAAAAATACAGATCAATCCAGAAAGTAATTTGCAAATAAAATAAGGCTGATATTATTTACTCTTTCCATTCCCATACTAAACAATTTTTTTACAATATTCATCTTGCAATTGAAAGCAATGTCTATAGCAACAGTTCTATAAAAAAAATATCATATTATACTCTCAATAGAAGAACTCTGTAGACAGGGCTCCACACTAACTTTTTTGCTTGGGGGTCCACACTGAAATTTGTTGGTCTATAGGCATTGAGCCCTATATATATATAAAGTGTAAAATTTTGGGGGTCCAAGCCTAGATTTCGGGCACCCATGTTTAATGCTTAGTGCAGTAAATGCAAAGTCAAAAATACCAATAAAACATATAAGAAGAATGAAATGAAGAAGAAAAAAAAAATTAAATTAGGGCAAGATCTACTAGCGATAAATTCTATGAAAACATTTCTTATAAAGTATTTTTTATCAAACAAATTTTCAATAAATACTACTTACTTTGAAATTTGAAATCAACGAAACATGTAATCTATTGAACATCGCCACATTCTTAAACTAAAAAAAGAAATTGAATTGTTATAAGCAAAGTGTTTTGATATATAATAAATTGATTTGCCTATTTTCCCCACATGCCCATCTTATGCATTTGATCATCTATTAGTTTATGAAAATTTATTTCAAAACCTTCTCTGTGCATCTAAGTTTTGATTTCTTTATTGATGTCTTCAAACACTTTTCATTAGGTGTTCAACATCCATCTGTCTGTTCTTTGAACTTTGCAGAATAAGTGTGCAGGTGATCACCAAATCTTTACCCCTGAAAGAAATTTCTTACAAGATAACACTACAAGCTAAATTTCTGATGCAATTCTGACAGAGTTTGCATATTAATAGTACTTTTATCATCTTCCTTTGACATAATGCGCATTGAAGCTCAATTCGTTGCAAGAAGTATCTCTTGGACGGATGTATGTAGAGCCTACAACATACCTTCGCTCAGCTCACTTTAAAAATAAAATAAAACACTCTAACTTCAATTTGAATGAACTACTATACATTTTAAGAAATGATGTCAAATAAACTAGTGTAAATTTCACAAAAAAGATAACATAAACTTGTAATTCCAAATCAGCGAATTCCCTCCACCTTCCGTTTTCCTGATCTTTTCACAAACAGTCTATTCTTAGGTACTTTGTTGGAATATTTCGTGGAGATGGAAGCTCACAATAATTAAAAAAATGGCATGCAAGAACGGAATGTTAAAAAAGACACCAAGAACTGCAATGATAATCAAGTGAAATGCTGCTAATACACACACGGCATGAAGATGCAAAAAAAAAAGTTGTTTCAATGGTAATAGGATATATGTACACACACTTACAAATTAAAATCAGCCACTATTCTGGATAATCTGATATCTATGAGGAGATTTTCTCAGATTTAAAAATCCACATCACAGATATTATAACCATTGTCAGAGGATTCGCTTAGAACTATGGCCATGATAGTTCTAAGCATTTTCATTATACATTTTCATAGCGCACATATCCACCATGCAAGGTGTTAAAGGTGGGCTAATAAAGCTGACACCCGTATGGCTGCCACTAGGCAATCCTGTATCATGTATACGTAGTACACATTCCAATGTTCATTATTCATTCTTATAATATTAAAGAAACATAATATGCATCATCTGTTTAAATTAACAATATCCTACTAGTTTCTCTCATTGTTTGAATTGGACTCTTGATGACAGAAATGTACCACAATCTTGATTGAATTCATACCATTATATGTTTAGAGATATGTCAGTATTGTCTTGTACAGCTGGTTTGGAGCTGAGTCATAGACTAGTTTCATCATCATCATCATCATCAGTTCCTCCTGACATACAGAGTAATCAAAGGTCTAAGCTATGTGCTGGGAGCACAGTTACATGTCTGTCTCTAAAAGACTGCAAGTGGACTTGTCATATACTCATCATGATGCACAGAGTTGTGTTTCTGTCTTTGGAAGGAAGCAGGGTTATACGTCTGTTTCTACATGTTTGTGTGTCATCAAGACTCTGTCCTGTCGTATCTCAGATAGGCTAATGATCTCAACCTCATCTTCTTCATCTGTCTCCTCATTGTTAAGAAGCTTTACCACACCATCTCCTATCAAAAGATAAACAAGAGAAAGGGTTCAGGATAGTCATCCTAAAATAACCATTAAAACAAATCAAACCGGTTAATTCAAAACCAACCCACTTCTTCCTCATTTTCTCAGTTGTCCGATTTGCGCCCTATATATAATTTTGAGCTGTAGAATTAAAAATGAGATTCATCAGGTACCAAATTCATCCTTCACATAATGGCTATATTTATCTAAACAAGAGCAGTGAAAACATACAAATTTAATGGGTTTCTATGAACAATAAATCGACCAAAACGGAAGACAACACCTAATCATGATAATAATGATTTCCTTCTTCATAATCTTAATGGACATTTGTTAGTATTTCGTCTTCTAGATAGAATTCTACATTAACATGTCCAATATTAACTACAGGCATGTCCATCTGCAGACAATAATAAAACAAATGTTGATCAAAATCATGGATAATGTTATCTTTGAAAAGAAATTAAGTATTAAAAAAAAAAAAAAAAAAAACACCAAAACTGTATAGCTCTTACCTTTTTCCTGGTACTCTTCTGACCAGTCCTTCTTCATATCATACTGCAGATAGCTGTTTCAGAAATTTGAAGAAGAAAAAAAAAGTAGGTTGAATACTTGTTGTCTTATTCAACAAAAAAGGAATGTTCAAATTTGTATTATGCAAATTAGCAACCCCAAGTACCAGTGCATTTTTTTATTAATATTTATCAGATTTCTATTGGAAGAATGATTTTAACACAATTTTCCACCAAATAGGAAATAAGTCTTCATTGTTTTTATTTCATTAATTCCTTTTCACTTAGTTTAAACAGCATGGTATTGTGATATATGCAGACCCTCCTTTTTTATCTTCAAATTTTGTTCATGTTAGCTGCCTTTCTTAAAGGGAAAGTCCACCCCCAAAATAAGTTTGTTTCGATAGAGGCAGAATAATAAGAAAATCAGGTGAGTGAAAGTTTGAGTAAATTCTGAATGAAAATAAGAAAGTTATGAATTATTGAAGTTGTGATCAATCAAATACAAATTGGCAACTCTGTGACTTATTATACGAGCTCTCCTTCATTTGCTTTGTGCATAATATTCCATAAAATCATGTTTTCTTCGTTATTGATGACGGAATATATATTTGTTCCTTGCAGGGGGAGTATAGAAACATATTTGCAATTATTATATTTAGGGTGCATGAATGGTTGAAATTTTTCTTGAGGGAAAATGAAAATTTTAGATTTTTTTAGTACTGAGCAAATGGAAGTTATGCTCGCATGATACGTCATAGAGTTGCCAATTTGTGTTTGATTGATCACAACTTCAAAAATCCTAACTTCCTTATTTTTAATCGGAATTTGCTCAAACTTTCACTGACTTGTTTCTCTCATTTTTCTACTCCTATTAAAACTAACTTAATTTCAGGGTGGACTTCCCCTTTAAATCACACATGACAGTGAGAAGTTTGACCACAAGATCATGTGACAGGTCAATCTGCAATCTATAATCAGTGTCCTGGAAGTGGTATTAAAGCAGCAAATATGTGATCTTTCAAAATACCATCTGTCAGGTTGTAATAAATGCTTGAAATGAACCCCTTGTTCAAACACGGGAACCCTTTAATTACTTTGTTAATACCAGTAATTGGGATCTGCAAGTCTTGTTCATGTAAAAACAAATTAAAGCTAATCATTAACCAATTTCATGGCCAGTGAGGAGTTTGTCTTTCCGGTTTCATTACATCTTGTAGGCAATAGATCCTTTGAAACAGAAGTCTCCACGCTATTTCATAGTCTAGTAGCAGTGAGCATAAATGAATGCCTTTATCAAGACACTGCACACTACTTTGGGAATCAAACAGAACGAGGTCGGGATACAGCATGAATTCTATATGACCCTCCAAAGTACATAAATTTGGATTTTCTCCACATATACACAAGACTTGAGGCATTCATATGTTTGAGCATGGGAATCCTTTAAAAATATCCCTGAAAGAGTAAAAAACAACGAAATCACTTTGCCTTTTACAAACAAATTTTGTTAGAGGAACAGTATCTTTTTATCAAATTACTTTTCATGTTCAAATAAATTCAATCATCCTTAGCTTCATCTCCAGTAATATAACATAATTATAAAATAATATACAGTGTATTACCAAATGCTGAAATGTATAAAGCTTATTCTACTTCATGTGGAATTTCAGTAAACCAGTATCTAGATTATGCAAGTGAATTACTACGAGGCAAATGTGACCTTAAACAGCTCATTCAATTTTATAACATCAATTAGTTGCTGGTTGTCAACTTCACATGTAAATGTATCATTGAGATTCAATATTTTACTACCAATGTTTGCATTTTAAATAGAAGTGAAAATTGCTGTTAATTGAACCAGTGCTCAGTCAAAGACCAATTTCTTGGATTTGTTCTATTTTTATCATTAACAATCCAAATTGAACTAAAGCATTACTTCTTGAATAACTCCACAGTTTATTTTGTACATAAGAGGGGAAAAATTGAACAAAGGGATTTCTGTTTAAATATATATCAACGGTGGACATTAACTACTTTCAAAGAGAAGCAAGATTGACTTTTTGAGGGTCTGTATTATAGTGTACCGGTATGTACGGGCGCCATTTTCAAGTTTTAGGATTTCAGCGGTCTGGATATTATCTTAGGCGCCCATGTATCCTGGGTGTCTGTTAGTGTCGACCCCAGTCAAGCCCTATATATGCATGTCTATTTTCTCGAAGTTTCACACTTACACAGCAAAGACGAAGCTGATTAAAGATAGTAGAGCCATAACTAGGAAAGAGAATCCTGGCCAGAAGTCTATAGTAGCCCTGTAGAGATTGTTGAAGAAGATTGAACCTGTCATCAGCATTGTAGCTTCTATTAGTGATGAACAGGCAAACATGGCACCTAGTGAAAAGATCAAGTTATAAACATGGTCAAAACACAACATGGAAACTGATAAGTGTGAAATAAACATTAAGAAGTTTCATCGTTGAACAGGATAAAGTGATAAGGGATCTGGGCAAGGTTCGATTGATGTACACTATTTTGTATCCTGTTCCTATAAACGTGTGAATTATGACCTCTCTAGGTCAAGTACCAGTACTTTATCCCTGTATTATAAAACATGTATCCAAATGTTAATTTCAAGCATCTATATATAGCCCCTATACATCGTAATATATTTACTTACCAAATTCTGTGGACTCTACAAGCCTTGTCGCTATTGAACCCTGCACTGCTCTTGTCAAACCAAACAGACAACCAATTACAGATACTGAATAAAATGAAAGAAAAGACAATGCCATTTCAAGAGATAATTCATTATCTGATTGACATTACCGAACAGATAAATAAGCAAAGATCAATGAGGAAATATTAAATCCAGAGGGGCATATTTCAAGTCAGCCATGTACACAACACAAGGGAACATTATTTTTAATATAAAATTTGAGAATAAATCATTTCTTTACATGGAAGACTTTATAGAATAATCTGATCTCCATTCCAGAATAATTATTTGCTCTGAAACCATGATTATATTGCTTTATTGTTATATATCTTGAAAGTGCCGAATAAATAAATAAATGAATAAATAAAAACATAGCAGCTCTAAGGATGATCCAACTTACCCCTGAATTTTATTTTATCACATTTACAGGGCTAGGGATTTCAAGATTTAAAGGGAAATCCAACTTTGACAGCAAATTGTCTAGAAGAAAGCAGACAAATAAGGGAAGCATACTGGTGATAATTTGAATGAAATAAAAAAATAAAAAAAATAGGAAGTTTTGAATTTTTGAAAGTTGGAAAGTGGAATGTTCCTGAAGCTACGAGGTAATAACAAATATCTTGAAGTATGTTTCAATAGGATGTTACCTGACATCATCAGGCCAGTGGACTTGGCTAAAGCCATGGTGGTGTAACCAGCGATGGTAGAAAAAATCCCCAGCTCGGCCCAAATCATGTCCTTGTCTGGTGTGCTGTGATTGGTCACTCTGGCTATGATGGGGAAGATGAGGATGAGAGCCAGACCCTTCATGAAGGTCCTGAGGGCGAGGTACACCCCTACTGTGGATGGAGCCCAGCTGAGAGGGGAGTGCTTGGTGTAGAGGATGGTCAGATCCATGTCACCTAGTGGTCATCAAACATTTATTGCATAGTGTCATCAACTGGAATTATGAAAGCTTACATGTACAATGTATAGCAAATTTCTTATTAACCTCCATGGTTCAACCTGATCTTGAATATTGGCAAACTTTATTTATCCCTGCCTCATTATCCAACTACATGAACAAGAAAATGTATAGTATAATAACGTCTTTCGGATGGTGACGTTAAAGGTCGGTCCCCAGACGTAAATAATCATAACTGATTGATACGCGTCTTTAAAAATCCAATTACACACACACACACATATATGTAGATTACTTTTGTCTTAGCACTTTTAATAAGCATCTCTTTTACTTCTCATTCTTAGCAGCTTTTATCAGTCAACTTACTTTAAATGTAGGAGGATTTTGATGTGCTTCTTCTTATCATTTTAGTTTTTCAAGCTGAACTAATGGTCAATGGAATAATCTAACTATAGGCCTATTCACATGACATTGAATACATTTACTATCTTTGAGGCATGACAACTGTATTAATTTATTAAGCAATCCCTTGACACAAGAATTAAACAAATATTTGACTATGAATGTAGGCCTACCCACCTGATTGAGCAATCACTCCTGTGATTGAGATCATCATGTTGAGTATCAAGTGTTTTCTCCTTGATCCTTTTCGCTTCAGGAAGATAACTGACATGGCTCTCTTGAAACTCTCCACAATGTAGCTGCAGCACTGAACTGCCTTGTTGGGCGGCTTGCCCACTAGTCCTGCAGAGCCATTTTGTTTCAAGTCTCTTTCATGCTTTGGTAACGATTCTTTTAATTGTATTGCAATGTAGAACAAAATTGTTAAATGTATTGTGAGGTACATGAAGAAGACTGTTACAAACCCAAAGCGTTCTGTCATTGTACCCCCAATAACAAGTCCTAGGGTGCCTCCAATATAGACCATCGCTTCTAAAAGACCTAGGCGCTTCATACGCGAGGAAGGGTCTGTAATGTCTGTTATATAGCTAACTACAGAGACAAAAAATGTCCCTAGATTACCGGTTATTCCCATAGCTACACCACTTAGTAAGAGTGTTTCGACTGGCCAATCTATGTAGAAAGAGTTGAGAATAAAGTTGATAGCTCCGACTGCTGCGCCGATGGAAGGTAAGGTCATGATGATTTTGCGACCCACCTTGTCACTGAGGGGTCCAAGTATGGTGGCCATGATGGCACCCGGTACCATGGAAGCCAGATTGAAGAAGAGGATCCAGCGTGACGAGTCGCTCTCCACTTCGTCCTCTATCTTGGCGAATGCGGTCTTGTTGCTGCACACACTGCCGTCATATGTAAGGCGACACACCTTCTGTATGATGAGGAGCTGAAGGATTGGTCCCTGGAGGAAGAAGCCAAACATAAAGAGGAAGAGGACGGGCTCCACCGTCACAGCCTTTAGCTGCCTCATCACAACGTTCGTCATGATTATTGGATGGTGGGGGAGGTTTATCACCTTGATTCCATTGCCATTTCCCCTGCTGATCTTGGTGTGCGATCACTCGGTAAGAAATCTGAAAAATACAATAGATCGATTTATAATATGGATGTAACAAGGCAACAGAAAACAAATGGAATCAGCAATGGCAAGAACACCATTATATTTCAGACCGAGAAATTGTTATTTCTTTCTGGGTTATGTTTAGCTGGAACTACATCTGGCTCTACATCTGGCTCCAGTGAATTCCTCCTATGAAGTCAAAAGATGTGATGAAACTCCTGATTATTTATAATCAGACAGGTTTTCTTGTCTAGAAATAGACAGAAAACACAAAAATATTTTTTTTTTTGCGAGTGATTTGATGAAGCCAGACGTAGTCTCAGCGGAACATATCTTTAACAAAATAGACTTATTTTCAGTCTAGTCTAGAAAGTGCATTTCAAAGGAGAACTAACACCAAAGAATAAGTGTAGGTATTTTGAAAAAAAAGATGAATTCCTGGCTTTTGATGCACAATAAATCTTACAAACATGTAGAAGAGATATATGAATGAAGATTTCTTGGCATGATGTAATGCCTTTAAGCATGACATAGGCGCGGCCATTTTCTTGAAAATGTGACGTATTAGGCAGAGTTGTACATTGGAAATTGGAAAGACTTTTTAATTCAATAACAAAACCTTACTTTTCAATGAGGGAAAATTATAGCCGAGAAGGTAAAAATTACATTTGGTGAAAATATATAATAGGGTTACAATTGTAACAGTACCAACTTATTTATGCAATTTGCATTCTGGCAATTGTAGTACAAACGATAATAGCAGGTGAATAAAATCACCACACACATCTGGGAAGTAAGCATCCATAAATTTAAATACGTTTAGTTGATAAACAACTCCGCATAGTATGTCATGCTATGAAGAAAATGGCGATGCCCATTTCTTGCTGAGAAACTGTATTTTATTCTTGCTTTCTGCCTTTCTCATACACTTTGGTATATGCATCATAATATGCATTTTCTAATATAAAAAGTGGAAATAAGACGCAAGGCAATGTCTGGCAGCGCTAATGTACTTTCAGTTTCACACAGGGCGCTACATACTTCAGTCTCTCACACAGAAGTTATGTGTGGAGTAAATTGAATGGTAATCGAAACTGATGTGTGGCAGAATGAAGCATGTATGGTGGCAGTGTGAAAGTATACACTAGCGCCATGCCCAGCATACAGTCTGGTACAGGGAATAAGTTTAAAGGTAAAGACCAGTATTGGAAACGCCCCAATTTCAAAAATTGAAATGGAAGCTCTTATTACCAATCATGTGAAAGAATATATGTTTTGACTAATACATGATGATAAAAATTATGCCGGCAAACCGCCTACTAATTGATATATTTGGTTAATTAATTTATCTATTGGCCCGTGACAGATAAACGCAGGGCTCAAATTAATGTTTTGTCCACGGGGGCTCTTCCCCCCAAAAAAGAGCCCCCGTGAGCCTTCTCACTTCTCATTATGAGTCACTTATACTACGAAATTATACAATATAATAACTTACTGATGTTAATTAACAAAATTAGAAAATGATATCTTGATCCTGATATTATTAATAAAGTGTTACTGTTAGACAGTCAGTCACAGTGTCGTTAGAATTTAGATCAATTCATTTCCCCTTTTTTCATTATCGTACAGTTAAATTCAGACCAAAGTTAAGGTTATAGACTCCGTCCAATAAAAGGCAAAGACAAATAGGGAGATGCGAGTTAGCCGCAGGTTCACTAAATCAGCTCTCAGTCTTCGCCCTGGGTCTGGTTTGAAAACAAGTCACGTCTTTTGGATGGTGACGTATAAATGTCAATCCCCAGACACAAATAATCATATCTGATTGATTACACACAAAACAACCGCTAAATCTCAAGTCGTTTGATCTAGGCAGTGACCCTAAATTCCGGCTATGCAGATCTGCATAATTTACTAATTCTAGTAGATCTACTAGATCTACTGCTACTAGTAGATCTAGTACTTAGTAGCAATAGGCCTACAATTGTACAAATGTAGCCTGCCACTGTCACTGTACAGCGTAGGCCTACAACAGCTACAGTACAGAACCATCGCAGAAACGACGGCCTTCGTCTTCGACAACTTCGATTTCCGACGATGCAAGTTTGATTTTAACTGTTAAAGAATGTCTACACCTTATGGTCATGATGATGTAGAATAATAGAAAATTTACCAAAGTTTCTTCAATGAGTCAACTTACATGTTCCCTCTGTCAGTCGATTTGAAAGTAATTCCTAATTGAACAGATCACTTTGCAGGATGGGCAAGTCACGTACCCTTGCCACAAGTACCAGTAGCATGACTACATGCACAGCGTTCACTCTGCATCGCAGCTGTACGTCCGCCCGACCGAGCGGCGCACGGGTGTACGACCCCGAGGATCTGGCGAAGGTGGAGCTAGCTAGCTCACGAACCAGCGGGCGGTGGTTGCGACGATAGCACAGACCAAGGACGTAGCGGTCGTGCACATGGACCTCTTTTGGTCTGCCTTTCTCTGCCTTTCAGGGCGGGGTACGGTATGCAGCCCCAATATTTTTTAAGGAAAACATTGCACCCCTCCCCAAGAAAAATTATATAACTTTTATCATTTGACTTGTTCCTACTTGTTAGAGATAGGCATATCCTTCAAAAAGAAAAATTAGTTGAAACTTTGTTTTATAAAAAGTTTGATTGTCAAATGTAAACTTTAATTTGATAACTTCCTTTGCTAACTTTTATTTTCTTTTCATGGGATAGGTTGCACTTGCCAGATATTTCATTTTCATATTTGCTCGTTATAGATTTCTCAGAGGAAAATTGTTCCTTTCCCGATATTTCTTCTTCTTCTTCTTCTTCTTAGTAATTTCCCACCCCCTAAAATAAGGCGACCCCAAGATAACTGGGATTTAAAAAATGGTCATCTGCTTTTTCACTAGGAAGCAGACTACAATTTGTATTTGCATCTTGTATCATTTCCCTGGAGGCTGAATATGTGAGCAAGATGTTGTCCTAATATTGGCCCCCCTAACTGTCTACGATTCTACATGGTAGCATGGGTGTAAGCACGAAATAAACAATTTTTGTTTGGTTGCCTTTCATAGTGTCCACTTCTGAGGTACCAAGATTTTGTTGTTTTTCTTTCTTTTTCTTTCATTACCACCCCTTTAACCCCCATAGTCCTTTCAGTGAGGTTCTGTGTATCTTTTTTTGCACAAAAAAATCCTTCATCTTGAATTGTTCATATTTTCCTTTAGTGCCTCTCATCACGGACTTACACCCTACCCCCTCCACTATCTCTCTCTCTCTCTCTCTCTCGCTGTATATCCACATATACCCCTACCGTTATCTCTCTCTCTCTATCTCTCTCTCTGTATATCCACATATACCCCTACCGTTATCTCTCTCTCTCTCTCTCTCTCCTTACCAATGCTCTCAGTAAAGGGATTCTAATGATAAAAACAAATCACATCCCTATTTTTGTTTTTACATAATATGCATTCATATTTTTATTTGGGTAATCAATTTAATTCTCTTAAACATACATATTATGCTTAAGAAGCATTACAATACAATTGTTATCATAAGAATTAGTTAGACAATGGAATCATACTTTTTAAACTATATAGGAATACAATAATAGATGATAATCAGTTAAAATCAAAACAGAAACAAATACATGGACATAATACATACAACAATAACGAAAACATAAATACTCAGACAACAAATAATTTCTGGTAGAAAATGGATCATTATCCGCCAAATCTTTCTACAAATAATGATCTTCCTGGCATGCATGAAAAATAATGGAATCAATTTTTAAACTCTGCTCATCATGTCTATATGTTATTGGCAGGAACATATACAATTCTTTCTGATAAAAAAAAGTATTACATAAGACTACAAATAAAAACAAATTATTATTCAGCGACATTTGGTATAAGGAACATAGATTATCTTGAAAATACAAGCTAAATTACTTTTTTTCCTACTCAAACTCTTTAAAAAAAAAACTATTTTAAAAACCTGAGATGAGATTTTGCAGACTATGATTTCAAGATAATTTTCAAATCCTTTAAAAATATAAATTTAAATGGGATATTAATATTGAGCGTAATATAATTGTGCCAGATTTGATAGTTAGTTTCAAACTATAATACACAAGTTTTCTGTCAAGAAACCAAATATTTATGGATAACAAAATGCATTGTTAAATACAATAATACTTCTACTTAGTTTTATATGAAAAGATTACTCCAATGCATTTATAAGACACCCTGTATATGTTCTTTTCTTTACTTTGTTCACTGCATGTCAGTTAAAGTACTGCTGTCACAATATTGTTACCAGAAGCCTGCTTTGTTCAATTCAAATCACAGTTAATTGTTAATTGTACAATTTATTTTTGTCTATAAAAGCTGGTATAAGCCAATGTTTACTTATATGGCCTGTTAACTTATTTTAAATACCAGTAGTTTTACCGACTACTTTAACATTCTTAATTACACATGAATAAAAACACAACAAATGGTTTTATTTCACGAGAAGCTTCACTGCAACTCCCTGATCATCTGAGCAGCAAACAAAATCATTACAACGTAGGGGGTGTTTCCATTCTGGTACTTAGAATATTACATCATTGTGAAAATCATACCAAAATCAATAATATAAGCTTTCTCAGATTTGAGCTGTCAAAATGTATAAAAAGGCGTTTGATTTAACATCATTAGAATACAAAATATTAAAAAATCATGTAACTAGAGTCAAAATTTTTGTGTAATCAAAATTATATATATATATATATGTATTTATAAAAATAGTGACCGAAGTTGAGTAACATGAATATAAAATGGGGAAACTTAAATTAAATTTAAAACTTTGAATCCTAATTCAACTTATTTGATTCATATTTTTGACAACATATAATTATCAGTATAAATATTCAAGGTGATAACTACACTGTAAGGACTGAAATAGTTTAGGCACATGTCAATGCCAACTATCATTTTGGAAATTAATTCATCAAAACATGGATTACTGACATAATTTCACTGATAAGCACTAAATCGTATGCCACTACACTTGCTTTGAGAAATATATGAAAAACAGAATTCATGGGAAATGGAATGGAAAGTTACACACAAACTGAGTCTATGTTTCATACCCTATCAAGAATTTTTTTTTTTGTACATGGAATAAATGTTTTTAATTCAATATCAATATTTTTATCTGCAGGTTTGTTTTACATTTAATCCAATTTCTTTGTAATTAATGTCAAAAATTCTTTCTTGTGTTTGTTAAAAAACAGGCACCCTTTGTCAAAAACGATGTATGCTTGACTCAATATATGCTTTCACCATCAGAACACCGTTGCATAGCTTTCAAACATTTTAAGAAAGAAAAAAGTAAATAATGACATGATTTCAAAGCTAAATGAGTTAGATACCTGAGAATAGGATATCAAAAGATATCCTTTATGAACTCCATAGCCTCAAAATGAAAATACCTCAAATAATTTTTCACCCCACAAAAATGCTGAAATGGTCTGAAAGTTTTATGAGATCAATCAATAAATATACAATCATCTGGGCTTAATATCCGAGTATAAAGATATGATGTTGTCATATAAATTACAAAGGCATCATTCAAGGGACGATTACAAAAGATACATCAAAAACGCTTCCTGCAATGATCGCATTGCAGAAATCAATGCAGCATTAATTTCATGACTCCTGAAAGAGACATAATCAAGAGGTAAATGAATTTCAATTTTCAAAACCCTTTCACCAATACATGGTTGATTTAAGAATTGTACTCGGACCATGGGCTAGTCTTAAAAGACAGGGCACATGTTTGCCTTAAATATAAATACATGAGGTTCATTGTACTCATTGTATTTTTGTTATTGGTAAAGGGGCATCATGATGCAGCATAACTCTTTGTATCTTGAATATCAAAAATATCTTTAGGATCTAAATGAAACATCAAACATCAATTCTGACTTGAAGGGGAGGAAAGAGACAAAGAGGTAAAGTTTGGTGGGCTTTTTCTTATATATTCCTACTGGAACATATGGTTCAAATTTTAGCTGAATTGTTAAAAGTCAAGTAGTACCGGTACATGTAGTTTGAGTACCACTATCACTCCATAAACATAATGCAAGAACACATCGGACACTAGAATCTTTTGTTTGAAATTAGCACCTTTCCAGCACTAGCTAGTATGAAGGTATTATCTCATGGCTCTCTCCCTCTCTCTTTCTCTCTATATACAGATGATAAGTTCAAGGCTCATTCTCATATGCCCCATAAAACCGCCAGGGCAAGATAAATTGACACAAGCATGATGCTCTTCACATTTCTGTACCTTATAACACACAGATAAGTGAGTATATGCAGAAACTTTGCCATGTGCAGTAATTTTTCTCATCCTAGCGACCATCCATTTACATGTAAACAAAATGATATCTGTTGTGGTGTACTCTGTCATATGTGAACGCACCTTCAGGCATGTCTCTTTACATGTCATCTTGAACTGAGACACTGTCACAGTTGAATTTAAACCCTCTTACACACTCCATAAATATAACAATCGAGCATCATGATGATATCATATAACTATCATACTTTGCATTATAATTTCTATGTGAATACTGACTGCATGAATTCCTGATTCTGATCATCATGAGTTGGCTGACCCATTGCATAAAACCATCATTAGTCTAGTTAAAGTTAATCCCAAATCATACACCTATTTGAAAAGATGTGTGGGAAAAAAACAATTTCATTAAGCGTGACTTAGATTTAATGCAACAGGTCCCCTCGTCATTGTTCTGTACTCTGAAATGTTTACTTCACAGTATTCATATTTTGTTTCCAATACTGTCAGAGGTTATATAATTTTGTCTCTTCTTTTTGTGCATAAAGTTTCAAAAGTACATACTGCATATAATATTCATACAACTCATTCTATTATTTGAGTGTAAAGCTTTCAAAGATTTCTTGAAAGTGAAGATTCACCCTACCAGACTATAAATCCAAATTTTGGGAATCTTTTGAATAAAAAGCTTTGCATTCATGAACATTCACATTGTAAATAGTCTGTTTGTATACATCATTGCAATTGCAATATTTCTGATATCAAACTCATATAAATAAACGTAACGTCTAAAACCAATAGTGAATACTGATAAAACAAAAAACCTGTACATTCTGCATTTTGAACCTATTGTACATGAAGTTTAAAAAAGAGGGGGAAAAAAAGATAACTTGTGCAAAACAAAGTAAGCAAATAAAAACCTAAATTTAAAAACAGAATGGTCTTTTAAGATAAAATGCTATACAGGCAGTAGAGAAATCATTCGCCATGAAGACTTGTTGTTTTCGATGTATAAGAAGTTTCTCTAGTTATGTTAGTAAATGGTTTCTTTTTCTTGTCTCTTGAATGAAAAACATTGCAAGCTTAAACGAAGCATTGTGACCTCAGTCATTATCAGCATGGTTAAAACTACAGATCATATCAAACAATTTGAAAATGTCTTGCATCTTTCTTGGAATTTAGTCGATTCCATCTGCCAAACAGAAAGTGGCGTAGCACTAGCATGACCAAAATAAAGTCTTGAATTGTTTCTGGTGGCCTTTCAAATGTATAATTGCCCACATATTTGTTAAGATAAATAAATAATCTCAAAATCCTTAACAATATGCAAGGAAAAAGTACACTGAAATACTGAGAATTTTTTATTTTCAGTGACAAAATTCAAAAATGAACTCAAAATGGCATTAAAAACATATATGAACTGAATTACATACAAGACAACACAAAATCACAAATAACAATACAATAAAATCACATTATCATGATCAAGTAACAAGTGTTGCAATGCACACTAAATGAAACAAATTGGAAATCAAAAATTCTATTGTTAGAAATTCAAATTGTGTACACAGTACAGGGTGACAAATACTGCATGTTAGTTTAATATTTAACATCAGAGTGACTTTACAAGAATAATACTTCTTTTGAGTTGGTTAAATTCTTAAATTTAAATTGTGTCATATCTCTAAAATTAACATGAATGAGTTTTCAATGATATTAGTTTAATGATAAAGTAAACCTTATATCACATATGACAAAAAACATAAAAACAAATAAAAATATATAAAAAGCAAAAAAATGAGCTGAGTTAAAAAATTTGCGCAAATATCATAATACCTAGATGTGTATTTGCATTGTTCTGTATGAATACAAGACAGCCTCAATATAGGATTTCCTATTGTAAATGCAGCAAGTTTGTAGGAAAATCTTACAAACCTATTAAACAACAGTTTTGATGGAAGGTCACTGACCTCTGTTCAGTTAAAAAAAGGTCCTCAGTGGAGATATATATATATATATATGTATATATATATATATGTATGTATGTCCTCATTGAAAGTTCAATGACCTTTCCTCAATGACTGGCAATAGGAACTTGAGCACCGGGTGAAAGATTAGGGGCAGAGTAAGAAACAGTTTCGTCACGTTGGACTGAGTTGACGCTTGCACCAAGAAGCAGCATCTGCTCACTGGCATTCATCTTGGACGGCAGCGTTTGACATTTGACCCTGCCTTCACTGGCCGAGTCAAAGCTTAACCTGACATCGAAAGGTGTATTGTCCGTGAAAGGCGTATTGTCCATGAGCGTGATGTCCATGTCTGCTAGATTGTTCAAGGTTGATAATGTCTGATGTTTGGAGAGATTTCCTTGTGAGTACCCCAAGGAGTTCATGGTATTAATCATGGAGCAGGACTTTGCATTGAGTCTCTCCAAGACAGAGCTATGCATGTCTGAGTCTATTGAGCTGTGACTCACGAGCGTGGTCAAGGACGTGTTCAAATCTTCGTGGTAGCTCTTCTCGTGGACGGAGCCAGACCCGCGACTACTGGACGTTCGACTCAAGTCATTGCTTCCCAATGAATTGTCTTCAAGAGTTGTATTGCTTTGTTTCTGCTGTTGCATCATCAAGAGTGAGCGATCATTGCATAGGGCACTCAGCAAGGGAGCAGTCACATCCTTATCTGCAATTTCTGCTCTGATTTTCCTTGTGTCGATGAGTTGATGATGGTTGTTGGATCGGCTGTGCTTCTTGTGGTATCTCCTCTCATCTTCATCATCATCCTCTGCCTGCAGAGGTGTCAATGGCAAAAGAGAGATGATTCAAGATTGAAAATTTGAAATATTTACATGCTTGACTTTGTGTTAAGAAAACAGAATAGGATTTGTAATTTAAGAACTTCCCTCAATCATGATTTCATCCTCTCTCAAATTTCCTACTCTTACTTTTTTTTTCTTAAGCTATTTCTTCCTCTACATTTTTTTATTTTAATCTTTCACTTTTTCTACTTTTCTATCCTCCATTACATTTATTTCCTCCTACCTCTTGATATCCTCCTTCTTCCCCTTTCTTTCAACGACCTTCACTCTCTCTCTCTCTTTCTTCTACATCTGCTTATCATCATCTCTAACAGGACCAAAGCATCACCCCCCCCCCTTCCTCCCAATCTCTTCCATAGAACTCTTCATTTCACATTACCTCATCATCAGATGCCCATTCTGATTCACTCAGCATAGCAGAAGCCTCGTGATGTATCATCCCTGGTTTGCCCCGCTCACTGGAGGAAGATGAATGAGTTGCATTGTGTTCTCTGTGACTGGAAGCATCAGACATGGCGGCCGAATGTCGCTTGGAGCCACTATCTGCATCAAAACAAGACATCAAAACATTTTGAGCAATAGCACCTTGTTGTTTACAACACAAGTAGTCTAATGTCTTGTTTCCTGCCACCATTATATTTCAAAAAGTCCTTTATCCAGAAGAATTGTGTGCATTCTTACATAAAAGAAAGAGGACTCACCAGAGTATAGCAGCATATCCTCTCTTGAAGTAGAAGGTTGTAGAGTTAGGTGGGATTCGAGTTGTGGGATATATGTCATTGCTGATGGAGGCATCTCAATTACTTTGTATGGGGAACACAGGTCATCATCTGAGAGTAAAAGAGAATTTGTTTTATAAAAAATGTTACCACTGAATAACAAAGATTGTATTGAAGAATGGTTGGAAAGTTCTCTGAATGTTTTATTTTCATTAAAGCAATGAAATTGACACTAGCAATATATCAAATTTGTAATAAACTTTTAAATAAACTTTATTAGGATTTCCTTTTTAAATCATAAAGTAAAGAAATCAAGATATATATGGAAATCCATTCAGTCCGCTGTCTTTCATTACCTCACTTCCAATAACCACATAGAATGTTTTTAAATCTGATATTTGAACAACAAAAACGATGTAAGATATATTGAGTGGCTCTTTTATCTTAATCTTCTTCTCCAAGTGATCCCTTCTTGACATTTCCTTGAGACCAAAGTAAAAAGGAGAGGATTCTGACCTTCACTCATTGTCTTCTCTACCGGTGACCTCTCGTCTGACACGATGCCAGAGGTCGCTACGGAGCTCACGTTGCTGATGACAGACATCCTCTGGTCCACCTTGGTGGTCGACATCTCGCTATGAGATGTGGTTGTCATGGAGCTGTCTAGATCTGACCAGGAGATATCACCACTGATGTAAGACTCACGATAGCGTTTCTTCTCTGTGGATTGGACCATACATGGAGATATGTCTGATTAGTTCTACTTAGTAATAATACTCCTAAGACTAACTGTAAAGCCCTTCTGCACTACTTATACCTACTTGCGCCCTCTATTTAGCAAACAATGCCTAATCGGTGCCTGTTGGTCCCCCCTGATCCCCTTTTTCTTATGTTAATTGAGAGCTGATTTGATGAGATAACCACCTGTCAATGACCTTGCAGGGAGGTCTAATCCCCAATGGCCAAACTAGTGCAGACAGGCTTTAAATGAAGACACACAGAAGCTGTTCAGCTGGCTCTTATTAGTGTAAATTTCAAGAACAATTGAACCAAACATTCTTTTCCAGGGAGCAGGAAGGCAGTGAAATGTTTCTGAGAAGTGGGGCAAATTGCTTCTGATTACTTAAGATTATAATATATGTTTCCTTTCCTGATATATTGGACATTTTCTTTTCCAGTGAAAGACGGAGACAATGATGATATAGAGAAGGGATAAAGAAGCTGAGGCACAACATAATGAGTTAAAGATAAACTTGAAGACAAATTAACAATGATAAAAGGTGAGAATAGGAGAAGAAGAAGAAGAAGAAAAAAAGAAGAAAAAAAAAAGAAGAAGAAGAAGAAGAAGAGGAAAAGGAAGAGGAAGAAGAAGAAGATGATGTATATGCTTACCTGATGCACTTTCTCTGATACGTGCTCTATCTACCAATGTTTGTGTTTGCATCTGGAATGCATGGGTTAGCTTACACAGCCTCAAAAGATGTTTGGACCTAGTGTGTAAGTGTACAAGTAAAATCAGTAATAACTCACATAGAAATGTACTTCACAACATGGAAAGTTGTAAATTATATCAAACATAATCCTTTAAAAAAAATTGTTATTCTGGTTTATTAGAAATGACACCTAAACATTTTTAATTACCTGGTAGACATTAAATACTTTGGATATTCTTTAAAGAAAAATGTAAATAATCATTTTTTTTAATGTATATACAGGAGGATGTAAATTCAATTAGAAGTACATCCAATATTCACTTGATTCTAAATTCAATCTTTTTTAAATAGATTTTTAGAATTGTACTTATTCATTTATTCAACTCTCAAGGGTAAAACTAAGGTTGGGTGATGGAATGAAAAGGATAGACTTACTTTGCTTCAGTGCATGTATAGTATGTGATCTTTCGTCCATCTGACACTCCCTCCACGAGAAGCTCAAACTTCTTTTTCTGTGATAATGAAAAACAAAGATGAATTTGAAATTGAGTTCAGCTCAAGGTAAACTGCCATGCAACATTATCCAAAAGAATATAATGAGATTAAACAGACACACAGTGAGCTGGCCTGGTAGTGAGAGTGCAAGAGATGAAGAGATACATTTACAATGAATGCCTTTGCACCCAGACTATACTGTGATACATATTTATTCCTATACAGTAGGCTTTCGGGTGCACCATGTGAGAGAGAGGGAGGATTGAGGAACTCTCGGTAAACTTATTCTTCTTGAAAAAGGACAAGCCTGTCTTCATGGGATCGTACAAAGTTGAGCACATGCATGTGTATACTGTTTAGTATATTCACAGTAAATGTGGTGTGGAATTAATACGAATAGGATATGAGTGAAATAACCATATTTTCTTTTCAAATTGTTAAGATGAATTAATAGATGTTTCTGATTATTACTGTCCTGCTTTGTTTAATTTACCTGGAATATCAGCCTCTTGATATCAACCCACGGGTACTCACACAGAAGGTACTTTCCATCAGAGGAATCCTAAAGAAAACAAATCAAAATCAAGTAGTACCTTTAACTTGTGAAAAACATTCAAATTATGCTTTGATTCCATGTGATCTCACACATGAATGATTTTCAAACCACAATCGCACATTTCATGAGAACTGCTAATTCCATAACACCTTACCACCAATTAACACCCTGACAAAAACGATGTGGTTTGTAATTTCAAAGGGTGCAGAATGTGGATAAACATGCTTATTTTTCCTTAACAATGGATATGGTGTTAATTGCTCAAAAATAAATAGACCTTATCCACAAAAAAAGCTAAACTTAGATTAATTGCTGCCGGTCTATGATCTTAAGCATGCAGGAAGCCAAGATCATTTTCTGCTACATTAAGAAAATGATCGTTTAAAAAAAAGGCACATCTACTGAAATACATTCAAAGGAGGAAGTATTTCATACATATTTGTTCTTGGTCTGCAATTGGTAATAACAGAAGACAATCCCACCAAAAAGATTTGCTGTTTTATTTTATGTGTAGTGTTTAGAAAATAAATATTTCAACCACTTCATTTTTGGTTTAATAATAGCAATTATGTAAAATAAATATCCCTCTAATTCATTACATCAAATAAATAACAATTTCTTTCTTATTTCTTACAATTATTAATTTAAAACATTGCATGAAAATATGAGTTTATAGTTTACATAGAGTTGAGTTGATCAAAGGTACATAGGTCATTAAATGTATTTAATTGAATTTTTATCACCTGGCCCAGGCTAGACAATGGAAAATATTTCTAAAACTTTCAAACAAAATATAAAAAACTATAAAATATAATTTAGTGAGTGATTGAGTCCATAACAAAAAATACTCTTAGACACTTTATTTGTTAATCAATAATATTTTTTCAACTCACTGGCTTATAATAGTTTTTGTTTTTTCAACTCTTGTACTACAATTAGATCTCATTAATTACCTCATATAAATGGATGCCTTTTGTACACACACCAAGCCATATCGATGGAGTTTGTTCTGTCTTGGTCTGAAAGAAAGAAGTGAAATCAAAGAATTGTTGAAGAATTGCACATTGTCATGATGCAGGAAATTAAGCTTCATAGTACATCTAATAGACATCATGAATTCATTATCAAAGGGCATGAAATCAAACAAAAGAAATCATGAAAAAATTGCAACAATTCAAATTGAGTATATCAAAAGGCTCATGATCATTCAAATCCCCATGAAATAATGGGTATCACTTCCCTCATAAACAGGAACTTCAAAATATTTTAATTTATATACATTCATATGATACAAATCACACATTCCACCACTCAAGTTATTTTAGGTAAAACAAATAGTACATAACGGTAACCCCATGAAGACTGTATTCCTTAAGCCAGCAGCAATTTCTGTATGTAATAAATCCTGCTTTACTGGATAGATATGGATAGAAAGAGAGAGAGAGAGAGAGAGAGAGAGAGGGGGAGGGGGGAGGGGGAGAGAGAAAGAGAGAGAGGGGAGGGAGAGAGAGAAAAAGAGAGGGGAAGAGAAAGAGAGAGAGAGAGGAGGGAGAGAAAAAGAGAGAGAGAGGTGGAGGGAGAGGGGGAGGGAGAGAAACAGGAAGTTAGAGAGAGAGAGGGGAAGAGAGAGAGAGAGAGGGGGGAGAGAGGGGAGAGAGGGGGGGGGGGAAACCAGAGGAAAAGAAAGAGGAGAGACAGACAGAGAGAGAGAGAGGGAGGGGAAGGTGATTGGGAGATTAAAAATATTTGTATGCACTACTCTACAATAAGGTGACCAGACCACAATTATTTTAATCAATATATACAACACAACTTCCTATAACACAATTAAAACCTTCCAGCAGTGGGGATATGAATTCTTATGACATGAAAAGACAACCTTGATCAAAAGAGCAGACTAAAATTCCCTCAAAGTTTGTGGTTTTGCTTCATTAGCGCTAATTTCTATTCTTTACTTCCTATCCTTATTTCTATCTAAAGTGATGAAAGACTTGATTGCAAAGTTCAAATGATATATGGATAGAAACCATAGAAGCAAATCATCACATTATCAAGTCTTTTACAAAAAAAAGAAAATCAGGGTCAATAATGAGACGGATATTGATGAAAAAGCTTTGATTAAAAATCTTGCTAGACAGGAACAGTCTACTGACTTCCATCAATCACAATACTTTTCCAAAGCATAAGTCGCTGACAAAATTATTAAACAAATTATTGGCTCCTGAGCAGAACAGGTATTTTTTAATGAAAAATAGAGAGAGAGAAGAGAAAAATATGCATGAGGGTCATGAGCAATATATCTATGGAAAAAAGAAAAAAAGCTCTAGAAAACTTAAAGAGCTCTGATGTGATGAAAACAAAACACCAAGAATAGGTCCAAAATATCACAAGGACATTCTGATTAATTATAGCAGAAATGAAATAAGCTCCTATAAAAAAACACAATGGAAAGAAGAAATATCAACTAAGCAGGGAGATCTTATTCTACACTTAACTGATGTAGGATGAACATACTTTGCAAGGTAAAACATATAAGAGGATTTGAATGTTAGCTAAGCCATTAAGTCACGCATAGAATTAAATGCACAATTGCCTCAGGTAAATGCTGACAACTCATCAAAATTAAAATGCATTATCATTTGAACAGATTAATTCAAATCTGTTTTACACCATATCAATTTCTTATTTCCTCATGTTAACTCAAACTTCTTGGAAATCATACCCCCTATCTCTAATCTTAGAAAATCCTTCACAATGTGCTCAGCTGTATGGTCTCCTTGCAGTTTTCTTTATTTTTCTCCATCCCTTTCCTAAATCTTGCAATACTCCTGGAGTTGCACAAATTCCTGGAGCTTTCTCGAAATGAAACCCAAGGTCATCCATGTTAAAGGTTGCCATGTCCTCAAGGAATTGGAGAACTGAAATTATTTAAACTTTGGGTGTTTTTTTTTTTTTTACAGTCTTCTGAAGACTCTGTTGAGAAAGTGATCGCTTAAAACCCAAGGTCATTTCTATCTGCCATCTCCCAAACGGACCATAATTGGGACAGAAATAAGTTGATGTTCAGTTTTTTCTTTTCTTCAAAGTTGCAGTGGATTCTTTATAAAATAATGGAGTGTTCAATGTGAGCAGAAATAATGTGACCATTATTACGTTTGCCCCAACATCAACAAAGATTAATAGTCACATGTCTCCCTTTCTGTCTGACTTCTCTCTTATATTTCTTGACACAATTATACTATAAATGGGTATAAATTGCTACTACCTTACATCTAAATGAATGTTGAAAGGCAACAAACAATCAGCAATTGGTTTTCCACTAAAGATCCATTTCACAAATTCTTTAGCCTGTGAAAGCTGGATAGATTACGTTCAAAATGTTTTTTGTCAGTTTTAATTTAATTTAACTCTTTACTCCTGACCCGACATAGACTCCGGACATGGATTTTAAAATAAAAGTATGAGAAGTATCACATCCATTTCAGTATAAATCGGTATATATCATCAACCGGAGCACTTCAAACAGTATTCCCACTGAACGATGCAGCTTTAATAATCAATCTTGGCATGTGAAATAAGACTGAAGCCTGGATAGGGAGATGGTTTGATCTAGGGTTTGATCTAGGGGAGAGAGCCTCTAAACAAGAGCTTGATTTACAACCGGTTTGCTTTGTTCTCTGCCTGGTTCACTGCTATTGAACCAAGGGTCATCAGACAAGTACACTGCAATCATCTCGGGGAGCTACACTCTACATTCCTGGAATACTTCAATCCAATGTGTGGTCACAAACACCAACCACATGTGCTCAAGTGCACCCCCATAAAACCAAAACTTTTCATGGTCCAAACTGCTCCAGGAACCGACGCACCTGTCAGCTTAGGTGATTAATGCTGTTTTCACTACTTGTTTGCGTAAACAATATTCATGCACTTGCAAAAACACATAGCCCATTTCCCTAATTTTCAAAAACCCTAATTAAATACCATTGTCACTTTCCCATATTTGAGTGTGACTAATTTCATATATTTGGTTTAGAGCAGGTATGACCACTACCTGCTTGAGTGAACAAGCGTGTCTAGCTCAGCCAATTGAAACCCAGCCAAGCAGAGATAAACCTTTACTGTACCACAAATTTATGGTACAATAACGAATATTTCTAAGCTTGTTGAGGCAACTGGGCATAAATAGTTCTTATTCTTCTCTGCATGGCAGGTGGGTATCTGTAGATTTTGTCTCTCCCTCATTTTGTTCTTCTCTACATAGTTGTATTCACCTTTTCTGAGTTTCGCAGCTTGTGGGTAAAGTGCACGCGAATAGATTTGACACGGCCCAGTGGGGTTGGCGTGTGAATAGAAAAGCCGATCTCAGAATAAGGAGATCTGGTGCAATGTACTTTTCTCCAGTAACAATTAAATACAGTTTTTTTTTATTTCCTTTTCAAGAGTGAATATAGGAATGCCAATGCAGCCTTGATACATAATATTATTATGTGCCATCACAAAGCACTATACAGTCCAGGTAGTATGTATAGTACAAGCACTGTTGGGATGTCATAGAATAATATGTTATTTGAATGTATGACTTTGTGAGGGCTATGAAGAGAATTCAGACTCATGCAGGGAATGTAGGACATGTCAAAGATTCCATTTAAACCTATTTAAGGACATGAAATACCTCACTTTAGACATAAGCTCAGAAATTGCGGCAATACAAATTTTAAATCATGTCAGATAGTACCCATGAAAAGGTTGTTCATCTACAGCTCTACCGAGGTCAAATGCAGAAGAGAGGAACATATTTTCCAGTTGAAATGTAGTCAGTAATGGAATTCTTCTATCTTAAAGACAAAACAAAACTATTCTACCCGAGATATTAAGAATGTGTTATGGCATATTTCTTAACCACAAATATTATTGGACAACTCTAAATAGATTCTCAAGGTGATTTGAAGCGATGAACTATTTGAAAACAAGCAACAAATCAATATCACGCTTGGCTTTGTAAGTAAATAGGTTTTACCACCAAACCTCCAACAGCTATACCACAAACATTTCATCAGTGCAAATATGATTGCATCACAAATGACAGAATGATGAAGGCCAACTCTAGCTATTTTTATGTAAATTCATTCATAGATTTATTGTTCAGATATGGAGATATTTGAAGGAAAAAAAATCATGTTAGAATGAGATTATCTTATATTTAAAGGAAAAAAACCCATCTCCACAAATAATTCCATTCCTATCTCCTTCTAACTCTCTGCAAAGTTAGCTGACCCAGAAAGGTTTTATGAGAGAGTGGGAGGAAAATATGAGTGATGAAGTCTTACAATTAAAAACCAGAATCGTAATAAGTGATAGACCAACCTTCTTGAGTCTGTAGAAGTGCATGTTATGTTCTGGTGTAGAAGCTGCTTCTCGTATGAATGCTTTCTGCGCTAGGGCTGGTGTGGTGCCTTTCTGGTCTCTATGCATCGAGGGGACGTGTTTGATGATGTAATTCTCCCCTCTCCTTTTGATCACCTGAAAAATCAAGCAGCAAACAAATAGAAAAAGAGGATCTTTAATGCATTATTTTTATGTTTTATGAACTATAATATTTAGAATAAAGACTTCCATTAATGGTCTCCAAATAAAATTTACAAATCATAATACTCAAATAAATACAATTTAAATAAAAAGTTACAGATTCTTTTATAAACCCCAATAGACAATAGACATACCAAAGAATAAAATGTGTTCAAATAACTCTTTATTTTGAAGAAAATTTTCAGAAAATATGACAATAAGTCAATTCTGCTTTACTTTTTGCTCCCTTTTCATGATACACCTCCACATGTAACTTGCAGGGATGCTAGTTAGAATTGACCGGATGGCCAGAATATCACATAAAATGAGCTCGTTTGTACACAAAAATCCTAAACTATGGTATGAAAATAACTCCCCGGGGCCTGAATTCAGGCCATTGCCTGAAAACTGGCATCTCTGAACTAATATTGTTGTTGTTTTTAATCAATGATCCTATAATTGTATAGTTATCACCACATTAGAATAGTTGTATTTCTCCTAGGTAAGGAAAGTTGGTCTCTGTAACTATCCCCCATTCCTGAAATACATGTCATGTTTATAATATGCCAGTTCACTCTTGTGTGGGTGAGGGCAGGATTTCAGGGGAAAGTATTGTTTGTGTTGACAAATAACATAGACCCCCTCCCACCCCCCCCCCTCCCACCATCTTTAAATAACCTTTTAACTCCCTTTATCTATCTTCCCCTTTCCTCCATTCTGGGACCCATTTCACAAAGCCTTTTTTCAATGACAAATTACAAAAATCAGTAACAAAGATGCTGATAACCAATCAGAAGCAAGGATTTTGGTAGCTTATAACAAAGACTGTCATTTGTCACTGATGACAAGTTTTGTGAAACGCCCTCCTTGGTTATATATCTCACCCATTCAGGGAAGTAGTTGGCTGGTTCAAAGTATCTTCCGGCATGTTCTACCTCATCAAAGTTTCCCATGTCGGCTTGGAGAGCGTACGATGCTAGCACGAAGCACGCCTCCTCACGACAGAGCACCGGAGCCTGGAGTACGTTCTGTTTCAGCTGTAGATAGTGATGGTGACGTGTCACATCATCCCTACAATAAAAGCGAATGGAGCAACAACATTAATATCAATCTCTTCTTCACCATCATCATCAGGTTGGTTATTTCCAAAACACTCTTGAAGCACGTAGAGACTTTATATGCACTATGCAAAAATGAAAAAGAGTGTATCTTGTTTCCTAGGTAATGATCCGATCATACAATATGCATTTTCCATATTTATTCATTTATTTCTGCAACGTTCAACAGTTTACATAGTATGATCATGACCATCACGATAGTAAACACTAGGAGATTACGATCATTATACATTTGCAATTGTAAATAATACAGAAGCATACAGAGGTATGACAATATAAGCTTAAAGGTAATACAAAGTTTTGGGAAATTTTGAAAATTGGGTGGATAGTGATTCTTTACAATTTTGTTAAATTAGATGCCCCTGTGGATGTATTATAAGCACTAAAAAGATTTGCCCCTAAAACACTTCTGTTTTCGAGAAAAATTAAATATAAAAATTTACCGGTGCTCCCGGTAAATTTTGATGAATTTTAAATAGCTCCTAGGGCCGTACGATGGTAGCTGAAACCATGAAAATCTCAGAAAATTCATGACCCCATACCAAAACTTTGTATTACCTTTAATGCTTGAGAGATTGTCACACCTTATCATCTAATTTTTATACTCTTTTTGTGGGCATATGATGTGATGATAGATGGACAATGGAGGTCAACCACCCTGAATAATCTTTAGTTTTTGGTAGTCATGAAAGAAAAAATATTACCATGTATAATTTTGTTTTGTAAAATGAGGCAATGCATCCCAATCCAGGTGGGAAAGCAAACAGCCATTAACCTACTAGGCATGACAGAGCGGAGATGATCTTTGATCGTACACACAAGGAGCTTTTATTACGAGCCAATGTCAGAGTCCGACAACATTCCTGCACATGAATGTCGGTGCATGTCAGCGAGCAACATGAACATAAAGCAGCCCCTAACAGCTAGAAGAATGAAATACCACAACATAAGCTCAAAATTTAGATTGACTTGGCCTGGCTGAAATGGAACATAAAGAGATTTATGTGGATTGGGGGTTCATGCGCACCGCCGCGGCACCCTTGAAAAGTAGAACTGCCACGGAGCAATCAGGAGAGGAATGTTGAGAGGGAGGGGTCAAAGGTCAAACATTTGGAGCCCTGGCGGAATAACCTTTCCATCAGGGCAAAGTGTAATGTGGTGTAACATGTTCTCTCACGTACAGGGGATTAATAATAAATGTCGGGAATACATGTGCATTCAAAGTGACAGGGGAATTTCAGGGAAACTGTCTGGCCATGAACTGTTTTGAATTGTGTGCTGGAATCATGACAAAAATCATCTTTCATAGCATACATGTACAGATATTTTGTAACTTGCATTTTGGAAAAGAATGAATAAAAAAGCAAAAGATCTCCTTTGGTCTCTCTGTAGTTATGCTCACTCTAATTTCTTGAAGGTGAAATGGAAGAAACCACATTTTCTTAATTTATAGGGTATGATTTATTTCCTCTTAAAAGGATTGTAAATACTGAAATATACATTACAAGTTTTTGCTGTAAACAACAAATAACATTTGCAGCAGCATATTCATTGCAATGCTTAGTTATGCCTAATCCTAATGGTACCAGAGAATCATACTTACTTCAGTAAGGATACATGTTCCACATACAATTGCACTTTGAGGTAAAAAGAAAGAAGGGGTTTCCCAGTCTTGTCTCGTCCCTGTAACATCAAAGAAATGAAATGAAAAAGAAGGAGGTTGAGGACAAAATATTTGTATACATCAGAAATAACATACAGCGCAATATGATACAGTTTGAAACATTTAATACGATTAGAGTTTTGTTCATGAATTAAAAGGTAGCTGTTGAGAGATAATGGAGGCAAATTAAGGGGGTATTCTACGATGTAGGCCTATTAAAGTCTTATTGAAATTGAAGACAGGTACCTGGAATATTCTTTCCTAGTCCCATTCAAGCTCATTTTCCATAGCTTCGATTCAAACACTACCTATCACGTAGTTCATAATCTTCTCTAATTCTTTTCGGCCCCTTTGAGGAATTTTTGCATGTGAAACACTTCTCGAAAATCAGGGCCTGCGCCAGTACAACTTAACATTCCTTTGAAATGGCAAGGCTATTTGTATTAGAGAGCCACACCACTATAAGGGTTTCTCTTATCCGGTTTCCAGTACAGGAAAACTACCTCCTTCGGTCTTTGTTCCGTTAGAAATGTCCAGGCAACATGCCATCATCCTAACCCTTGTACGAGCTCAAGGATTATTAACAGAACTGGAGGAAATTTTCTTTGCTGCCAAGAAATAGTTGTACGGTTCTATTTCAGAGCATGAATGATGTGTTAAATATTTTTTAAAGCTTAAATTACTTTTCATGCAACAACAAAATTGAAAATAGAAGCATATTCAGAAGAATGTTAAATTGTAAAGGCATTCTATGCAAAATATATTACAAAGGAACCTTGGAATACTTTGAGCATTTTGTACATAGACAGCCATATAAAAAGTGGGAATGAAAAGTGGGAGTGAAAATATCTTATGGAAATTCTGTGAGGAATCGATATATCTTTAATAGAGACAATACATTTCATTTTTCATTACCAAATGAAATGTCAGATGCACACAAGCACACACATGTAAACCTTAATTTACAGAGGTCCTCAATTACATCCTGTCAATTATGTGTAATTGATGAGCAAAAGTGCATGTAGCTTCAAATGGAAAGACCTAAGCATATCACACTCCTGACACCAAGTCAATATAGACTGTCCTCATTTGGGGAAATTGAAGACAGAAAACTGGGCCACACATGTCAGATGACAAGAGCCCTCTCTATACCACGGAGCGAATCAATGAATGCCAAGATGATCATTAGGAAATGGGACCATTTCTCAGGCTTGCTCTTCCATTAGATGTAATGAGCGACACAATGACTGAGAATGGATGCCTCACTCTTTGGGGCATTAATGCGAGGTCCCATTCAAGTGAACCTTTGTAGGAGCTGGGTTCATGCCAATTTACAAACTACAATTCACAATGCATTACATGTCAAATATATGTATCTGTCATAGGGACTGTCAATGAATTTTTTCTTGATGCTTGCTTTATGACTGCCAGAAATAGGTCAGAGTTGATAGATGTTTTAGTGCATGGCTATTACCCTCATTTCGACTTCATCAAAAAGTTCACAATTCTAAGTGATGATGAATATACATTTCATGTTTATTGTGTAACCATGAATGAATATCAATTTAAGTTCCTATAAATTGATCAGCTATTCTTCTTTCATACTTTTCAGAGCATGTTTTATTACATGAATTACTAGCTGCATGGCTCATCTACCTAAATGAACAGCACCCTTTTCTGTTATAGAATTGACTTTATTACCAGTCAAATGTGATCATATTTCACTTTGAAATGTATGAAGTCCATGAAGTCTTCATGTTTCTATAAGAGTTTTCTTGTTAAGGTCCAAACACACCTAATAACCAACAATGAAATCCCCATTATTCTATTGACTAAAGATTATATTACGTTAGCATCTTTGACATAAGTTTTTAATGTCACTCGTATCCTGGTTACAACAAACAACTTGCAGCAGATTGACAAAAGTAACTATCTAAACTATCTATTTAAAGTCTAGACTACTTTAATACAGAACGATTCTAACAATGTTTAATATATCAAATCTGTTTGCATGAGATCACCAGTGGAGATACAAATTTGGGCGTAAGCAACAGAACAAATAATCCCTCTCACTAGTTATTTCACTTTTCAAGGTTGATCATTGTGACCATAAATAGAACATGTATAAGAACTGTGTTTAATCCCAAGGTTTATCATCAGGATGTGCAGCTTTTCTCTCTATTTCATAACATAGAACAAGTTTCAATTAACGAGCCAATTTCCATGTCTCATTCGTTATTGTTCAACATTATCATACAAAGTAGAACAATGTAAATATATATATATACCTAACAGTTTATGTATCGGCTTACAGTTAGCCAATCCTATTTTAATGTCACAGCTCAATTTTTCAATTTATTCATACATCTTTGTTGGGAGCATAATATAAATTTAGGGATTTTAGGCCTTAAATGTTTTCTTTTGAGTTATCTTTCAAATCAAACTGTGAAGTCAATTAATTTGTGAAAGAATTAGAAAGGAAACTGACCAAAAATCTTGTGATCTACATCTACGAAAATCACATTGTTCTAGAGCAATATCAAAAATGCTTAACTGAACAAAAGATCAAAGTGAACGATTATGACTTTTGATTCATAAACAAAGTACAACACTACTTCGAAATACAGTGAAACTTATATAAAGATTGCTCAAGGAAGACAAGAAAAGTGGTCTTTATAGACAGGTCATCTTTGTGTACAGGTTTCTTTAGTTTCTTTGTTTAAATGACAAACAATGCTATCTGTATAGACAGGTGATTTTTCTAATTTCTATTCAAGTGGTTGCTAAAGCAGATTTGAATGGAATTTTACATTTACATTTACAGCACTTTCAAAATTCATACTTAGATTCATCCAACAACAAAACAAACAAAATTGTACATTTGTAAAATTTTGTAATATACTGTTATTGTTTTTTGCACATTTTACTACCAAATCACGCATCCAGGAATGAGGCTCACTTGAGAATTGTTATCAGTAACACCAGCTGCCCTACTCTCAGCCACTTGCTATTGATCTGTGTTGACCACAGGCTAGAATCAAACAAAGAACCCAGAGGAATGTTTTTACACCCCATTGACCAGCCCAAAAATGCAGTTTTTTTCTCTCTCAAAGAAAAAAAAGTAGTTTGTTTGTATTTTGCACTGGGCAAAAGCACTTACATGATGCTGCACATTTTGTGGAGATGATCAATAGACAAAACAAGTTATTTGGAGGAGTGGCTAAGGGAATGTTGCATAGACTCTAGAGGGTAATTAGGATAGTGAAGGATGAGATAACAAGATTCCTTCATAGCAGATATTTAAAAGGAGACTAGTGTGGGCAGACTGGTGAGTGAAAAAAAAAGCAATACAATATTTTTAATAAGCTGCTTATCTCTTAGAAATACAAAAAATGCAAATATGTAAAGCAAAAGAATGGTTATAATAATGTAACATGTTTCTATACTATTACTATTACTGGCGCTGCTCAGTGGCTGCCGGGCTCACCATCAATTGGGAAAAAAGAATTTTCATTTTCGGTTTAACTTAATAAAATTTGGAGTGGACTCTAAAAAATTATTATTATTATTATTATTATTATTATTATTATTATATTCTGTAAAGCGCTTTGAGAGGGCCTGTGGTCCTGAAAAATGCTATATATGAGCGAGCTATTATTGTTATTATTATTATAGATATACATAGACGGACAAGAACAGACCAATCAGTGATTAATATAAATATTTAAATTAACAAGAAAAAAATGGGTAAAGAAATAAAGAGGGTAACCCGACATGATACAATAACAACTTGTTTACAGGTTCAATATTCAACTGAATTACACTGTACTATGACTTCAACTTCATGGATAATGATAGAAGTCAATATCCCAAAGCTAATCTGTCACTAATTGATCGCTACTTAAAAACAGGTTTGTAACTTGCAGGGACAAGTTCATTGAAAGGGACCCACTTGGCCATTGTTTGGAGGAAGATTTGTGGTTTTTCTTACAAGAAAACATCTTAGAGTTAGAAGACAGTTGTTTGGTTTCAACATTCCTTAGAGTATTAGAGATACAAAGAGTTCTTAATCACATCTTTCTAATCAGGAATACCAATACTGAAGACTAGAAGATATAATAGAGATGGCTTCTTTCTATAGCAGTCTGGAGGTGGGTGGAGCTCAGCCATTGACATAAGCTTCTTTCTTGCACTAGTCTATCAAGTAGCACAGGAGTGTAAGTTCCACCATAGACCAAGGACATAAACCTACCATAATTTGTGTCATACCAAGGATTTGCTACCAAAAAAAAATGAACATAGGTTCTTTTCTCTCTTATGCATCCTCAAAAATGATCTTCAAATCTAAACAAGTTTTTCATAGCACAGAAATCATAAAGAGATGTAGGGTCTATAGGATGACCAACCTTCTATTCTGTTGAACAAGATTCAGGTACATGTACATGTAGGAGCAGCGTAAATATTATTTACTCTACAAAGTACAATTCCATATCTGAGGGTTTTTAAACAGAGCTACATGTGTGCTATTCAGGAAGTTGTTACAACAGTTTTTTTTCATAAATGCAACTAAATGGTTTATGTATGATTTCCTACCAGTCAACAACATGTTTTGTTCTCCATCATTTACAAAAACCACACTCATTATCTTGCCAAACGTGATTTATTATCATCAACCAATAATTTTGAGAAGCACAATAATTCTTTCAAACCTTAATGAACTACCTGTACTATTGTTGCATAGAAATTAAGAGTCCAGGAATGGCCACTAGCTGAAGAGGAACAATGCGGGTGGTTGGGCAATTTACAAGCAAACTCACACAAAGGTATCACAATGCTAACAAAGAATGGCTATGGGGGAAGAGTACATAACATGCTTTTGTGGAATGCTTCTAACGCTATAACAGGTAGCCAATTGTTTATATGATCCATTGAACAAGTATATATAGTCTTCCTACCAGACTACAGAGGATTTGTTCCAATTTGTTTTAAAAGACTCCTAAAAATTCTCACCTTAAAAAAAAAAAAAAATTCACTGAGCAGAATAATACATAGAAGAGTAGATATTCCCTTGAAGAAAGGACTTTCTATTTTCTCAGTTCGAAATCTATTTTTTGTTGTAGTACAACTGCTGCTCTACAACAATTTGTGCTCTTTTTAAATCAATTCCATAAGAACTGCAGATAATAACCTAAATTAATTAATAAGCACACAGGATTCATCTGCTTTGATCAAAGAGATAGTTTAAAATGATTTCTTTCTTAAAAAGAGCTGTAAATATAGGATTAGCTATTGCAAATGTGAGGATTTCTAGTGACTGCATAATAGATATATATATATATATATATATATATATATATTTTTTTTTTTTTTTTTTTTTTTTTTTTGGGGGGGGGGGGGGGGGGGGTGTGAGACAGATATCTACAAATTTCCACAGTTTTTTTTTTTTAGAGCTGTCCGTTGCTACCCCCCCCCCCCCCACTGCTACATTGTATACATGGAAACACAAATACTTTTCTGTCATACATGTATGAAAATGGTCCCTCTATGAAAAAGGTCATACAGCGAAAGTAATGAGACTGGATCCCAGACTACTGTTGGGGGATTGCAAGGGGGTGGCTAGGGAATGGCTGGGGGATGGCTGAGGGTATGGCTGGGGGTATGGCTGGGGGATGGGGCACCATTGTGACATCATCACTATGGTATGTGCTATTGATTGACAGGTCTTAGTTAAGGTTTGTTGGTCATTATTAAGTAGGGTAGACTGCTTCTTAGTATGGGTCAGTTCAGACTTAATACATAATCCAAGGACAGAGAAAACAACAAAAATCATATCATATTTACAACAGATTCCTATAAATATCAAATTATGCTGATACTGGAACCATACTCCATGACTTATTTATATGAATAGTTGAAATATAGCTTTTTATTTATTCCTACTCAAGCCTCCACTTGTTACATGTACATTAACAAATATATATATTTTAGAGAGGAAGATTGATATAAAAGTCCATACTTGTAATTATCTTTTGAAAGGCATTATGTAGGCCTACATGAGTGCTTTGAGCATTGTTTCAAGCACATTCTTCACATTGAAATCATAGCAAATATGTTGTTTGTCACTGAAGCTCTCATTCCCATCTCTTTCCTTTATGATTTCACTTTCTAATTTCCCTCACTGTCTCTCTTTTCCCTTTCTCAATTTGACAAATATCTGCCCCTCCCATTATCATTGTATCGTCTCCATTCTTAGTCGAACCCTGATGAATCTTATCACTCCCCTCGCCTTCCTGAGCATCAATCCATTTTCACCTTTCTTAACTATCTTGTGCAATCACTCTCCATTTTAATACTTCTCAATGCAGTTGATTTAAGGCTTGATGTACTTATGGGGCAATTAGCGGGGAAATACTAAATTTAGCATCAACAACACAAGGATAAATCCATTCAACAACCAATTTCTGTAAGCCCCCTACTTTTTACCCCTCTGCAAATATGTCTCCTCTTCAATAATCCTCTCACAACTTAAAAGTCTGAAGGAAAAATATCTATTAGCCGAAAGATTTATTAACTTGCAATTCTCTGCTTCTTATCCTTTACAATCAAAGTCTTTTCAGGGCTGGATTGTTGACAAACACAATCAATATACAGTTACAGGACTGATTACCAATGGATAGGGACAGGGCATTCGCATTACAGGATACAAAGGTAAACCCATATGGGCAGATTGAGATGAGAATGGAAAATACTATCAAAGCTTCCATATATTTAGTGCAAATTTCCCTTACATGTGCCATAACAAGATTATTTTGGGATTCTACTGATTTGCCTTAAAAAAAAAAAAAAATAATTTCAATAATTGTTATAGTTTATTAAACTTACATCATTAGAGTCAGACTTCCATCCCTTTGGCGCATACTTTGAAATCTTGGTCTTCAGATCCAGAAATTCATATTCTCCATTTTCTGCAAAATAAACAAAGGCAAAAGCATCATATAAAAGAGTGATATATATTACATTGAAGCAATTATAATGACTAGTACAATACATCCTAATGCTTTTTAAATCAATTTTCATATAGGCTTAATTCAATGAACAATGATCAATCCACTCCCACTAAATATTGCCTTATTTCAAATTTCCTCTATTTGATTGGAGACAGTTTAAGAAATTATGACATTTTGTACAAAATTGATGATTAATTGTGAAACATCATTTTCGAACATATGGCATCACTGAATAATGTAAATAGATTTTATATCTCACGTTTTAATTGAAAACTGTACATCCAACAAATTAATGTACCAATAGAATAATAAAACATATATGATAAATTGTTAGAATTCCCAGGTAACCTGACATTCATACTATCGCAAAGAGCAAAATCTGATAAACATTTTTTGCAAAGTTGCAAACAAAACAACCGACCTAAATTCAGCTGATTTCTTAGAAAATTTAAATTTCATATTCCAATACAGATCCAAACATGGTTGAGAAGAGTCATTATTAATCTGCAGCAACATGGAGGACAAGGTCTTCAGTCAATCAGTTTGACAATTACCTTAAAGAGCAGTAAAAATTCCACATACCTCGTAAAATTGTCAATCCAAATAGCTGAGCTTCTTTTATTGACAGTGTAAAGCACACTTGGTCATACAAATCTTGCACTTTGGCCTTCCCCTGTGAAGAAAAGAATGTAAAAAATTACCATTACCAGTCAACTTCAAGTGTTAAGGGGAGATCTACCCAGACAGCAGATATTAAGTTGTTTTTAATAGAAACAGAAAAATGAGAACATGTCAGTGAAAGTTTGAGTAAAGTCCCATTGAAAATAGGAAAGCTATGAATTTTTGAAGTTGTCATTAGTGAAACACAAAATGGCAACACTGTCCCGAATGTATCTTGCAAGGTCCTCTCGAATTTGCTCTGTACAGAATGAAACTTTTATTTTCTTAGTTATTGATGATGGAACAGAAAGTCATACTGATCATAAAGCTAAAATATCTTCCAAACAAATTTCTGAAAATGAAAGTTCATCCAAAATGTGAGAGGTTAGAATCTACACACGTCAACAACTGACCATTTTGCTCTATTTCTATTTTCTGACATGTTGATACCTCAAGCCAGCCAATGAACTTGGTGTAGCCTACAATTTGTATTCCTGAACGATTCTAGGGGATTCCTGCTGAGACTGTAATGGCCGAAAATTGGTCAGAATGCAGGTCTCCTCAGGAGGAACAATTTGAAGTACTTGTCGCAGCAAAAAATATACACTACACAGGACTCTAATGTCTATTTCCTCTTTTCAATCTAATAAAGATCAAGCTCCATTTATTCCATCTGAATTTTTCTTCTCTTAATATTTTGCCCTGAACTGCATTGATCTTTTCATTAGAAATAAATGATGGAATGTTACCCAGATTGTCAATCTCGTTAAGGAAGTAGGCCCCAACTATTGTTCTAATATATTTCAAAGTTCAATGTATCTTTTGAAGGGAAAAAAAAAAATTCTTTGCGGGATTATTCACTGTGATCACTCAAGTGGTTCGATTCTTTCTCACTTCATACGCTTTAAAGATAAATATTCTAATTATTCACTTTTGACTTCACAATTACATTTCACATGATCACTATACAAATTCATCATTTTTCATCTTTTTTATATATACCATAGGCTTAGATTTTAGTTCTGGAACTTCTGTTAACTTTTTTTCTTGGACAAAAAAATAAATCCTTAATCTAATCTCTTTTTTGCGAGACACCAGAGCTGCCTATGCATAAAGAAGAATTTAAAATACCATTCTAAATTTAGTAAGCTGGAATGCTAGACTTAAATCCTACCCTCTTTTCATTTGAATTCCTGCTCATAATAATCTGTCTAAATCCCTCCTTTTGCTTTCAATGCACTTACCGGTATACTATAACCAGTTAATCCAATGAAGAACATCGTACAACGGTACATTCCACCTATGATGCCAATAAGCTTTCACTTTTCCTCTCATCCCAAGACACCATAATTGTTTTATTATGTTGTGCCAAATACTACATCAACTAATTCACTGACCTAATTCTCCACTTTCTAACCCAGATGAATACAAGTGAATAAAAATGCTTGCATTAGTCTCATGCACAGCTCTCAACATTCAATTGTAAGAACTTACTTCAAAACTTCCAACAAGGTTCCTGTTTCAAAACCATTTTATTACTTTGCTAGCAACTTCTGAAAAAAGAGACACTTGCTGCTCTCCTTGAAGAAAGTTAAAGGATAATAGGACTTTCTTTTTGCAACCTTCATCTTCTTATGATCTATAATTGTAGCCTAATCAAATACATATTATTCTGTTCAACATTTACCACTAGTTTCTATCACAAAGTGTCAATTTTGAAAAAGTACTTAATTGTGAGCTCTGTAATTCAAAGCCCTATGGAAGCTCTAAATGAAAGCTTGTGGTGAACAATCATGCAATCGCTGCAAGGGATCGATTCTGAAAGGGTCTTAGCTAAACTTTATTTTTCACTTACAATTACATACATGTACATATATCTGACAGATATTTTTTTAAAGCACAATCATATAAACCTTGGAAGTTGGATGAGATTTTAGTGCCTGTCCTAAAAATAGACTCTCTGCATAAGCCTAATCCAAGATTTCAAGGTAAATGAGAGCTTTAAAGAGGAAACCATAACAATGTGCAACATATTACATTATGCCCACTATCATACGTTTGACATGAGATTTCATGATTTTTGTACATAAAATATCACTACCACAAAACAAGACAAGAAGAGTGAAACTTTATGTCTATAAACTATCGTAGAGTAACAAGTAGGCCCCCATTCTTTCCCTGCGGGGGATAGCCCGGAATGTTGGGGAGAATCTTCCAATATTAGGGGGTCAAATATTTGCTCCTCATGCCAGAAATCTAGATGGATTTATGATGGGGTCAACCAATTTGGATACCTTGGTACAAGGGACTGTAGAGAGAAAGTAGGCATTCCTTCAAGGAATCGGAGCTGAAAGAAAAAGTGAAATGCTTTTCTTCCTTCTCAGGAAAAGTGATTTGTCAGTTCGTATGAAGCCTCATATGTAAAATACGATATTTAAACTTAGTCAAGCTTTCTCTTTGATTGCAGCATTAGGCCTACAGACCATGAATGCAATGGTGTGAAAGGATACTGTTTTACACTGCCAGATGAATTTATGATAATAACCTGGGCTTTGACTTGGAAATATTTACAGATCATTTGCAAATTATTCAATCACATTTCTTACATCATAAAAATGCACTTTTGCAAACACGTTTTGCTTTAGAAATATGATACACTGAATTCCAATTGGTCAGGTTTGTCTGAATGTAAATGTAGGCCTAAACATATCCTATACCATACATGTACAATTTTTCACATGACCATGAAAGAGAGTTTCATGTTAAAGGTACTATGTCCCATTTGCAGGCCAAAAAAATGAAAAAGTTAAATTCCAACTGCATTTGAAAGATAATACTTATTTAGAACTTCCCTAAAAAAGGTGGGGCTTGAAAATGTCTTCAAGTGGGAAAATAATGACTATTAGATGTCAAATCAGCTTTAGGGCTATAGAGCCCACAAGTAATAGTCTTGATTTTCAGACAATTGTATCGAATGGTTGTACGTTTTCTGCTGCACAAAGATTCAATCAGTTTAATCTTGGCAATCACAAGAAGTGGGTTATTGATGTAGACAAATGCTTATGTACCCTTTACAACTCTTTTCATGTATGTTATTACCAAAGAAGAAAAAAGCCAGTCAGTCACTCAATAGTGTCTGACAGTGAAGTCTAGCAAGTAAATGGGTTTCCTTGCATAATTTGAATATGAGGACACTGCTAACGTTTAAATTTCACAGATAGGACATACATGACATATTCATAATTCCTGCAAAGTTCTACAGAATTTGAGGTTGGCTGCAAAAGGGACATAGTACCTTTAAAGGGATAGTTGAGTTCTGTTGCAGAGGGCGCTACACAAAATAATTTTTTGTGAGATAATGAAAAACTGAGTGTCAAATTTGAAAGAACATACAATTTAAATGACAAAAGCATCTTTGTTTGATCAAAATCTAATATTTGTGTACCACCACATATATTCGATAATTTGATTCCCACATGTCTGGGGACGCGGCCAAGCTGTAAGTGCGAACATGTCAAATGAGATGCCATTCTTCATCTCAATGGTTCCCAACCCGGTAATGATGATGGATAACCTCACCAGATTTAGCACCAACTATTACCATCTGGTCTTCATTTATTTCATGATCTGTGGTCATTCTGACTTGCCCTTGCTGGGTACCATGCAATAGTAACATACATGTTTGGATGTTGTGGTGTCAAATAATTTGATTGATAGTTTTTTTATTTTAGAAACTATTGCCATCCATCATGATATCCAGCATACTGTTTCGAATCATTGCCATATAATAGACAGTGTCATTTAAATAACATAGGCCAACATTTATTATCATCTTCCTTTACCATCTCTCATTTCAACATACCCTATTTGCCGGCGATAAGGCCGCAGCGCCGTATAGGCCGCACCCCCGATTTTGACATTAAAAAAAATAATTAAAAAATTTTAAAAATTTTAAAAACTTTTTGTCAAAGTCAGGATTTGATCTCTTGCGTACAAATGTTGATTTGACTAAAATCACCACCTTAGACCGCTCGGCCATCCCGCACTGATGCTAGCTTATGTAGTTTTTTGTGATGTATACATTGCGCCTCTCTCTTGTGTATTGAAATGGATTCAAAATAGCGACTTCGCGTGCTGGATGCTTCGCGGCAGCTCCGTTAAACGGGCCCTTCTTTTACTTTTGCAATGCATTGGCATAGATCAAGATCTATCGGCAGATGTTGTTTTTTTAAGTTTGTTTTCGTCTTCATGTCAACAATGCAAGATAAAATTGTCGGTAAGATGTGTGGAAATGTATAGTTATTATACCGTTCATACATCTAGTCCAATATGTGCAAATTCGTGCTGGTTTTGACTTACTTTTTAAAAAATTTTTTACTCTTTCGTCGCATAGGCCGCACCCCGACTTTTTGATATTTTCTCTTCCAAAAATACTGCGGCCTTTACGCCGGCAAATACGGTACTTTGAAAATAAATGCAATAAGAAATTACGAAAGCCATGAATATTCCTTGTTTCTAATTGTTATTTGGGAGAATTTGGTGAGAATAACAGTTTTACAGCATTAGAAAGTTGTTTCGTTAACATGGACCAGGAAATGTGGACAGAGATTGCAAAGACACTCACCTCCACATTGAGTTGTAGTTCTCCATCCCAGAGCTTGACACCCACACACTTCGGGCTACTAGCAGCATGATGAAGTCCCCTGATGCTTCCTATAGCAGCCACTCCGGATGCCATGCCCCCAGTGCCCCCTCCCCAGATAGGCATGACTAGGCATAGGAGACCCCTGTCTCCCAGCCCTCAACCCCTCAACAAAAGAGATTCAGCGTCTTCGTCTGGGGGTGTACGATGGAGAAATTGTGGCCCTTGATCCCCGCAGATCCTACCGTCTTTGTCCCGGCAGGTTGGTGCAAGATGGCACAATCTCTTTGTTGTGATTGGAATTGATGAAGTTGAAGGAATGGTGGTTTGTTTTAGAAGGATCTGTCTCACAGCTCACACTGACAGACACTACAAAAGAACAAAACAAAAATTGATATTAGTGAACAATTTCAATAATGATTCTGATAGGTGAATTAACTGCCTCATTTCTAAAATCTAAAATCTACATTAACTATCATGACCACTCAAATGGACAATGCGAAATGACATGTGTGGTCCATAAAGATACTACATGTACTGAAATTTAGTTCGTTCATCGCCACAATTTTTCCACCTGGCTAGAAAAATACCAAACTTGCATATATACCCTAACATCTCCCTGCCCTAACCCTATCTTTCTTTTAATCTACAGGAACATTCACTATTAATACCAAACAATTCTTTCATACACATCAAACTTCCTCTTTCAAGATACCGCATTGACTTCCGCAGTCTAAAAATAGTATTTTTTCCTCTTAAAAATAGCTTGAATGGCAATTTTCAAGCGACAAATTAAGGCACCACCCTGTCTGTAGAAACCACAATTGATAGGGTCTCCTTTGTTCATGTTGTGTATCAGCAGCTGACTTTGGCTTTGTAGAGGGGAGGGGGCAATTCTTGCCTCTGACCTCTAAGCACTGGTATGAATTTTAATCCTTTTTCTCCTTTCATGTTTGATTTTTTTTGCAGGTACATTGCATGACTGCGGCTAGTTGATAGCTTGTATCATGGGTCATTCAAGGACAAGTGAGTCATCGACTGAATGACATTGGAAGAACCTTGTCTTGGTCATCTAGAAGCAAGAAGTTCTTGATCTACTGCTACTTGATAAGTTGATTCTTGGATCTGGGATCATGTCAGACCAATAGTTTTCAGTGATAAACAAGTAGGTCCATGGTATAATGCTGTCCAATTTTTTCACAACTGATGTATAGAATTGCATCATACTGCTACAAAGGCCAACTATCTGTCTGGCCAGTGGGTTCCACATTGCCCAAGTATATTTTGCAAGTTTTTTTTTATCTTTGTGAATTTGCAAATGAGACACAAAGTTCCAACTCACAAAATTAACCACATCTTGTATCATGTTTATAGGCCTACAAGAACGTGTATGTGTTGGGAATATCGACCGCAAAAGTATGTGCTCATAAAATGGTCTGGCTTTTCCCACCTAGGAATATATCAAGTGCAAAAATACTGTACACATGTGTAAAGCCCTAGTGTAAACTGTTAATAAATGAGAAATCAGCTATTTTTTGAAAATATTAAATAAAATGTAAATAATGAGAATACGGATCACCTCCTGAGATCATTTTGTCTTTATTTCCTGCTGCAGTTATAGTAGCAAATAGAATGTAACAGCCTTAAAGTACAAGATTATAATGCAAGCACATGAAATTTTGTATCAAAAAGCAAACATTTTCTTCTTTGTGAAACAAGTTGAGAACTCAGATACAGGGAACATTTAATTAGGTGTGATATGTAATACTCTTCTGGGATGAAAATCTGTTGACACAAGAACATAACAGCCAGGGGGTGAATTCTCTGGAGTTATTCATATGTTTACTAATGACTTCAAAGATCAATAGAACAGAGTGATATGATCTACGCTGGGGTGAATTTTCATCCTATTTCAGGGTCGTCCACCTGAAAAACTTTGAACCGCCAAGAAACTTAAAGATTTATATTTCACTGCCAATTGAATAGATATAAACATATTGCATGTCCCTTGGTAAATGTTTGCACTAAATCTGTAAAATGTGCATGCTTATTCTGTTAAAACCTTAAGTGATAACCTATATAACTACCAAGGGGTACTGTTAAGATCCCAAAATTAGTGACAATTACAGGTACATCTAAGGTCATAATGATTACAAATGCAATTTTAAGACCACTTTGGTTGTAGTGACACCAAACAGTCTGAGAATTTAATCTGGAAATTGTCACCGTATACAGTGTAGGTGTACCATCCTTGAGTAGGCCCAAGCTGCCCATTAGCATCAAAACCCGATTGAAATCTTACCGAGTGATTAGTGATTACCCTGCTTGGGAATACACATATCTATAAATTGCTTGTAATCTCTTCTCCCAGGTATAGCTCTTTATTACGAATAAAATCATAAACCTTGGAGGGACTTGAAAGACATACAGTAACCCTACATATTTTGATTTAAAGAATACAGATCTCTCATGCCCTTACTTCTCAAAATGGGGACAGGAGGAAGATAGGAGACAATTGAGGCTCAAGTTGAATAAGTCCAAACATAACCATTTAGTCAGCAGGGCGATGAAATTTTTTTATGAGTGAACAGCAAAGAATGTTTTACAAAACTTGAAATTAGTTGGTAACAACAGCCATAACTGTCTGTGTTTGATTTACAAAATATATCCAAAAGCAAAATAAGAACAAAAGAAAATTCAAAAAAATTAACATTTTGCTTGAAGTTTTCAAACTTATTTCTCAGTTATATATGACAATTCATACAAAAAAAAAGAAACTGGTACATTGTACTGGTCACACATCCTTGATGCATTTGCTTGATTTGCAGTGTCTACATCCATCCACTGGCTTCAGAACAGACTTTACATAGGCCTACATGCAATTGCAATGTGCAAATGAAAACATATTTTCTATTTAAATCTACAGACTACAGAACTACTCAAAAATCTTCATGATTCCTGGCAGACAAACTGACTAGAAAAGCAATTCTCCACGGATATCTCATTTTAGAGAAGCACATTTGAAAAGAGCTATTTTGAAAATGCCAGAATGAGATGGCCTCCAATTTTCTTTGTGTTGAAACTGATGGTATTTTTTTTAAAGTATTTACAGCAGTGAAGATGGTGATTTAGAAGGAAGAAATGAAAAGGTCCAAGCACTGTTGAACATCTATTATGATAATTGGGGGTTACAGTGAGTTAAAAATACGACAAAAAGGACTCTCTACACTACGGTATATACTGTACAACAGTTTGCAATAAAATGTTTGATACAGATTTGTTTTTAAATCTTAAAAGATATTTCCTTGGATTAAACGGATCCAAATGGAGTTCACAAAGACTTTGTGAGTTTGGCGGGAAGGAAGAATTATAGACCTACAGTACTAGAAGTTGAAAAGGAACAAAATACCTTTTTCCCCAGGACAGTTCTGCCCATTGAAATGCACTCAGGTTGAAAGACCCTTGTTTGTCAAGTAAGGTTTGGTTTGTTGCATTTTACAAATTGTTGGCAGTCAGGGGGCAATGTGTTTATGAGCCCTAAATTGGTTGAAAACTAACTCTGATTTTCTTCTACTGTGCCTTTTTATGTCGTCTATTCTTTCTCTTAAATTGCTTCGGGGGAGATCTTCGACAATAGACAACCTCTGAGGTGACATCTATTTCGAAGTTAATCGTATGATTGTTGACTTTATGTACTTTGTCACTCAGTGTATTAAGCAGAAATGAAGGCATTTCACATGTAATCTCCTTTAATAGCTCCTATAGGCTATACAGATACATTGCATGTTTACTACATGTAGGCCTATCAAAGTATCTCTATTCATGTTTTGCTACCAAAGATATATGAACAACATTGATATGGACTGTAATTTATAAATGACAGACATTATGAGCTTTAATATGGGCGTAGGCCTGTAACATATATGCCATTCTTAGAATAATCTCAGTCAAAGAGATAACATTGCAACAGACAATTTGGAACTTTGTGCACTAATTGTATTAAAGGGATCCGGTAACTTTGTCTCAGATTCTGAAAACATATTCTGGATTTAGCTCATGATGCAATGATAATTATAAACCTTTAGGTCAGTCAGGAACCCCGTGACTTTTACAAGCCGATCGCCTGTCTGATTATCAAGATATTTATGATTGGAATTACAAATTTTGAAAACCGTTCGCCTGACGGTTTTCATAACACTACAGTCTACTGGGGAAAACGAGTATGGTAAAACCGGTCACTCAAAGATTTTTTACTTTTTTGAGGCACTTCTTGATCCTTTTGAAGCGCAAGTTTTTTAGGGCTTCAATATTATATCATATCACAGACACTGACAACACGTAGGGCCGTTTATCTCAGATTTAACATTGTTAAACGATCCCTTTAAAGCAAAGGCAGCTGATTGAATTGTGGTCATCACTCCAACCCTTTGGTTGCTATGAATAAATAAATGAATATATCACTTTTATCATAATAATAAATACTTAATTACTAATCATATAATGATATCATTTTATCATAAGAATAAATGGAAATTAAATCATACATATCATTTCAACCAAATTACATGGAGGGTCACATTTTATGTGCAGATTGTGGTTCACATTTGCAATACACGTACTGTACACACTACACAGGCATTCACATCAACAGTACACACTACATCAGTTACAGTTCAAGGAGTATGCTTGATGTGTACGGCCTTTATACGCTTCCTTCAGAATGTCCATTCCACTCACATTCTTGTCTCCTCCATCTTCAGAAGAACTTCCAATCTGAGACTGGAAGCCACCTGCCATCCATTCATCCCTGCTTCTCTCTCTCTCTCTCTCTCTCCATCTCTGACCCTCCAAGCTAACTGGGCCAATCAACAAAGGAATGTCGAATCGCCATAGCAACCGCACAGGGATCGCCTCAACAAAGCGAAATATTATCCTCCATCTGAACGAGAAGTCAAGAAGCCAGGCCTACATTCTTCTTCTTCTTCTTCCAGTGTAAAGCGCTGCTTCAAGGTGATGAAGATTAATGCACTGATTGCATGTGTGTATATGTGGAGACTTCCACATTTAAACATTTTAACTTTTTGTTCTTGTTGTGCAGGTGCATATATAGTTATATATATTGTAAGTAAAAACACTCCTGGCCTTGTAGACATTAGGCCAAATAAAAAAAAAACATGTTTAGCGTCCTGTTTTTTCGAAAAATAGGAAGGAGGAGGCCCTTTTTTTTTTTTTCTTCTTTCAAAATGGCCGCTCGGTACATTTTCCCTGACAGTCGGGGCTATTTTTTTTCCAGATGGCTGCCGACAATCTTTTTTTTTTTTTAATCAGAAATAGAGCCATTTTAGCAGTGTTTTTCATGTTTTTTTTCT